TAAACAAAAAACCAAGACGTTCTAAATTCCCACGTGTACAGGGACGGTATTGGACATTTCATGCAGTGACGGTGAAGCCGTTCATGGTAAGTGCGTTCCGAGAGTGCGTTCCAGAAAGGCCGTGCTCAAGGATTGAGGAGATGTTGGAGCCATTGCGAGGCATCGGTGCGGAACGAGGCTCCAGGTCATGGCTCTGGGTCACGGTCCCGGACCACGGTCCCGGGTCACGGTCCTGAATCACGGTCCTGGGTCACGGTCCCGGGTCACGGTCCCGGGTCACGGTCCCGGGTCACGGTCCCGAGTCACGGTCCCGAGTCACGGTCCCGGGTCACGGTCCCAGGTCATGGTTCCTGGTCACTGTCCCGGGTCACGGTCCCGGGTCACGGTCCCGGGTCACGGTCCCGGGTCACGGTCCCGAGTCACGGTTCCGAGTCACGGTCCTGGGTCACGGTCCCGAGTCACGGTCCCGGGTCACGGTCCCGGGTCACGGTCCTGGGTCACGGTTCCTGGTCACTGTCCCGGGTCACGGTCCCGGGTCATGGTCCCGGGTCACGGTCCCGGGTCACGGTTCCTGGTCACTGTCCCGGACCATGGTCCTGGGTCACGGTCCCGGGTCACGGTCCCGGGTCACGGTTCCTGGTCACGGTCCCGGACCACGGTCCCGGGTCACGGTCCCGGGTCACGGTCCCGGGTCACGGTCCCGGGTCACGGTTCCTGGTCACTGTCCCGGACCATGGTCCTGGGTCACGGTCCCGGGTCATGGTTCCTGGTCACTGTCCCGGGTCACGGTCCCGGGTCACAGTCCCAGGTCACGGTTCCTGGTCACTGTCCCGATTTCCGTGAACAGTATTGGTGGGAAGCAAGCAAATTAAAATGTTCACGGACATGGCGAAAGTGAAACACCGAAGTTCCGTGGCCGCGGTGGCGAGACGTTCACCTCCTCCTCGCCTGGTCGACGGTTCCATGATCCTGGCGGAGCCAGTGGGGGGGGGGGGGGGGGGGGGGGGGGTGGCACGTGCCCCCCCCCTAATCCGATCGAAATTCCTAATTTCGATCGGATCATTGGGGTTTATTAGTGAAGAATCGGCATTTTGCGACCCCCACTGCCACTGTGTAGCATATTATTACGTGCCAGGGACTCTATGAGATGATAGGACAATAGTCTGAGTCCATAATTGTCAATAAGTAACGGCAAAGCAGTTTTAAGTGACTCACAGAATTGTGCGCAGTTGCGTATACAGCACACGACTTCCCTGAAGGCATCAACACCTTCAGCGAGCGCGATGCCGATCACACAACGCGGTTCGAATTCGATCCTCGATCGATGGCTACGCCATCGCCGCACACGCGTCGAATCAAAATCAAGGGACAAGTCCTTACTTACTAACAACTCCTCTATCATTTTTAAATCCTTTATTAAATCCTTTATATTAAGTTCACTTGCTTGCGCGCTTACGACCGTGCAAATCTTTCGGTCGTTTTTTAACCCACTTCCCGTGATCCAATCGAGCTGACATTTTGCACACAGACTCGTTGTGCGTGACAATTTATTTTCGTGAAATAATTTTCCAAAATTTTCCACTTTTTAGGAAAAAAAAAATGAAACTCTTACTCAATAAAAACAGAAATGAATAATAAAATAAAACCGATGCCACGCATATAAAGGATTTATAGTGAAAAACTTTGTTTTTACGGGTTAATTTTTTCATTGCTGGAGGGGTTGCCCCCCTGCCCTACCTGAAAATCCTGGCTTTGCATATTTGGAGTTTGCGTGTCTCTCTCTCTCCCTGTGGCCACGTGGATTTCCGTGTCGAACTGCTGTTCTAACAGGTCCCTGCGGGGTGGGCTGGTAGGAACGAACAAATGAATGGCTATAATGAAATGAAATGGCGAGGGTACGATACGAAGGGAGAGTTTGAGGCCTAGTTCTAGGCTGTAGGCCTAGCTGTAGGCTCTAGGCCGCTGTGAGTTAATTTTTAATTTAAATGTTTTAATTAAAAACTATCTCAGGGAATTATAAGGGAATTTTACACTTGTTTAGCCAGGAAAGCGTCACTGAGTCTAAAGGTTTTTGTAGGGTCCTGCCAAGTGTTTGCAGTAGGGGGCGATGTTGCTACACCTAATCGGACATCGGACGGACGGACGATATAATCTATTGTAGGTTGGTTCACTTCGTTCCTACCAGTATAAACGACAAATTAATGTCACCAAATAAGGCCCTCTGAGCTGCATCGCTGTCATGCCCTCTCTCTGTCTCTAACACAAGCGACCCACCTTGGCTGCCACGAATTAACAGCTCAAGGAAGCGGCTCATCGCGTGGGAATGTCACAGCGGCCAAATACTCGAACGTGGAAGGGGGGAAACCCCGAGGGCCTGGGGGAGGGAGATCAATATCTCGCGCCTGTAAAGGTAAAGATCCCCCGTATAGCCTTCATGATACTGCTGGGGCAAGAGCTGTCCGCGAGCAGCAGCAGCAGCTAGGAAGGCCGGTGGGTGGCCAGCACCACGCCCGGTTGAGGGCCGTCCATAAATGACGTCACGCGATTTTGGACGATTTTTGTGACCCCCCCCCCCCCACTTCGTCACACGACGTCACAAAGAGTCAGACCCCCCCCCCCCCCATCAAATATGACGTCACAAAGCTCTGCCCCCCCCCCCCCAAAAAAAAAAACATGCTTCAAATCGTTTTACGCTATTGTCATTGTAGTGCGTATTTAATGTGGCGCTGCACTCTGATGTTGTAGGAGAAAACATTTATGAAAAGTATATTTAATTAAGTAGAATGTGTTGTCTATATTTATTTAAAGTTGCGCATTTTGATGTGACGTCACATTTCTCACCCCCCCCCCCTCGTCACACATCGTCACAAATGTCTGACCCCCATCCCCCCTCTAGGTGCGTGACGTCATTTATGGACGGCCCCTTGCTGGCACACCGAAGTACTCGTTATTGGTCGTGATGAGCGGGAATTGGATTCGGGTCGGCGGATGCACAGTGCGCTAATCACTGCGCCACCGCTCTCCTAATTGCGGCACTCAAATTCGTGCAGAAACACATCTTCCAGCACCTCCAGATCTAGAGGTAATCCCTCCCACCTGACACCATCACAATCCTAGATCTAGAGGTAATCCCTCTCACCTGACACCAGCACCACCCCAGATCTAGAGGTAATCCCTCCCACCTGACACCAGCACCACCCCAGATCTAGAGGTAATCCCTCCCACCTGACACCAGCACCACCCCCGATCTAGAGGTAATCCCTCCCACCTGACACCAGCACCACCCCCGATCTAGAGGTAATCCCTCCCACCTGACACCAGCACCACCCCAGATCTAGAGGTAATCCCTCCCACCTGACACCAGCACCACCCCCGATCTAGAGGTAATCCCTCCCACCTGACACCAGCACCACCCCAGATCTAGAGGTAATCCCTCTGACCTGATACCAGCACCACCCCAGATCTAGAGGTGATCCCTCCCACCTGACACCAGCATCACCCCAGATCTAGAGGTAATCCCTCTCACCTGACACCAGCACCACCCTAGATCTAGAGGTAATCCCTCCCACCTGACACCAGCACCACCCCCGATCGAGAGGTAATCCCTCCCACCTGACACCAGCACCACCCTAGATCTAGAGGTAATCCCTCTCACCTGACACCAGCACCACCCTAGATCTAGAGGTAATCCCTCGCACCTGACACCAGCACCACCCTAGATCTAGAGATAATCCCTCTCACCTGACACCAGCACCACCCTAGATCTAGAGGTAATCCCTCTCACCTGACACCAGCACCACCCCAGATCTAGAGGTAATCCCTCTCACCTGACACCAGCACCACCCTAGATCTAGAGGTAATCCCTCTCACCTGACACCAGCACCACCCCAGATCTAGAGGTAATCCCTCTCACCTGACACCAGCACCACCCCAGATCTAGAGGTAATCCCTCTCACCTGACACCAGCATCACCCCAGATCTAGAGGTAATCCCTCCCACCTGACACCAGGACCACCCCAGATCTAGAGGTAATCCCTCCCACCTGACACCAGCACCACCCCAGATCTAGAGGTAATCCCTCCCACCTGACACCAGCACCGCCTTAGATCTAGAGGTAATTCCTCCCACCTGACACCAGCACCACGCCAGATCTAGAGGTAATCCCTCCCACCTGACACCGGCACCACCGTAGATCTGGAGGTAATCCCTCTCACCTGACACCAGCACCACACCAGATCTGGAGGTAATCCCTCTCACCTGACACCAGCACCACACCAGATCTAGAGGTAATCCCTCCCACCTGACACCAGCACCACCCCAGATCTAGAGGTAATCCCTCTCACCTGACACCAGCACCATCCTAGATCTAGAGGTAATCCCTCGCACCTGACACCAGCACCATCCTAATCTAGAGGTAATCCCTCGCACCTGACACCAGCACCATCCTAAATCTAGAGGTAATCCCTCCCACCTGACACCAGCACCTCCAGATCTAGAGGTAATCCCTCCCACCTGACACCAGCACCACCCCAGATCTAGAGGTAATCCCTCTCACCTGACACCAGCATCACCCCAGATCTAGAGGTAATCCCTCCTGCCTGACACCAGCACCACCCTAGATCTGGAGGTAATCCCTCCCACCTGACACCAGCATCACCCCAGATCTGGAGGTAATCCCTCCCACCTGACACCAGCACCTCCAGATCTAGAGGTAATCCCTCCCACCTGACACCAGCACCACCCTAGATCTAGAGGTAATCCCTCTCACCTGACACCACCAGCACCTCCAGATCTAGAGGTAATCCCTCCCACCTGACACCAGCACCACCCTAGATCTGGAGGTAATCCCTCCCACCTGACACCAGCACCACCCAAGATCTAGAGGTAATCCCTCCCACCTGACACCAGCACCACCCCAGATCTAGAGGTAATCCCTCTGATCTGGCATTTGGAACTGCGTGGCGCTCACGCATTGCCACCCATTGGCGGGGAGTCATCACGTGACGCAGTGGCGCGATTTGAAGCGGCAGACGCGGGGACAGAGACAGACGCGGAGACTCCGAGACTCGAGACACAGACAGAGACACAGAGACACACATAGACAGACACAGAGATACAGAGACAGTGAGGCAGAGACACAGAGATACAGAGAGACAGACACAGAGACAGAGAGACACACACAGAGATACAGAGACAGTGAGGCAGAGACACAGAGATACAGAGATACACATAGACAGACACAGAGACACATAGAGACAGTGAGACAGAGACTTAGAGATACAGAGAGACAGACACAGAGAGTCTGAGACATAGAGAGTGAGAGACAGAGACACATAGAGACAGTGAGACAGAGATACAGAGAGACAGACACAGAGAGAGTGAGAGACAGACACAGAGAGTCTGAGACAGAGACGAGAGACAGAGAGACACAGGGACAGAGACACAGAGAGAAACAGAGACACACAGAGACTTAGACACAGAGAGACAGACACAGAGACATAGAGATAGAGAGGCACACAGACACAGAGACAGAGACACAGAGACAGAGATACACAGAGACACATAGGGTCTGAGACAGAGAAACAGAGAGACAGATAGACAGAGAGAGTCTGAGACACAGATACAGACACAGAGAGTCAGAGACACAGAGAGTCAGAGACACAGAGACACACAGACATAGAGACACAGACAGAGACTTAGAGACACAGAGACACACATAGACATAGAGAGATAGAAACATAGAGACAGAGAGTCTGAGAGACACAGAGACACACTGAGGCTCATAAAGACACTGAGAGAGACGGAGGGAGTTAGCAGACACACTGAGACAGTGAGGGACATAGACACACAGAGACACACACCACGGAGACCTCTGGGGAAGAGGTGAGCACATCCTTACTCCCCATGTGTCTCTCCCCCCGTGTCTCTCCCCCCGTGTCTCTCTCTCCCCGTGTCTCTCCCCCCGTGTCTCTCTCCCCGTGTCTCTCTCCCACCCCGTGTCTCTCCCCCCGTGTCTCTCTCCCCGTGTCTCTCTCCCAGTGTCTCTCCCCCCGTGTCTCTCTCCCCGTGTCTCTCCCCCCGTGTCTCTCCCCCCGTGTCTCTCTCCCCGTGTCTCTCTCCCCGTGTCTCTCTCCCCTATGAGTCTCGTGCCACCTTCACCCCGTGTCTTTCTGGCAGCGTGATTAGGGGCCGTCCATAAATGACGTCACACACCTAGGGGGGAAGGGGGGTTTGAGAAATGTGACGTCACATAAAAATGCAATAGAATTGTTATAACAACACTAATTATGATTAATTTTCATTATTAACTATTTTATTATTTAAATTAACTAAGATCACCTTTTATTTATTCCATGGGAGAATGGAGAAGCATAAATTTTGTAAAAATTTTGAATGATTGTTATTAAACATTTTGATTTTAATGATTCTACCAGGGCTTTTCATTCTGTGAAATGAATATGTAATTTTTATAATTGTACTCTCCATTTTGCTTCGTTCTACTACAAAGTTTCAAGTATTTATAGTTATTATTACTTTTAATATTTTATAATTATAAGAGAATGTCAATAAAATATTCTAAACATCTGCAGTTTTAGTTAGACGTTGAATATTTTCAAGTGAATTTAATGCAAAATTTCAGCTTTCCAACGCCTCCTTTTTAATAAATGTTTTCTCCTACATCAGAGTGCAACGCCACATTAAATACGCACTACAATGACAATAGTTTAAAGCGATTTGTAGCGTGTTTTATTTTCAAAATGGAAGTATGGTTTTGGGGGGGGGGGGGCAGAGCTTTGTGACGTCATATTTGAGGGGGGTCTAATTTTTTGTGACGAGGGGGGGGGGTCAAAAATCGTCCCAAATCGCGTGACGTCATTTATGGACGGCCCCTTTCCTTGTCAACCGATTGCGTGACCCCTCTGCCTCGTGAGTGGCTGACGGGACGTGTAAACATCCCGTTTTAAACTATTGTCATTGTAGTGCGTATTTAATGTGACGCTGTTGTAGGAGAAAACATTTATAAAAAAAAGTCTATTTAATTAAGTAGAACGTGTCTACATTTATTTAAAGTTGCGCATTTTGACGTGACGTCACATTTCTCAACCCCCCCTCTCCCTCGTCACACATCGTCACAAATGTCTGACCCCACCCCCCCCCCCCCTAGGTGCGTGACGTCATTTATGGACGGCCCCCTGACTGCTGCTCTCCATATCCACATGATATCCCACCTTGTTGAGTTATCATTTGTAGTTTAGGACGGGGGGGGGGTGGATATTTGTTGTCTTGTCCTCCAGAAGGCCGCGCGGCTGATGAGATGTGTCAGAAGTTATCTGAGTGTGTGTGTGTCACGTGGATGGACCTGTGAAGGGAGGGCGGAGGCTTCTGCTCGTTGCCACGTGACGGGAGACGTCTCGGCCATGTCGGAAGAGCAGCTCCGGCTGCAGGGCAACGTGCGCTCGCTGCAGGAGATGCTGAGGCTCACGGAGCGCAGCCTGCACGGCCTGGGCCCACGCCGCCCGGCCAGCCAGCGCTCGTGAGTAAGACGGGCCGACGAGCTTCCCACGCCTCGTCAAACGCATCGCGGTGGCGGCGACGGCGGCGATCGCCATCCTCGCACGCACGCCCTGGCGCTGCTATCGCTGCGATCCGTGCAGCGTCCACCGCCGCCTTGGGTTGCTCGAAGGAGCTTGACGTTCAGCTGTTACATCATCGTGCCGTACGATAGAAGAAGAAGAACCACCTACCTCGTAGCGCAGGCCTGGGTTCTAGTCCCTTTCAGTGTGGAGTGAGTTTGTTCGTCCCCCGTGTTCTAGATGGGTTTCCTGCGGGTCCTCTGGTTTCCTCCCATAGCTAAAAAAACAAACAAACGAACCGCCCATTCGGTGTAACCGGGATAGGCCGAGCATCCCGATGCAGGACCCATCCTTTAAAAAAGTGCCTTTCAGACACTGTCATTCAGACGCTGTCTTTCCGACAGACCTGTTTTTCACCTGAGGACGGCTGCTTGCGTTGTGGCCGAAACGTCATGAGAATTGTATTTAATGTTTTATTTTTATTATTTTATTATTTCCCTTCTACATGACTTTACCGAAAGAACCAAGAAGATGAATCCCTGCAGTCACGAAAGCTTTAAATCGAAATGGTGAAACCTATTCTTATTTTTTCATTAAAAAAAAAACAATAATCATAATCACACTGATTGCCAGACACTGTCATTCAGACAGTGTCATTCAGACAGACCTGTTCTTCACCTGAATTACAGTGTCTGAAAGACACTGTCATTCAGACACTGTCTTTCCGACAGACCTGTTCTTCACCTGAGGACGGCTGCTTGCGTTGTGGCCGAAACGTCGTGAGAATTGTATTTTATTATGTTAAATTTTTATCATTTTATTATTTCCCTTCTACGTGACTTTACCGAAAGAACCAAGAAGAGGTTTTACCCTTTCTGGCAATTAAACTGGTGTTAAGATGAATAGCAACAATGTACAATCTCGCCAGTGAATGGGCGTGTGTTTAGTGAGGATGCAGAGATCCCTGACCTGACCTTGGATGACCTTTCGGAGCGACCCATCGGCAGTGGCGCCCTCGACGACGACTGCCGCTCGCAGCGAGGTGGCAGCCGCGTGGTGGAGAGCGCGTCCACCAGCAAGGTGCCTTCTCTCGCCGGCGCTGCTTTACACAAATAACGCAAGCCTCGTGTCTGCGGTAATGCTGCTGCTGCTGCTGCTCTGATTTCATCTCGCACTTTGCATCTCGAAACGCCGTTTAATTTAAATGGCAGACAAGCGGAAAGGCGGCCAGAACCAGCGCCGACGGTTGCCTGAGCTCTGTGGTCCTACATTTGGATGTTTGGCCAACTCTGATGACCTCACGAAGCACTCAAACCGGTGGAATTGAGCAGTTAGGTTGTGTGACATACACAGGAAGAAAACTTGGATACAGTTCAGAGTGTTAAGAGTATTTGTTACCTATATGAAATATTATACAGTGATCCCTCGTTTATCGCGGTTAATGGGGACCGGAACCCCTCGCGATAGGTGAAAATCCGCGAAGTAGGATTGGCCCCCTAGGAATTTCCGTATATGTGTGTGTGGGTACCAGAATGTTTAAAATATGTATATTTATACTTTATATATATATTTTACTTAAATCTATTTAATTATAAAACCTTAATATTATACATTCACTCTCTCTCATGCGTATTATGGTGTTCTATACTCACCAATGACAGTAGTATCTTGAGATTTGACTCCAGTAATGACGACGATGACGATGACAATGACGACGATGACAGACCTGTGCAGTTCGATGAATGTGATGATGAATGATGATGATGATGGTGTTACTGCACAGGTATAATGAGGCCTTTAAATCAGTTCGAAAAATCCGCGATGCACTGAGGCCGCGAAACTTGAACCGCGAAGTGGACGAGGGATTACTGTATTTCGATTTAAAGCTTTCGTGACTGCAGGGATTCATCTTCTTGGTTCTTTCGGTAAAGTCACGTAGAAGGGAAATAATAAAATAATAAAAATAAAACATAATAAAATAAAAATTCTCACGACGTTTCGGCCACAACGCAAGCAGCCGTCCTCAGGTGAAGAAACAGAGCTGTCGGAAAGACAGCGTCCCAATGAACACCGCCAAGCTTGGCAGCGTATATAATATGATATGTAAACTTTTTTGTCAAGGCGCTCTCCTTCCCCGACCCAGCTTAAATATACCGCAGGCGAGGGCGTCGGGCCAGTGCCAACAATTTTCCAAGCTCTGTCGAAGGTGTTATCGGCCAGTTCGTGGAGAAAACGCATGTGCGTGGGGGGGAACAACGCTCTATCCCATACACGCAGAGCGAGTGGAGTCCACACTTGTTGTACCGCCTTCTCCCGGCAAGCCAACCTATGGCACCTCCTCGACCGCCCGCGCACGGGCAGGGAGTTTAACGGCGTCGATGTGATTTACCAATCTTCGCTGCCTCCACGGTGCTGGACTACAGGCATTTGTGCGTGCGGGCGTGCAGATGCCACCTGTATCACGCGTAGATGAGGAAAACCTGGAGCTGAGACGGAAGCTCATCAGCCTGTGTTCGGAGAACTCTTCTCTGGTGATGGAGAACCACCTGCTGCTTCAACAGCTCGATAGCGCCAACGCTGAGGTGCGTATCGGCGTCGCGCCCCTGTCGTACAGGCGGCACAAGCGCACGCGCCCGGCACGTCGGCAGCACCTCGGATCTGATGCTCGTGTCGGGGGTGAGCTGCTCTCCTACGATGGAGAGATGTTAACTTCCTCGCCTGTTATACAGGAGGTCGTGGGGTCGGTCCCGACCCTGACGCCTGCTGTGTATTTGGAGTTTGCATCTCTCTCTCTCGGCATGGTCACGTGCATTTATCTCCGGGTCCTTCGGTTTTTCTCTCCACATTTAGAAACGTGCGTTTGGAGTATTTGGCTGCTATCTACAAACATTGCACCGGATAAGCCGCTTGGTTGAGCTGTCATTTGTGGCCAGGTCGCTTCTGAATGAAGCTACATAGCTCAGTGGAGCCTTACCTGGTAAAATAAAAATGGTTAAGTTGACTGGAAATCGCTCGGAAATTCCGACCTCAGAACCGAGAAGAAAATAAAAAGTAGTCACACTTCTAGCAGAGTTGTACGCGTGTGTAAGTTTGTTGAACTTCTTTCGCACCGTACGTAGCGGACCGTGCTAATCAGAGGTGCCAAGTGCTCCTGCTCACAATCATAGCCATGCCATGGGTACACAGCACACGTGAATTCACGAGCGTCGCCTGTCCCTCCAAACAAAAACTAACAAAAAATTGTATCGGCAAATTCCTGCAACCGTTTGATTTTCATGATGAGTTCAATGATGACGTCACCCTGCTGCTGCTGCTGCTGCTCTATTTAAGACCGGGAGACAGAGCAGAGCCTCACCATTCTGGCGAATTGCCCGATGATGCTGGATGCAATTACCAGCGAAACGTCGTACTCAAATTGTAAATGTTGTGGTTTCACTCTTCAACACGCCGGTGGGCTAAAGCAGTGAACTATTTGTCTTGTCAACGTGACACTTTTTTTACTGATTGGCCGTGTCGGGTGGTGGAGGCTTACGACACATTTATAAATAACGCGATCTAACCCAAAAACGTTGATTATGAATACGTTTTTATGTACACGTGTATGTTTTATGTTACAGATAACGCATTTGGAAGGTGACGTGACTGCCTTTGTGAAACGGTCTCGAGACGTGGAAGACAGGGTGTCAGGCTTGGAGTTAAGATCCGCAGAGCAAGATGCTATGAGGAGGTTGGTATGTGCCTGTCGTCAGAACACCCGCTGACCACTGACACACGTGTCAATGGGAGCAATCCCTTCGCCCGACATTTTTGCTCCGTGAACATCAGCTTGTGTGTGTTTTCTAACGGGCAGACTTGAATGTAGGAGCTTGCGTGCCGTGAAGACGGGACCGCCGTGACTGTCCTGACACCTGGAGGATTTGCGAAGCCGGTTTTAGAAGTTTCTAGTGAGCCCAGAAAGAAGAGAGGGCACTGAATAAATCTCAGAGCGGATTGTGATGGAAGCGTTCAGAGAAAGCATTGCCACCATTATGGTGTATTTATTATTGTTATTATTCATCTAAGACTGTCCCACAAAGTTTTTGCTGAAGGGATTGATAATTTCTGCACACTTCCCAATAAAGTAATTTCACAATAGAGGTTTAGATCGCGTACATTTTAATTTGTGTCGTTAAAGCGCCACCACCCAGCACAGTCAATTTTAGTAAGCTTCGTCACGTAGGCAAAACATTCCAATTCGTGAATAGTTCAGCACACCGTTGTGATCTTACCCCAAAAAACCTCTATTATGGATACTATTGGTCGCGAAAGCCCATGACGTGTTAACTAAAGTGATTTCTATTAACGTTTCTAATTGACCTAATTTGGACCAAGGTGCCATCACACAATGGCCAACTCTTCTTCGAATGATCTCACGGGATTTTTAATATCCACCGTGAAGCAGACAGCACGCGTGTGTTTATGATCAGTACACAAACCCTTGTTTCTGGGATTGTGAATGCCCCTTGTGGCTGGGATTGTGAATGCCCCTTGTTGCTGGGATTGTGAATGCCCTGTATTGCTGGGATTCTGAATGCCCCCTGTTTGTGGGATTGTGAATGCCCCTTGTTTGTGGGATTGTGAATGCCCCTTGTTTGTGGGATTGTCAATGCCCTGTATTGCTGGGATTCTGAATGCCCCCTGTTTGTGGGATTCTGAATGCCCCTTGTTGCTGGGATTGTGAATGCCCCTTGTTGCTGGGATTGTCAATGCCCTGTATTGCTGGGATTCTGAATGCCCCTTGTTTCTGGGATTGTGAATGCCCCTTGTGGCTGGGATTGTGAATGCCCTGTATTGCTGGGATTGTGAATGCCCCTTGTTGCTGGGATTGTGAATGCCCTGTGTTTGTGGGATTGTGAATGCCCCGTATTGCTGGGATTGTGAATGCCCCGTGTTTGTGGGATTGTGAATGCCCCGTATTGCACGAGTCAGGGCTGCGGAGGAAGCGTTGGAGTTGGCACAGCAGCGGGGTCAGCAGCGAGAGGCGGAGTGCGAGCGGCTCACGCGCGACGCCGAGCGACTGAGGGCCGAGCTCCGCGAGAGGACGGCGCGGACCAAGCAGTGAGTGTCCACGCTCTCCCCATCCTCCATCGTCGTCTCGACGAGGCGGAGTGAGATCTCTCCACCTGTTACCGTCTCACTCCGGCGTCACCGCTCCCTTCACTTTGCGCCACTGCGCTCGGGGTCGGTGCATATTTGCTCTTCTTCCTCTGTCTGGTTCCGTGTGCTTGTGTGTGCTTGTGTGTGCTTGTGTGTGCTTGTGTGTGTGCTTGTGTGTGCGCGTGTGTGCTTGTGTGTGCTTGTGTGTGCTTGTGTGTGCGTGTGTGTGTGGTTGTGTGCACGCGTGTGTGGGTGTGTGTCTGCTTGTGTGTGCGCGTGTGTGCTTGTGTGTGCTTGTGTGTGTGCTTGTGTGTGCGCATGTGTGCTTGTGTGTGCGCATGTGTGCTTGTGTGTGCGCGTGTGTGCTTGTGTGTGCTTGTGTGTGTGCGCGTGTGTGCTTGTGTGTGCTTGTGTGTGTGCTTGTGTGTGCTTGTGTGTGGGTGGCTAAAGCACAGCAAGTTGGCACAGTAGGGGACACAGGTGGTGCATCAGCCATTCATCTCAGTCATCTCAGTCAGTCGACCCGTGGCACCTGGGTCTGCCCCGTGACCTCCTGCCAGCGGGCGTTCGACACTTTACGTGGTAGCCTCAAGTTGCACATGGCCTGGCACAAGCGTCGTGGTGACGTCACCGTCACTTAGTGGTGAATGGCAGTTGTTGTTGTTGTGTGTGCACGTGCGTGCGTGTATGCGCGTGTGTGCTTGTGTACGCTTGTGTGTGCGTGTATGCGCGTGTGTGCTTGTGTACGCTTGTGTGTGCGTGTATGCGCGTGTGTGCTTGTGTACGCTTGTGTGTGCGTGTATGCGCGTGTGTGCTTGTGTACGCTTGTGTGTGCGTGTATGCGCGTGTGTGCTTGTGTACGCTTGTGTGTGCGTGTATGCGCGTGTGTGCTTGTGTACGCTTGTGTGTGCGTGTATGCGCGTGTGTGCTTGTGTACGCTTGTGTGTGCGTGTGCCGGGCTTCTGGCCGCGTGCGTCAGTGGGAATGACAGTCGCAGTAACATTATGGGCATGTTCCCGTCGAGGCAGACAGCATCCGTGCGTGCGGTAGTGTCATCGGTGCAGGTCGTGCAGCGATGCCTGTGTGTTTGAGTTTATTTCATTTGTTGCACGGATGGTCCCGCTTAGCCAGTTATCCAGCTGTTCTACATGGAGATCCAGTGTGTGGCCAGCCTTGGGTTCATGGCAACAATATAATTCTGGCTGTAATCGCCCGATGAGGCTGTTGTAATTACCAGTGAAATGTCACGGTACTCAAATTGTAAATGTTGTGGTTTTATCTTGACTTAAAGTTTTCGTGACTGCAGGAATTAATATTGTTTGGTCTTTCGGTAAAGTCACGTAGATAGGTTCAAAGAAAGTAACACACACATAGGCACACAGGTGCATCTATGTGTGTGTCTCTCTCTGTTTGTCTCTGTGTGAGTCTCTCTCTCTCTGCTTGTGTGTCTGTCTGTGTGTCTCCGTGTCTATGTTTTGTCTCTCTCTCAAATTTAGCAATCTTTGGAAGAACGTAATCAACCAGGCAGAGTGTTGACTGTTGTGTTGGCCTCTCTGTGTTGTATTGCATTGTATTTCCAAGTTTACTATGTTTGTTTTCTCATTCATTTGTACCTGATGATGGCTGCTTGTGTTGCAATCGAAACGTCGTATTCTATTATTATTTAGTTTAATTTCTCTCTACGTGACTTTACCGAAAGAACCAAAGAGGACAGTACGTAAAATTAGTGATCTGATCCCATTTGTGAAGGATGTGATCCCTGACATGCAATACCCTGGCGTCTACAAACTAAGCTGTGTCTGCGGCAGTAGTTACATTGGGGAAACTAAGCGACATGTCTCAGACCGTGTTCGTGAACATGAGGCAGATCTGAAACACGGTAGGACCAATACCTCGTGCTGTGGCTGATCATTGTTTCAATGCGGTGGGCTCACGCGAAATTGTTTTCTCTAAGACGAAGGTACTTTGCAAACCCACTGGCTATCAACAAAGATATGTTCATGAAGTCATCCATATATACAGACATAGACACACTTTCAACCGAGAAGATGGGTACAAACTTAGCAATTACTGGAAGGACGTTATCAACCAGTTTAAGTCATAACTGGCTATAACGTTTCCATTTTAGACCTGGCAGCCCTTTAATTGGTGGAAGTCCACCACCGGGACCATCAATGCCCACCAGTAGCCCTTGATTGGTGAAAGCCCACCCACCGCCAGTGCCGTCGTGACTCTCTACAAGTACCATCACCTCTAGCCGCAACCTCCACCGTCAACACTGTGAGTGTGTAAAGCGAGGTGCAGTGATTACTTCGCAGCCCTTTTATTGGTGGAAACCCACCACCAGCACCGTCGTCGCCCTCTGAGTACCATCACCTGTTACACCGCCCTACATCACCTTCTAGCACGCCCCTACATGCTGGGGCACACCGTTTTTAAATCCTTTATATTAAGTTCGCTTGCTTGCTTGCTTGCGTGCTTGCTTGCTTACGACCGTGCAAATCTTTCGGTCGTTTTTTAACCCACTTCCCGTGATCCAATCGAGCTGACATTTTCCACACAGACTCGTTGTTCGTGACAATTAATTTTCGTGAAATTTTTTTCCCAAAATTTTACACTGTTTAGGGAAATTTTTTTAAATATTTAATTACCAATTGCTTAATGCTGGCAGACAATCATCTGACCCATAGGTGGCAGCCATCTCAAGCCAGAGGACGAGAGGACTCTAGCCGCCACGCATATAAACGATTTATAGTGAAAAACTTTGTTTTCACGGGTTAATTTTTTAATCCCTTACATTAACATCAGCTGCCCCTCCCATGCTGCTGACACTTGGGCTACGCCCATTTTAAACCTTTATAAACAGTTTGCCTTTAGAGGCTAACCCTCTTTTCCTGATGACGACCGCTTGTGTTGCGATCGAAACGTCGTGGTTTTTTGTTACTTTCTTTGAACCTATCTACGTGACTTTACTGAAAGACCCAAGAATATGTTGTGGTTTTACTCTCCAACACACAACCAGTGTGTGCTGAACTAGAAAACTAATTCGCACGTTTTGTTTACGTGACAAACCTTACTAATTGGCTGTGTCGGGTGGTGCTGGGTTCACGACACATTAAAATGTACGCCATCTAACCCACAAAAACTTGTATCCTGAATTATTATAGGAACACAATACTGTCCCAAACGCAGGGTAGCGCTCGACCGAGGTATATTTGTATAAACTGAGCATGTTTGGCCTTGCAGGGCTGATGCGGAGAAACGTGAACTTTCTGAACAGCTGCAGGAGGTAAAGGCTTCGTTTCAAGGCTACCGGACCCAGTTGTCCGAGAGCCTCCTGCAGGTCTGTACACGGCACACACACAGACACACCAGAGCCTGCTGCAGGTCTGTACACGACACACACACAGACACACCAGATGACGTCACCCTGCTGCTGCTCTATATAAGAACGGGAGACACAGCAGAGCCTCACCATTCTGGCGAATTGCCCGATGATGCTGGATGCAATTACCAGCGAAACACCGTACTCAAATTGTAAATGTTGTGGTTTCACGCTTCAACACACCGGTGGGCTAAAGCAGTGAACTATTTGTCTTTTGTCAACGTGACACTTTTTTACTGATTGGCCGTGTCGCGTGGTGGAGGGTTACGACACATTTATAAATAACGCGATCTAAACCCAAAAACGTTGATTATGAATAATATTGGTCGCGAAAGCCTGCTACGTGTTAAACTGACACCAGAGATGTTACGTGTGACTGTCAATGAGCGTATTGCCGTGCCTGAGTGTGTGTTCTGTGTTGACGAGTGTGTGTGTTTGCGTGCGTGCTGTGCGTGTTGTAGTACCGCAGCAGAGAGCAGTCCCTGGTGTCAGAGTTGAGCCGGGCCCTGTCGGAGTGCGCGTCGGTGAGCGAGCAGCGGGCTGGTGCGGTCTCCGACAACCACGAACTCACACTGCTGGTCAGGTAAGTCGCTCTCCTCACACGCTGTGTGTTCTGTGTACATGGTGTGTTCTGTGTACACGGTGTGTGCTGTGTGTTGTGTAAATGGTGGTGTGTACCGTCTACAAGTTGTGTGTGCTGTATGCTGTGTGCTGTCTACACAGTGTGTGTTGTCTACACAGTGTGTGCTGTGTGTCTCAACATTTTTTTACTTGAGAATAGGTTTTGCCCTTTTTTCTGGCAGCAAAACAGCTGTGTTAAGATGTTAAAACACCAAACTGAAACCTTTTACGAGGAATCATGTCTGCATTAACCACAATACTTGTGGTCAGAATGCAAACAAAACACATACTCTGATAATATATGCGTTGTCTTTGAAACTGACTGGTCCACACCAGAGACAGCTTTCTTTTGAGCCTCCTCTTAAAAGGCGTTAGACCAGAGGACGCCAAAAGGCGTACAGCACAAAGACAACGCCACTATCAGAGTAATGAGAGCTTGCCGCTAGATGCAGTTCAGAATGTAACGTATTTCGTTTGTCACTCGATATTTCTTCGCGCTAAGTGCGGTAACATTTGGATAAGCCTATTGGTGTGCGTAGAGAGCTGCTACAGCGGTGTGATGGTTAGTGCACCGGACCTGGCATCCAGAAGGTTTGCCGTTCAATTCGAACTCCCGTGCGCGGCGGGGTACGGGTACCCGTTTGCGACCCTGGTGCGGCCGGGTACGGGTAAGGAATCAAAACCCGTTTGCGACCTCTGCCCCCTAGGGCCCGCTTCCATGCCATACCAACTCTGGTGCCAAGACTCACGGTTCCACTCTTGTGACAGCAGCTAGCGCTTAACGCCATAGTGACTCCATGTTCGTCACTACACACTCATCGTGTTCTATCCAAAGCGCACTATGAAAGCAACACGCATTAGAGGAGAATGGGCTGTACCCTCTTGGAGTTTTCTCTGGTGGAGGCCCGTCCACCGGCCCGTGCCGCGAGCGAGCAGTTGCGGGGCTGCTCCTTCGCCTGTTGGTGAGCGCAACCCGTCACCGACTCCGTACGGAGGCCGTGGTTTTATGCTCACGTCTTCGTCCATTTGGGCAATTGTGGATGCCTTCTGTCTGTTAAAAATAAATGGTCATTGAAGACCCTTGAGATATAATCACAAACTAAAAAAAAAAATCTTTTAACAGATTATGAGAAAAATTTTGTCATTCCAATGGGTTCTCACCCAACTGAATATTAATCGCCCTGTGTGCGAGTGTTTATGGGAAGCAGCGGCGAAGTGGTCAATTAGCACATTGTGCTACGAACCCGACGACCCGAGTTCGATTGCCATTCACGGCCAACATCATTGACGTATATTTGAACTGGTCCTAGGCCTCCTCGAGGTTGATTCGTACCTGGTGCGGCATTAGGGAGACAACGGTGGGCATGCGTGGTGCTGGCCATCCATCCCCTCGTGCACCATCCAGGCTCGCTAACAACACTTGCCCCATCACTCTGAAGGCTACAGGGGGAATCTTTGTCTTGTCTATGCAGTACTTTACAAGAAAACTGCCAGACCTTTGAGGCCGAGGTTTGCCGTCTGAAGAAGGAGCTGGAGACTATGCAACCGGTAAGGTGGCCAAGCGCCGTTGAGAACACGAGCGGACAGAAGCGATGACCGTGATCGCAGAGGTTTCTCAAATCATATTTTCTGAACACATACCGTAGGTTTTCAAGTTGCTGCAACAGCCTTGGTCAGGGCGTATCTCTGCGTCTGACTCCAGGCGAGAGGGAAGGGCAGTGAGCCGGCGGTCGTAGTAGCGTTCCGGAAGAACACCGCGTTATGGAAAAATCGCGTTATAATAAATAATGTATTATGTAGGGTAAAGCACAGTCCGCAATAACACGTGAGATGCGTACGCAGGCTGAACACAAAGACTGAGGCGCGTGGGTAGCATCCAGAAGCATCCAGCAGCATCCCAATGCCTCGTGTGATGCTACGCCGAGGCCGCCGTACAACCGCTCATTCCTACTCGCGTTGATAAAACGTGTTCCCTCATACATTCATCGCGTTCTATCCAATTTGCGTCATAAAAACAACACGTGTTATTGGAGAACAGACTACACAGCTGTGTAGCAAAACAAAAGCAAGTGAGTTGCGTTCACATTACGTGCAACGTTTGAAGGATGCAATCATTTACAGTGGGGTCCCAGGGAGGTGCTGTGTTTTTTCAGAAATGTCATCCACTACCTTAAACTTCGTGATGTGACACGCTGTCGAACACACTGTACAACGAAAACGAGCTAAGCTGTGCGACGACTCTCAATGCTTATCTGGCCTTGGCTCTGCAAGGCTTCCGTTTGCTGAACGAATATATATTCTCAGGTCGCGCTCGTTGCACTCAAAGCGCTTGCCACAAATGAACCACAACACCTCACTAATCGCGTCAAGGAGCATAAACCACCATCACGTGCACTCCGATCATCGCAACAGCAGCAGCTTTTGACATTGAACAAAGACGGTCACCGCATCACGTGGCGCTTTCAGATGTGCTCCTGCGGCCGTCTGGAACGCTCTTCTTGCCGATATTAGGAAGCCACTGGAGCTATGCAATTTAAATCTCAATTGAAAACTTATTTCTTTCGAACTGTGCTTTGCCTTTAGTTTGTTGTCCTTCCCCCGTACCTCAGATTAGCACGGTTGGCTCCGTATGGTGCGAAAGAAGTTCAACAAACTCCTATGTAAGCGTCACCAATTTTTTTTTTTATTCTCTAGTTGCTGGGACAGAAACCTTCATCCTCATGCAACGTGAAATGTGGGCCTGATGAAGAGGATATGCCACCTTCTGCCAGCCTCGGGTCACATGACATCACGGAGCTGAGGTTTGTGTTGAACGTGCAATATGTGTCACCTTGGTTGTTCAGGGGTCGTCATGTATTTTTGACCTGAAATAATTTATTAGTAATACATTTTTCTGTTTGGTCATCTAACGATCTCACCGAACCTGTGACGCTCCACCACCCGACACAGCCAAGTTGTCGCGTGCACAAGCGTTTTACCCGTTGGTTGTTATATTTTCAGCTCGCATCAGTAAGTTGAAAAACAATTCCCATAACCAGATTTATCGACTAGATAAGACATTTCGTTCATTATGGGACAAGATCCTTGGTAGTCAAATTGACGGTCCAGCAAGTCAGAATTATTATGACATTGACTGCAAAAACTTAGGTGTTCGGTTGTCATTTATTTTTCACAATAGGCATAAAGATAAGTGTTGCACAAAGGCCCATTGTATTGCAATATGGAATTTTCAATCGTGACTCGCAACCACAAGCCAAGCCGAGCACTGCCGCACAGCCGATCGAGCGTGGGAGAGGCTTTTCATTGCCGAGCCGTGCGCGCCCCTTCTAGGTCGCTGCTTTGCAAGAAAGATCGTGAGCTGGAAGCGCTGCAGAGCGGTGCCCCGAGCAGTCGCTGTCCGGCAGCGCAGCGGAGCGCGTCGTCAACGCAGACGGACGGTATGCGCCGGGCAACGCGCCGGGCAACGCGCCGGGCAACGCGGCCGCACGCTCGGCACGTGCGGCCTCGGCGGGAGGGACGCCGCCGGAGTTGGACGTCGTGGTTACGTTCCTGATCCCTCACCCCCCCACCCCCACCCCCCGCATCGTCCACACAGACTACGAGCTTCTCGGGTGCAAATGACTACAAAAACAATCAATGGCGGAGCCAGGATTTTCAGGTAGGGGGGGGAACCCCTCCAGCAATTAAAAATGATAGGAGTTGTTAGTAAGTAAGGAGTTGTTAGTAAGTAAGGAGTTGTTAGTAAGTAAGGAGTTGTTAGTAAGTGAGGAGTTGTTAGTAAGTGAGGAGTTGTTAGTAAGTAAGGAGTTGTTAGTAAGTAAGGAGTTGTTAATAAGTAAGGAGTTGTTAGTAAGTGAGGAGTTGTTAGTAAGTAAGGAGTTGTTAGTAAGTAAGGAGTTGTTAGTAAGTGAGGAGTTGTTAGTAAGTAAGGAGTTGTTAGTAAGTAAGGAGTTGTTAGTAAGTAAGAAGTTGTTAGTAAGGAGTTGTTAGTAAGTAAGGAGTTGTCCCTTGATTTTCATTCGACGCGTGTGCGGCGATGGCGCAGACATCGATCGAGGGTCGAATTCGAAGCGCGTTGTGTGATCGGCATCGCGCTCGCTGAAGGTGTTTGCCTTCAGGGAAGTCGTGTACTGTATACGCAACTGCGCACAATTTTGAGTCACTTATAACCGCTTTGCCGTTACTTATTGCCAATTATGGACTCAGACTATCGTCCTGTCATCTCATAGAGTCCCTGGCACGTAATAATATGCTACACAGTGGCAGTGGGGGTCGTTTGTTTATGTAAACCTCTTTACCTTAAACGCTTCCTGCTCGTTTTGTGGACCAATCGGTCATCTCGGGGCACGGGAGAGGCTGTCTCGAGGAACGCTGGTGCTGAAACACAGCTGCTGTCGCGTTCGGCTTGTTTTTTCCCCGTTGGGATCAGACGACGCGAGGCTGCACGGGGACACGATGGCCGAGGCGCTGCAGGAGCGTCTGCGCGAGGCGGAGGTCTCTGTGGCCTCCCTGCAGTCCCAGCTCTCGCAGGCGTCGTGCAGAGCCTCCCAGCTGGAGGCGCAGGTACGTCACCGCCACCGCCGTCGTCACCGCCACCACCAACACCGCCGTCGTCACCGCCACCGCCAACGCTGCCGTCGTCACCGCCACCGCTGCCGCCACCACTACCACCGCCGCCGTCACCACCGCCACCACCACCGCCGCCGCCACCACCACCGCCGCCACCACCGCCGCCACCACCACCGCCACCACCACCGCCATCACCGCCACCACCACCGCCGCCGCCGCCGCTGCCGCCAGAGGCCCCCTTGGAATGTCATCTCTGTGGGCGCGGAGCGAGTCGATGGGAAGTCCCTTGCCCAACTGAGCAGTCGGGTGGTTGCTCGTCTTCTCTTTAAAGCCCTCAGCTGGTGGTGGAAATTACACGTTCCTATGATTGTGGGGCGGGGAAAGCTGTCCGTAACTGAGTCCCGCTTTGTTGGGGAAGTCAACGATGGTGGGCAACGATGGTGGGCAACGACCGTTGCCTTGAGTTCACGGGAACCACAACCGCTTTACTCATAATAGACGAGTCTCCTTCTTTCGTACGGCTGATGTAGATGCAGGGCAGCCACCGCAGTTGCACTTCCAGGTGGTCAAGCCAGACAACCGCGTCGGAAGCAGCTGAGTGTATTTCTGTGAGTTCTACTTCTTATCTGTGGATCGGAGAATTGCCTCGTTATGCGTTGTAGGCCTCTGTTCTGGTTGACCAAATGTCGCACACTGCTGGAGTGTTTAAAATTTTCCGTTCGTGCATCAGGTGACCGCATCTGCTGCCATGGTTTGTGCAGTAGATGTGATCTATTGTGGACCATGAGCTTTGTGGAAGACCGTGAGTCGTGGAATGAACGGGTGATATAACCCATAAAAACAAAGTTTTTCACTATAAATCCTTTATATGCGTGGCGGCTAGAGTCCTCTCGTCCTCTGGCTTGAGATGGCTGCCACCTATGGGTCAGATGATTGTCTGCCAGTATTAAGCAATTGGTAATTAAATGTTTAATTTGTTTTCCCTAAACAGTGTAAAATTTTGGAAAAAAATTTCACGAACATTAATTGTCTCGCACAACGAGTCTGTGTGCAAAATGTCAGCTCGATTAGATCACGGGAAGTGGGTTAAAAAACGACCGAAAGATTTGCACGGTCGTAAGCAAGCAAGCACGCAAGCAGGCAAGCAAGCAAGCAAGAGAACTTAATATAAAGGATTTATAAAAAAGGAGTAGATTGGTCCTCGGTGTGAGTGAGCGAGTGGCCGGAGTGAATCGGTGAGTACTGGCTCATCGGTTGCCCTTCTTGTGTGGCTTTCGCTCGCGCCTGTTGTTCGGTTTCGCAGAAGAAGAAGGGGTCGAGTGAAATGGCCGCGCTGTGCAGGCAGCTGGAGGAGAAGACCATCGCCTTCAACGCCAGCGTTGGGCACTGCACCGAGCTGCAGCGCGAGGTGGAGGTGAGATCGCAGCGTCGCCGGCGAACGCTGCCATCTACCGTGGAGCACGACCGCCGTCACCGGCGGGGTGGCAGTGCAGCGGCAACGCTCGAGCCTCACGGCAACGTGCCCCCTGGGTTTGATCCCCGACTTGAACATACAAACTCCAGATTTGAAGCTTTCGTGACTGCAAGGATTCATATTCTTAGGTTTTTTCGGTAAAGTCACGTAGGTAAAAAAAAATTAATAAAAGTAAAATAAAATAAAAATCACGACGTTTCGGAGGCAACACAAGCTTCCGTCTTCAGGTGGAACCGTCACAGCACGATAGCTGTAAACGTCGTGATTTTTATTTTATTTTTATTTTACTTTTATTAAATTTAATTTTTTTACCTACGTGACTTTACCGAAAAAACCTAAGAATATACAATCTCTAGTTTCCTCCCATAGCTAAAACAAAAACCCATGGGGTTAAACATCACAATGCTGAATAATTACCTGCAAATTACTCAAATTGTAAGTAAGGTTAAGATGACACAAATGCAAATGTGTTTCCGGAAAAATCGGTGTTTCTAACCAAATTTTGCGGTCAAGATCGTATTTTTTTTTTTTATAACTTACACAGATTGCCTCACTGAGACGTTTGCAGGAGGGTCCTGCCAAGTTTTCGCGGTACGGTGATGGTGCCCTGTGTGTGTCATGCCAATTGGGTCATTTGCTGTGATTTTTATCCAATACCATTTACATTGTGTGGGAATTTTTTAGCTGTTTGTAAGTACAGTTCAACGTCTCATATCGTACTCTTGACTCATGCTCTTCAGATGTAACATCGCTGCTAAGCTGGCAGGTCGGTCAAGTTTCTGAACAATTGCAATCACTCAGAAGTACATCGAACTTCGCAAAATGTCAACGGTAAAAAGGAAACGTAACGTCCACGGGCATGACGAAGTATAAAGTCACCACCCTCGCCTTCCGTGTCTCGCAAGCCGCTTGCGACACCGCGTTGGCACCTGCGCACGAGCGCGGATAACAAACACTCCGATGCCATCGTCAATAACGCCGCCGCCTTCAAAGACGACCAAACACGTGAGAGGCGACATTTCGGACAATGCCCCTTCTTGCCCACAAAGTCGCCTCTGACACGTTTTCATTCTTCGACATTGGGATGTTTGGCCAACGCCACTTACACGCGATGGGGTTTTTTTGTTTTTAAGCTGTGGGAGGAAACCGAAGAACCCGGAGGAAACCCTCGTGGAACAGGGGTGACTATGTTTTGATTTCGAGTGCAAGGATTTTCTTGTGGACAACAGCGAAACGGTTTGAGTCGCGGCGGTTAAGATGTGGTGCTCCCCGTATGCTGCCGCTGGCGCTCGCAGAATAAGACGCGAGCTCTGGGCAAGTTGGAGAGGCGCCTTCGTGAGCAGGCCCAGGAGCTGGAGAGAGCTGCTGGGAGCACGAGGGAGAAGCACGACGAGGAGGTGGCGGACCTGAAGCGACGCGCGGCAACGGTGGGACACCCGCAGTGGCAGTGCAAGCACGCACGCGCAGACGCACACACACGCACGCACGCACACACGCATGGACACGCACGCGCAGACACGCACGCGCAAACACACACGCACGGACGCACACGCATGCAAGCACACACGTATGGCCACGCACGTACGCGCAGACACGCACGCACATGCACACACGCATGCAAGCACACACGCATGGCCACGCACGCACGCGCAGACACGCACGCGTGGACGCACATGCACGCACGGACGCACGTGCAGACACGCACGCACGCAAGCGAGCCTGACTGCCGATGAGACACTGAACATCAAACCGGTCCAGAGTTTTGCTTGTGTGCTGCTGATTTTATGCACTGGCATTAGGCCGCGTGGCCCGATGAAATGTGTAACAACTTACTTTGATCTTGTTGATGTGGAGGGACAGACATGGGAAGGAGAAGACGTGTTGTCTACTGGACGCCTGTGAAAAAGAGCTTCATGGCTCGTCGGATTTCTCCAGGATGAGTAAAGATTCTGATTCCGATGTCTGCTCTTTGCTGTTGTCGGTTTTCACGCAGCTGTGCGAGATGGCCGAGCAGGCCGAGAAGAGAATGCAGAGGGCGCAGAACGAAGTTGCTGACCATCGGCAGGCGCTGGAACGTGAAAAGTTGCGTGCACAGGAGCTACAGATGTCCCTCGAGGTACGTGATGAGCCTGCGTGCTCACGGCTGCCACCACTGTCGGCGCAATGCTCACTAACGAGCAAATCTTAAGCAGAGCCCGTGGGCTGGGGGGTCGTGAAAGCCTTTCATGGGAGGGAGGTTCAGGCTGCGGCGTGGATACCGTGCTGGGGAAATTACTCGGAAATGCTCGGTGACCTCCTGCAGGCTACAGGTGTCACCACATCCTTTGCGCGCTCCGGATTGAGCCTCGCCTGGAGTTTATTGGAAGGACTGCAGCAAGGGTTTGTGGATCACACAGATGTTGTGAAACTCCCTTCCCAGTGCAGTTAGCCTGGTGGTCCACCCCCGTAGGCTGTTATCTGGTAAAGGGGCAGTTATAACTTTGTGATGTGTTGCCTCCAAAGAGTAAGTCCGCGACTCGGTTGAATCCACGACACATGTTATAATTCTGATTCTGTATTATGAGAGTAAGCAATGTTTATAATACCTTTTCTATGCATATTTAGAGGGTGCTTCAAAAAAACACTTCTTAGAATTTGCAACAACTCCACAGGAAATATGCCCTCGGGCTCTGGAGACCACCTGGAGAAGATTCCAGGCACGTGTTGACAATGATTAACATAAAAGTGTTAAAATATTTTTAAAGCACCCTGTATTAAAAAAAAAAAATAGTTGGTACTGTTTGTCAACTCCCATGGTAAAAGCGTAGTGAGTTGGTGGTAACGTGCGTGTATGGTGCCCCCGGCTAGGACACGAGGAGGCAGCGGGGGAGCAGTGAGGAGGCGCTGGGCCTGGCGGAGCGCAAGCTCGTGGACGCCTCCGCCAAGGTACGTCGATGTGCGCGTGTTGAACTTCTTTCGCACCGTACGTAGTAGCCAACCGTGCCAATCGGAGGTGCGGGGGAAGTACAACAAACTGAACGAGTTCCCAGAGGTTTGCACCACAGGGTGAGCGCCAGGTCCCGATGCCTGCGCTCACCGCGTGAGGTCGGCTGCATAGCGGAGGAGGAGGAGGGGTGCGGCAGTGACGTGCGGTGAGGTCAATGGCTGGGGAGGCATTGGCCAGATTCACACACTGAGGGGCGTGGCCTCACTGAGGGGGCGTGTCTTCACTGAGGGGGGCGTGTCCTCACTGAGGGGGCGTGTCTTCACTGAGGGGCGTGTCCTCACTGAGGGGGCGTGTCTTCACTGAGGGGGGAGTGTCTTCACTGAGGGGGAGTGTCTTCACTGAGGGGGCGTGTCCTCACTGAGGGGGGTGTGTCTTCACTGAGGGGGCGTGTCTTCACTGAGGGGCGTGTCCTCACTGAGGGGGCGTGTCTTCACTGAGGGGCGTGTCCTCACTGAGGGGGCGTGTCCTCACTGAGGGGGCGTGTCTTCACTGAGGGGCGTGTCTTCACTGAGGGGCGTGTCCTCACTGAGGGGGCGTGTCTTCACTGAGGGGGGCGTGGTCTCACTGAGGGGGCGTGTTAGACATGTCCCCCTCAGTGAGGCAGATGTGATAGCTGCCTCCCCTGGTGCTTTTTCATTGCAGTTTCATGACGAGACCAGCGAGTCTAAATATCTTTATACACATATACGTGAAATAAGTTACCTGGAGTATGACAGCTGAGGCTCTACCTCCCCTGACCGCACGTCCCTGGGGTGCGGGGACTTGCCGCCAGCCCGCGTTGTGTCGCACGCTTGCTTGGGTTCCCCAACGCTGTTCCCGCTGCCCTCCTCGCGCGGTTAGGGGCCGTCCATAAATGACGTCACGCACCTGGGGGCGGGGGAGGGGTCAGACGTTTGTGACGATGCGTGACGGGGGGGTTTGAGAAATGTGACGTCACATCAAAATGCGCAACTTTGAATAAAAATAGACGACACGTTCTACTTAATTAAATAGACTTTTTAGAAAATGTTTTCTCCTACAACATCAGAGTGCAACGCACGACAATAGTTTTAAGCGATTTGAAGCATGTTTTTTTTTTGGGGGGGGGGGGCAGAGCTTTGTGACGTCAGATTTGAGGGGGGGTCTGACTTTTTGTGGACGGCCCCTAAATATGTTATTCGATGACTGATATTACTCGTGTTATTGAGAAGATAAAGGCAGTCTGTACAGCAACAGCAGCAGTCTGTACAGCAACAGCAGCAGTCTGTACAGCAACAGCAGCAGTCTGTACAGTAACAGCAGCAGTCTGTACAGCAACAGCAGCAGTCTGTACAGCAACAGCAGCAGTCTGTACAGTAACAGCAGCAGTCTGTACAGCAACAGCAGCAGTCTGTACAGCAACAGCAGCAGTCTGTACAGTAACAGCAGCAGTCTGTACAGTAACAGCAGCAGTCTGTACAGCAACAGCAGCAGTCTGTACAGTAACAGCAGCAGTCTGTACAGCAACAGCAGCAGTCTGTACAGCAACAGCAGCAGTCTGTACAGTAACAGCAGCAGTCTGTACAGTAACAGCAGCAGTCTGTACAGCAACAGCAGCAGTCTGTACAGTAACAGCAGCAGTCTGTACAGTAACAGCAGCAGTCGGTACAGCAACAGCAGCAGTCTGTACAGTAACAGCAGCAGTCTGTACAGTAACAGCAGCAGTCTGTACAGCAGCAGCAGTTTGTATAGTAACAGCAGCAGTCGGTACAGCAACAGCAGCAGTCTGTACAGTAACAGCAGCAGTCTGTACAGTAACAGCAGCAGTCTGTACAGCAGCAGCAGTTTGTATAGTAACAGCAGCAGTCGGTACAGCAACAGCAGCAGTCTGTATAATATCAACAGCAGCAGTCCAATGATGAAGCACATTCACACGCCAATTAAGTTGAAATGTGCATTTTTACCCAAGGCTGCGGAAAGCTCAAATCTAAATATTGACTTCCCTTTCCCCGAGGCTCTGGAAATGGAGTCTGAACTTGCGACCAAGCAGGCGGAGCGTGTGCGCTGCCAAGAGAAGCTGCAGCAGAATCAGCAAGAGCTACAGGCCAAGACGGAGCAGGTGAGCGGATGGCAACGGACGTGCAACTTTGCGTTCGCACCCAAGGAAGAATTTGTGCGGTCGGGAGGCTGGAGGAATCACTGCGCTTTGTGCAGATCTCTCCATGTCAAAACAACTCATCCTCCTCCTCCTTTCAGAAGAGGAGGAGGATGCTCCAGATCGCTTGCGCGATGTGTATGTTCATAACCCGGTAATGCTGACTATTATGTGAGTAAAATATATATAGGGTGTGTAGCCATATATCGAGTCAATAGATACTACTTACTATTGTATTTAGGGTGTGTAGGAATTTCCAGGGTGCTTCAAAAAAATGTGAACACTTCAGAGAATTTGCAACAATACCACGTGAAGTGTGCCTCCGGGCTCTGGAGACCACCTGGGGAAGATTCAGGGAACGTGTTGACAATGATGGCGAGACTCTGACTTTTTGAAGATATTAGCAAAGATTTGTTATCATGTTAAAGTGTATTATCTGTTAGTTTAACACGTACGCTTTCGCGACCAATATTATTCATAATCATCAACGTTTTTGGGTTTAGATAGCGTTATTTATAAATGTGCCGTAACCCTCCACCACCCGACACGGCCAATCAGTAAGGGGTGGGGAACCTTTTTTCTGCTAGGGCCATTTGGATATTCATAACATCATTCGCGGGCCATACAAAATTATCGACTTAAAACTTAGCCCGTTGTTATATTTGGTCAAACATTTAATGAACTCGCCCCTAATGCGATGGCTGTAACTGCTTCTCCTTGGCGAGGCGCGTGATGTTAGCTTGGTATTGACGATGTTGCTGCTACTCGCAACTGCTTTTCCAGGTTTGCTCCTAGCTTGATTGAATTTCGAGTCCCACCTGCGGTTGCCTTGGCAGGGCCACACCAAATTATTTCACGGGCCTCATACGGCCCGCGGGCCGGACGTTCCCCACCCCTGCTCTACGGCGTGGGGGGGGACGGTGCGTGGTGATCTTCGTGTCTCCGTGCGTGCGTAGTTGGAGCTGCTGAACGGCGCCGTGGCCGAGGCGGAGGAGCAGGCGGGGGAGTTGCGGCGAGCTCTGCGCGAGCGCGACACCATGCTGGCGCTGGGCGCCGCACGCGTCGAGGCCCTGGAGGAGGCACAGGCGCAGCTGCAGACGCAGGTGGACTGCCCCCTCGCTCTTTGCGGGACACTCTCTCTATCTATCTCTTTCTATCTTTCGTATGGCATGGTTCAAGTTCAAGTTCATTTATTAGGTATAGCCCTGTGAGCCATTCGGCTCTTGAATCGGGTGCAACCGCAACAAACAAAAACATGAACAAAAAACATTTTAAAGTGAATATGTGACTAAGTGCAAACAGAAATCCAAGAAAAGACAGCAAAATATTGCAGAAAAAAATCACCGTACACCAACGCTGTGTGCAAAAATCCCAGTGGGATGCAAGTCAAACAACCAACAACAACCACAAGACAACTTAGATTAAGGCCATCAGTCTAACTCTGTACTACAACAAACAAACATGGCTAAACCAATACACTTTTCGAAATCACCAAAATAAAGCCATAAAAGCAATGAAACCGTGATCATAGGAACTGTGACGGAATTTTTACAATAAACGGCATAAACAACATGTACTACCAAAACCCTGCAGCCATAGCTGGCTGCATGATGGGTGGGGGAGAAAGCAACAGTTTTTTATGGTGGTCATAGTTTAATGTAAAGGTCGCCCTATTAACTACTAAGGCCCCACTGAGCTACGGAGCGCTTTTTCAGAAACGACCTGGCCACAAATGATAGCTCAGAGAAGTGGCTCATCACGTGGAAATTTACACCAGCCAAATACTCTAAGCGCACGTTGATTATAAACGTGGAGGAAAAAACTGGAGGACCTCGAGCAAAAATAAAGAAACTCCAAATGTACAATAGGTGTCAGGATCGGGATCGAACCCGTGACCTCCTGCATACCAGGCGAGGGAGTAAACATCTTGCCACCACGGCGCCCCAACCACTCGCCTTCATTTAGCACTGTTGGCTACGTACGGTGCGAAAGAAGTTCAACATCCATACACACAACCACTCCCAGGAGGTGGTAGACGCTGCATGGATGGCAGCAATGCTGCGAGGATGTGCGTGGATGGCACGCTCGTCGGCGATGCATTTGACGGTTTGGGCTTCGCCAGAGTTACGGGCCACTCCCCCGATAGCACATGGGGCACTCCGGTTGTGACCCTTGGTGGCGCAGTGGTCACACTCGTGCCTCGCAGGAAGAAGATCCCGGGTTCGATTCTAGGCTCGTGCGCCTCCCTCCGTGGAGCTCATATGTTCTCGCGGATGTGACGTGTGTGGGCAGGTGTGCGGCCTGGAGCAGAGTCTGCACGCGGAGCATGAGCAGTCGCGCGGCGAGCAGGAGAAGAGCGCGAAGCAGCAGCGAGCGCTGCAGCGCCAGCTGCACGAGGAGAGGGAGCGGGGAGCCGCCCTCGCCAGCAGCGTCAGGTGGGGAGTCTGGCTCGACTCGAGTCTCACGCTCGCCGCCCAGGAAGCGTCACCACCGTGGGTGCCGGCACGCTGTGACCCGCTCTCTCCCCGAAGCGTCGCCAGGCGGCCCACGGCTCGCGCTACGACCGCCACACACGTAGCACGGCGAGGCGTGAAGACTCCAAATTAGACCAGTACGGTGGCGAGATGTTAACTGCCTCGCCTGCTATGCAGGAGGTCGTCGGTTCAATCCCGACCCTGACCCCTGCTGTATCTTTCGAGTTTGAATGTCTCTGTCCCCGTGGTGACGTGGATTTTTCTCTGGGCTCTCCGGTTTTTACCTCCACATTTACAATCAACGCCACGCTTTTACAGTATTTGGCTGCCCTAGATTTTCACGTGATCATAGTTTATAATCGTTTATTGTTTAAGTCTCGAGACTTCTTTTTTGCCTGGGATCCTTTTTTTCAGTAGTTCCTGGGATACTTTTTTTCAGTAGGAGGCAATGTTTCTGCGTGTAATTCCAACCGAGTAATTTGCAGGTGATGTTTCAGTGTTGGAATATTTTGGGCAATACCAGTTACATTGCATGAGGAAACACTTACAAAACAGGGGGAGAACTCCACACAGAAAGGCAGGAATCAAACCTAGGAGCTTCTTGTTGTGTGGCGCGCTTGTCATCACTGCGCTATTCTCATCGGCAACTTATCTTTGAGCCAGCTGTAGTAATAGGTTTTTACACTTTCAACTGGTACAAAAACTGACACCTTTATACAAGGCATCATGTTTGCAATAACCACAACACAAGCAGTCAGCTGAGCCAGCTGGTCCACACTTTGTGTGAACTCCGCATCATTTAACGTTGGGCGCGTGTGTCTGTCACGTTTGATACCTCTGTATGCGCTTGAGGTTTTGCTTTCGCACACGCACAGTAAGATGCCACGGGGGCCACGTGCTGCTCGTAAACCGAGAGCGGCGTGGCCTGTGGGGGCTCAAGGGGGTTTTTCTCGCCCCTGGCAGCGAGCTGCAGGCGGCCGTGCGCGACGGCCAGGAGGAGGTGGCGAGGGTGCGTGCCGAGCTGGGCAGCGCCAGGGAGAAGGGCAGCCGGGAGGGCGAGCGGGCGCTGTCTCTGCTGGCGACGCTCAAGCAGGCCGAGAACGAGCTCCGTCACAAGACGCAGCTGGGTGGGCGCCAGCGCCTGGCAGAGCTCCTGTTTAGCATGCTTCGCTGCACCCGTCACCGCGGGCCAGTTAACTGGGATCCCAAGACCCGTTCGGACATTCCTCATCGACGTAGTCGGCTGTGACCAGGAATGGAACTAAGGTTTTCAAGTTTGCGGCGCGGTGCACATGGCACTGTGCCACCGGTTCACCCCCAATGTCCGTGACTCTAACCGTCACAGCTCAAATAAATCCCTGCTACTTTGGGCATACGCAGAATCTGACTGTGGCGGCGGGATCTCAAAAGGGGCTGCAAAGCCGATCCACCGGTTCCCCGCCAGTGAGCGCGTCGAGACGCGGCGATGCACGACGCACACTCGCGCGTGTGTGGGGATGGGGGCGGGGACACGTGGCCTTGATTGGCGAGGGGGAGGGGGGCGGTAGGCACCGTCTCAACAGGTTGATCGTCGTCCTGGACGTGGCCCCCGCCTCCCCCCCGCAGCGACGGAACTGCAGGACAGCCTGGCGCGCGGCCTGCAGCAGGCGGGCGACACGGAGCAGGAGCTGGGGCGGGCGCGGGCCGAGCTGCAGCGCGAGCGCTTGGCGGCCGCAGAGCTGAGCACGGAGCTCCGCGCCACGGAGCGGCGCTTGCACGCGGAGCTGCACGAGAGGGACAGGCGGCTGCACTCGATGGCGGAGAGTCACGGGTGAGGGGGATGGGGGAGCGCGCGGGGGGGGGGGTGCGGCCTTGCAAGTCGACGTTTTTTCACGTCGCCTGCCGCTCGCCACCGACCCAGCGGAACCACTTGCATGGCTGTTGAGACGCTTGGCAAGCGAACGAGTGTTCGGTTTGGTTCCAGGTAGAACTTCTAAAAACGAAATCGGTTGTGTCGTTATTGTTATAAAGACAGGGCAGATGATTTGGTCATGGGTTTGTGGTGGTGGTGAGAGGTGGCGTGGTAGTGAGAGGTGGCGTTGTGGTGAGGTGGCATGATAGTGAGGTTTCATTTATTAGGTATAGCCCTGTGAGCCATGCGGCTTTTGACTCGGGTGCAACCGCAACAAACAAAAGCATGAACAAAGAACATCTTAAAATGACGACGCGCCACAGAAACATCCAGGAAAAACCAGCAAAATCTTCCAGAAAAAAGCACCGTATATCAACGCTGTGTGCAAAAATCCCAGTGGGATGCAAGTCTAACAATAACAACCATAAGACAATTTAGATTAACGTTATCGGGCTAACTCCATACTTCAACAAAAACAAACCTGGCTTAACCATACGTTTTCGAAATCACCAAAAGAAAGCTATAAAAGCAATGCAACAGTGATCATAGGAACTGTGATTCAAATTTAACAATAAACGATATACATAACATATACGTCCAAAATAGCTGGCAGCATGAGTCACTCCATGGGTCGTGGCGTGGTGTCGAGGTGGCGTGGTATAAGGTGGCGTGGTGGTGTGAGGTGGCGTGGTGTTAGGTGGCGTGGTGAGAGGTGGCGTGGTATAAGGTGGCGTGGTGGTGTGAGGTGGCATGGTGAGAGGTGGCGTGGTGTGAGGATTTGAGGGTGTGAGGTGGTGCAATGCGGCGCTGCGTGCTGTGTGTGCCGCTAGTCAACTGCGCGGCTCCCTGTGCGAGAGGGAGAGGGAGGTGGAGGAGCTGCAAGTGGAACTGGAGGAGCGCCAGCGGGAGCTCATCGCCAGAGCCACGCAGGTACACGTCCTGCAGCTGCACAACGCCAACAACGCGGGGGGGCAACCTCTTAGTGTTCACATGGCTCCCCCTGGACTGCAGATTGTAAGCGGATGAATCGGAGTTTTTGGATAGAGGGAGCCAATAACTTGTCCTAGCGGGGGTCGAGGTCCGCCTCTGTGGAGGAGGCTCGTGAAGGACGCTGCTGCTGCTGCTGCTGGGCAGTTGGAGGCAGTCGCCCTCCAGCAACAACGGAGGGCAGAGGAGCGACGCTCGCAACAACAAGCGGAGTGCCGGGCGGCTAAAATGCAGCAAGTTGACACAGTAGGGGGCACAGCTGGTCTATCTGCCAGTCATTTCAGTCGGTTAACCCATGGCCCCTGGGTCCGTCTCTTGACCTCCTGTCAGAGAGCGTTTGACACACCATGTGGCCTCAAAGTTTACCTGGCCTGGCACATACACCGTGGTGATGTCACCGCCACTTCATGGTTCAAATGGCAGCTATTGTTGTATGTTCTACCTCTGTTCTGCATGGGTTTCCTTCAGATTAAAAACATACAATGTACAGTAAATAGATTTGGCCAAACTTTTCAATGTTGAAAAATTACCTGCAAATTACTCACTTTGGATTAAATATAGCAACATTGCCCCCTACGCTACAGGGAATACACTATTTCACATCGATTTATGATCGTGCAATATTGTCGAGTTCTCATGTGACACCGTTGTTTTTGCGCTGATTTCTGTTCGTTTCAGTGGTGTACTTTCTTTTGCTTTGCTTTCGTCATTTTGGTGGCCCAGGCCACGATTGCAAATGGGACTCTATCCTGGTTTCTTTTAGTTTTACCTGCTAAAACAAAATAAAATCAAATCTCGTGCGAAAACTTAACAAGAGCCTCGGTAAGACTCAGGAGGGCTTTTCTGGGTATACCTAGCAAAATAATAATAATAATATTTAATGTCGTGGCTTGTTAATAGATGTTTTCATCCATTGGATATCCGGAGCGTTTGTTGTGATTTTGCGCCTTCTGAATAGAGGTGATGATTGTCGGAGCACGCGGTTGAGACGCGTGTGGCAAGCAGCTCCCCGCAGCGACGCGCGCGCGTATGTGTGTGTGCCCTATAGCTGTCGGAGCTGGAGGGGCGAGTGAGCGAGCAGGTGGTGTCGCTCCGCACGGAGGTGGACGCAAAAGAGGAGCAGGTGCTGGCACTGACAGCCGACACGAGCTCACGGAGCGCGCCACTCACGCGCCACGTCTCCCGCTCCGTGTCTCCCCCCACAAGTGGCGCCGACAGACACCGCGTGCTCCGCACACGCGAGGCCAAGTCGTACTTCACCACGCAGATTGCTTTCAGCATAATGTTAAAAGAGCAAGGACACTTTTCGATTTAAAGCTTTCGTGACTGCAGGGATTCATCTTCTTGGTTCTCTCGGTAAAGTCACGTAGAAGGGAAATGATAAAATAATAAAAATACAACATATTAAAATAATTCTCACGACGTTTCGGCCACAACGCAAGCAGCCGTCCCCGACAGACCTGTTCTCCACCTGAGGACGGCTGCTTGCGTTGTGGCCGAAACGTCGTGAGAATGATTTTATAATGTTTTATTTTTATTATTTTATTATTTCCCTTCTACGTGACTTTACCGAAAGAACCAAGAAGAATAAAGAGCAAGGACACTTTCTTTAGTTCTTAACAGCCACTCTTGATGATGAGACACAAGGCCAAAGTGATTTCCTGCTCAAATTGTGGCATTGGTGCTCATCTCTTGTTTAAAGCCCTGTGCCTGTGGGGGAAAAATTCCACATTCCTAAGATGGGAGCGGATCTATCCACATGACAAACCCTGTTGGCTTCCTCATGAAGTGTTACTCATTGACCACCCGAGTTCTCTCAAGAGGAGACATCCCGTGGCTTCTATCCGACGCGTGTTCAAGCAGAGACGCACTCGGGAGGGTTACCCAGCAATGCCGGGTCTCTGGCCTCCGTGGGCGTCACGGGGCGGGGGGGTCCCACACACCGGGAGGCTAGAGCGTGGAACGCGCGGCTACTTTGCTTGTCCCGTCCACCCAGCCCGCCGTACATTCCTGCCTCTCTCCACTGGACGCCGGCCGTTTCTGCTGCCGAGTCTTCGCCTAAGAGCACCCAGAGTATTGTCCTGCTCACTGCGGCCCAGTTAGGGTTGCTGCCTCTTCCACAGCCAACCAACCCTCCTCCGATTTCTCAGTCAGCTTAGGCCTATTAACAATGTTGTGGTATCCTGCGATGCGTTTTTAACACAATGCCGGCACCATGCCTCCGTACAAATCGTTTCCTGCCACCCAAACACGGATATCGATTCTTGGACTGTCCGTGCGTGTGAAACCTGGGCTGCTGACGACCCTAGGCTGGGATGAGGGAATTGCACATTTTATCGTCAGTCAAAGCGTTTCTTGCAAAGTCAACTTGGGCACTCGTTCTTTGATCGCCTTCGACAACGTCACCTGAATCCATCCAAATCACCACTTCACCTGGGGGACCAATAGAAGTCCGGCAGAGATGTTGAATGAAAATTTGACGCTTAAAAAAAAAATACAAGTTGCAGTGGCAGCACCAAAGACAACCTGGGCTCGGGCTGACACCAACACTTCTGCCACCACCATGCTTGCTAACGTCACTCTCTCCCAATCTTGCTCCTCAAAGATCTTGCAGATGGAGGCGAGGTGCGAGCAGCTGAACACCCAGCTGAAGGAGCAGACGGCGGAAGGTGAGAAGAACCGTGCGCTCGTCATCACCCTGCAGGCCAAGTCAGAGGAAAAGTCTCAAGCACTGACAAGCCTACGTGAGGTACAAAGACAAAGATCGCCCATATTGCCTTTAAAAGACCGTTGTTGGGGCAAGTGCTGTTGGTGAGCCACCGATGAAGGTCGATTGAGCACTCGAAGGGGGTGGGTGGTCCAGCATCACCACATCCAGCTGCCTTTGTCTCCCCAGCGTTGATGTTTTTACACACCGTCACCAGATGCTCATTAAGGCTGGGAGGGCGGCAGCGCAGTGGTGACACTCGGCGCCTCACTGCAAGAAGGGCCTGGGTTCCATTTCCAACTCGGGTTCCTTTCAGTGTGGCGTGTGTATGATCTCCCCCTGTTCTGCAGTGTGAGTGATAGTGTGTGGCGTGTGTATGATCTCCCCCTGTTCTGCAGTGTGAGTGATAGTGTGTGGAGTTTGTATGCTCTCCCCCTGTTCTGCATGGGTTTCCTCTGGATTCCCCAGTTTCCTCCCGTAACTACAACAATCATATAATGTAACCGGTATTGGCCAAATATCCGAAATGTGGAAACGTTACCTGCAAATTACGGCACTGGGCTTATGCACGTAGCAACGTGGCACGCTGCGGCGAAAAATTTGGCAGAAGCTTCTTGAAAAAGTCTTGAGACTCGGCGATGCCCTCCTGGGTAAACGGGCGGAGGAACAATACCAATAATAACGCTCACCACGTCTCCCACCAGGTTTGCCTGCAGCTGCGCGCCCGCGCGGAAGGGTTTGAGTGCCGCCTCGTCAACTTGCAGAGGGAGGTGGAACGACTCCACCAGGAGATCGAGGAGAGGGAGAACCTCAACAGAGAGAAGGCACGCAGCGATTTTACATTTCACCCCCAAAAAAAAAAAACACTTAACGTGACAAAAAAAATATCCCCTTGGGATGGAACGCCTCGTTTGCAAGGGAGTCTGCCGGGATGTCGGTTGATTAACATTTATCGCACACGTGATGTATACAAAAATCCCACGTATATCCTTTAACAGACTGTTAGGATAAGTGCTGTTCGCGAGCTCTATGAAGACCAGCACGGCACACGAGGGGGTGGGTGGACAGCACCATGCCCGGGCCGCCTTTTTGTTCTTAGTGGCGATGTTTACACACCGCACCAGGTTGAGTCGACATAGGGGAGGCCCAGGACCGGTCCAGATAATCGTCACTGATGTTGGTCGGGAGCGGGAATCGAACTCGAGTCCTTGGGTTCGTAGCGCAGCGCGCTAACCACCACCCTACCGCTCCCCAATGTACACACGTGTAATGAGCGACTTCCGCGACACGTCGTGTCGAGGGTACTTCTTTTTTTATTTCTTACACGGGCACAACACGGGCCAACCTTATCCTTCTCAGAGAACAACACTTAGATATTAACGTTTCTCCTGGCTACACACACGGCCGATCACTCGGCACGGTCTCACCGCCCTCACTCGGCTACGCCGCTGGCTGGCGGCGTAACGAGGATGGCGATGGAAGCCCCACGTGGCCGGACGACGAAGAGAGATGACGGCGAGTAGCGACGCAGTCCGAGAATCCACCAACGAACCCCGAGCCCTGGTCCGACCTCCGCTTATATCTCCCCAGGCGCGGCTAGGTTCCGCCTCCGGCCACGCCCTCTCGTGGAACCTTCCAGCAGGTTCCCGGAGCATCTCGGCTAACCCCGCCTATTACCTTTGCCCCAGATACGTCTCCCTTTCAGATTGGATGTTGTCTTAGCGGTGCCTGTGCCCGTGCTTCCCTTTCCCAGCCAGCAGGTGTCATCATGTCATTACACACGTATACACTCACGTACACACAGCAACACGTAGTACACGTACGCATGTACGGCGCACACACACATACAACTGTTACGACTTTGGGACCGAAGAGTAGAGTAAGTGCTGGAGTATAAGGAGAGATGTTGAGTACGGGCGGCATTTAACTTAACATCAATTTGTAGAGAATCGATGCCCAGTGAGCCATAAGGGTACCATAGTGGTCTTAAGTGAGTTTAAAAATTCATTGCCTATTAACTACAACTAAGTTTATCTGGTCCTTAATGCGGGAGTTAAACCATCGCTACTACCTCGACCTCTTAGTCCTTTCGGTAAAGTCACGTAGGTAAAAAATGAAATAAAAATTAATGAAAATAAAATAATTTAATTTTTTACCTACGTGACTTTACCGAAAGAACTAAGAGTATGAATCCTTGCAGTCACGAAAGCTTCAAATCTAGAACTACCTCGACCCTCACCAACAGCATCGTGCCCCCGCTACGGCAGCATGCCTGCACACGATACGGTTGCGCGAGAACGCAACTTTCATGTGCCGCTGTGTTCTTCGTAACAAATGTGTGACTGGATCTGCATTGACGTGCGCGCGGGATATTTACGCGCGGATGTCGTCGTCTTCGCAGGACGAGCAGGTATGGCGTCTTGCCGAACAGCTGGGAGCGTCGCAGGCCAGGGAGACGCAGCTGCAGAGCGAGGTGCAGCGAGAGAGAGAGCTGCACCAGCAGCAGCGAGCAGGGAGCAGCGAGCAGGGAGCAGGCAGCCGCCCTCGGCAAGAGGTTGGGGCGCGAGTGCGCACGGCTGAACGCGGCACATTTTGCACAGTTATCTGCGAAACATTGTGCAACTGTCCATAACTTGTGATATTTTCATCCGAAGTTGAGCTATTTTATATAAACTTAGATTACGATAAATCTTGACTTAAATTACTTGTATAAACTTACATTTTAACACGTAGGCTTTCGCGACCAATATTATTCATAATATATGTTTTTGGGTCAGATCGCATTATTTATATATGTGTCGTAACCCTCCACCGACCGACATATATTTAAACTAGTTTTACTACCCGGCTTCGCCCGAGACTTGGATTCTTGTCACTTGGATTAATACACGGCCTGTGCGGAGGGTGGGGGGGGAGGATGCGTGACGTCAGCAGGCACACTGCGTGACGCTGCCGCATGTGGGTGACAACACAGATGTGACGTCACCGCTCACTTGCCGTGCAAAATATCCATTATTGCGCCCCCCCCCAAAATACAAAAGTCTATTGTTATACGTTTTGCATTGTGTACAGTCTGGAAGCTACCCACATGCCAAATTTCCAGTTTGTTGCATGTCAGGAAGTATGCTAAACATTTTGAACAGACACATTCACAAATTTCCCTTTTATATATATATAGATAAGCACATCTCATGGAACAAAATAACGTAAAGATTCGGGTGGGTTTTGTGTCAGGTTTCCGATTTCCGTAGATAGTTGGTCGTATAACGGGGTCGACGAGGCCTTACGATTCACGTGGAGCGGTGGACTTCACGGCTCGTCGACCGCACGAGGGCACCGCACCGCCACCGAGCACGTGGCCACGGAACGATGAGAGCCTCTCTCACCCCGGCGCTACGACCACCCCACACGCAGCACGACGAGACTGTGAAGACTCCAAATTAGACCAGTACGGTGGCGAGATGTTAACTACCTCGCCCGCTATACAGGAGGTCGTAGGTTCTATCCCGACCCTAACCCCTGCTATATATTTCGAGTTTGAATGTCTCTATCCCCGTGGTCACGTGGATTTTTCTCTGGGCTTTTCCGGTTTTTCCCTCCACATTTAGAATCAACGCCACGCTTTTACAGTATTTGGCTGCCCTAAATTTCACGTGATCATAGTATAAAATAGTTTATTGTTTAAGTCTCGAGACTTTTTTTTTGCCTGGTATCCTTTTTGTCAGTAGTTCCTGGGATACTTTTTTTCAGTAGGAGGCAATGTTTCTGCGTGTAATTCCAACCGAGTAATTTGCAGGTGATGTTTCAGTGTTGGAATATTTTGGGCAATACCAGTTACATTGAAAGAGGAAACCCTTACAGAACAGGAGGAGAACTCCACACAGACTCCAAATGAAAGCAGTACGGTGGCGAGATGTTAACTGCCTCGCCAGCTGTGCAGGTTTGTGAGTTCGATCCCGACCCTAACGCCTGTATATTTGGAGTGTGCATTTTCTCCCCGTGGTCGCGTGGATTTTTCTCTGTGTTCTCCGATTTTTACTTTCACATTTAGACTCAACATGCGTTTAGAGTATTTGGATGCTATACATTTCCACGTTATCAGACATTTATTTGAGCTATCATTTGTGGCCAGGTCGCTTCTGACATAGAGCTCATGGGGCCTTACCTGATGAAATAAAATAAAATAAAATTTTAGTTTTAGTACAGCGTCATTGCCACAACTGTTCTTCACCTTTATGTGATGTCATGTTGAAGCAACTTTGGATTTATTTGTATTTGACTTGAGTATTTATTCACGGGAATAATATTAAATGTAATTTATGTCTGTATTTGTAAATAAACACGTTTGTTCTTGACTTAGTTTGTTCACAGTCTTTGATGTTTCAAATTCAGGTATTTGCAATTAATATTACAAAACAACACATGCGTCTTTGTTTTTCAAATAAATAAAATATATTTAGCTATTTTCTAAAATACATTTGCGTTACTTGTGTCTTGTTTTATCTGCATTGTACATCTCGCTGTGTCGGTACAGGATGACAATTTCAAAGGTAAGATAAGGACGATCTCGCCCAAATGCGGCTCAATCCGACCACGGCGAGAGAGGCTTGGCTGCCGTGGATTTGACTTGGACGCACTGACGACAAACCGGGACTAAAATTCGGCCCAGGCATTTGTAAACACACCGGCTAAAATTCGGGCTGTGGGCAATTATTTATGTTTTTTTAAATCCTTTATATTAAGTTCGCTTGCTTGCTTAGGACCGTGCAAATCTTTCGGTCGTTTTTTAACCCACTTCCCGTGATCCAATCGAGCTGACATTTTGCACACAGACTCGTTGTGCGTGACAATTAATGTTCGTGAAAAAATGTTTCCTAAATTTTACACTTTTTAAGACAAATATATTTTATTACCAATTGCTTAATGGTGCAATGCAATCATCTGACCCATTGGTGGCAGCCATCTCAAGCCAGAGGACGAGAGGACTCTAGCCGCCACGCATATAAAGGATTTATAGTGAAAAACTTTATTTTTACTGGTTATACTTATTTTGAATGTGTTGTGCAATGACAAACTGTGTTCGCACTAGATTTGCGATGTGACTGGCTGTGGCGTGATTTTCATTGGGAATCGCGCTGCTTGCGGAGTTTCTCCACGGCCGTGGCACCACAAGCCACACAGCCGGTGTCCGTAATCGAGGATTTTTGGCTTTGAATCGCCTAAATATGCAAATGTTGTGTCGTTAAACCCGCCACCACCCGACAACCGCCAACTTCTTCTTGGTTCTTTCGGTAAAGTGACGTAGAATTGAAATAATAAAACATGATGAAATAATTTTCGATTTAAAGCTTTCGTGACTGCAGGGATTCATCTTCTTGGTTCTTTCGGTAAAGTCACGTAGAAGGGAAGTAATAAAATAATAAAAATAAAACACAATAAAATAATTCTCACGACGTTTCGGCTACAACGCAAGCAGCCGTCTTCAGGTGAAGAATGAGACACTACCAAGCTTGGAGCTTATATATAAGCTGGGTTGGAGGTGGAAGAAGAGCGCCTTAACAAAAGAATGTGCATATCAATAAAATAATTCTCACGGCGTTTCGGCCACAACGCAAGTAGCCGTCCTCAGGTGGAGAACAGGTCTGTCTTATTTAATTATGTTTAATTTTTATTATTTTATTATTTCCCTTCTACGTGACTTTACCGAAAGAACCAAGAAGATGAATCCCTGCAAGTCACGAAAGCTTCAAATCGAAATTTAACAGCCAACTTAGTAAGGCTTGCGGACGTTAACGTAACGTGTCAATTTCGTTACGAGGGCAGCAACACGGCTCTGCTGGAGAGTAAAACCCACGACATTTACAATTCAAGTACACACAGTGAGTGCGTTTTCTTGGTTCTTTCGGTAAAGTCACGTAGAAGGGAAGTAATACAATAATAAAAATAAAACATAATAAAATAATTCTCACGACGTTTATTATGTTTATTATTGTATTACTTCCCTTCTACGTGACTTTACCGAAAGAACCAAGAAGATGAATCATTGCAGTCACGAAAGCTTCAAATCTGGGTTGATATCTCGCTGTGGTTCAGTTGTCGTTTCGTTTGCTCTTCGAGGGAATTTCGGGATCGCCGTCATGTCGCGTTACGTCACGATGCGTGGCGATATTCGTCATATCGCGATAAAAGTCACGATTTATCGCGATACTCTTCATACAACGATATTCGTGATATCGCGATATTCGTAATTTCGTGATATCGCGATATTCGTGATATCGCGATACTCATCGCGACCCCCCCCCACCCCCCGTGCTGAATCCGTGACGTATTCGCGGCGCGCGCCCTGATGACGTCACGCGGAGCTTAGAGAGAAGATGGCGGCGAGGAGACAACTCGGGTAGAGACACGGAGACAACAGAGACACGGGGAGAGAGACACGGGGAGAGAGGCACGGGGAGAGACACGGGGAGAGACACGGGGACAACAGAGACACGGGGAGAGAGACACGGGGAGAGACACGGGGACAACAGAGACACGGGGAGAGAGACACGGGGAGAGACACGGGGACAACAGAGACACGGGGACAACAGAGACACGGGGACAACAGAGACACGGGGACAACAGAGACGGGGACAACAGAGATACGGAGAGAGAGACAGGGAGAGACACGGGGACAACAGAGACACGGGGAGATAGGCACGGGGAGAGACGGGGACAACAGAGACACGGAGAAAGAGACGGGGAGAGACACGGGGAGAGAGGCACGGGGAGAGACAGAGAGAGACACGGGGACAACAGAGACATGAAGAGAGAGACAGAGAGAGACAGAGAGAGACACGGGGAGAGACACATAGAGACACGGAGAGAGACACGGGGACAACAGAGATACGGAGAAAGACACGGGGACATGGAGACAACAGAGACACGGAGAGAGACACGGAGAGAGACACGGGGAGAGACACGGAGACAGAGAGACACGGGGACCACAGAGACACGGATTATTGATTAAATGTGGCAGGGAATGGGGGTCGCTATGGAATGTGTTGGTGACCAAAACAATGTACAGCAGTCAAACTGTGTTGTTGATGAAAGACTAAGGAGGGTAAATAAACTAAATAGACGCAGTTTATTCCGTCACTTGTTTACCTATCACAATGTGTTGTTGTTATCTGCTGTATACACGCTGCTGCTGCTGCTGTGTACAAGTTGCTGTGCGTGTAATGCAGCCCCCCCAACTATTTGGGTCAAAGACACAAAAAAAACCCTAAAACAATGTCTCTCTCTCTCTTATTCTTCTTTGAAAAGTTGCCGTGGGTCGAGTAATAACGGAGTGACGGCCAATGAATGGGGCGCGTCCGAGAGCGCGTACACACAACACCGAGGGGTCGTGAACTCACGTGCAAGACACTACGACTACTACACGTGATTGTTACACACCCTTGCAGGATTATGCTGCAGAAATTACATCTTTACATAGTTTCATTTGAACACAAGTCACTGGTGAAAGGCCCTCGCCGATGGCGACAATTGGCACGGACAGAGTTGTAATCGGCGAGCGTGAAGACGGTTCTTCTGGAGCTGAGAGTAAGGTTATTTATGATGATGAGGTTGTGGTGTGAAAGAGATTAGTCAAGGCGATGATTGGAGGGAATTCCAATGGGGACAGCGAGAGAGTAAGCAGAAGGTGAAGTGTTGTTGTAGGTGTTGAGCCGGTGACATGCAAGTCGGTGACATGCAAGTTAGTGACATGTAACTTTGTGATATGTATTTCGTGACATTGTTACTCGCTGATATGTACCGCTCACCTGCCGTGTTCTTTTTTACGTTGCAGATCTTTGTAAAAAAAAAATACAGTTCCACGAGCAGGGTGAAAAGTCACCCCTTCTCGCTTGCCTGGGCGATCATGCAGAACCCCGGCTTCACTGGCTTTTCATTTGGCATTGCCAACTCGTCAAGCCAGCCTCCTCCACCGCCCCTGACAAGTCAGCCAAGCTTCGAGTCTTTTGGCCAAAGAAGTTCCTTACCATTCAACGCCCTCTCCAATCATGGAACCGCCTCACATCCGTCAACGTTCGTTCAGCAGCCACCAGCCTTTAGCCAGTCGAGTAATAATTTTTCTCAGCAGAGCAGCGCGTTTCAGCAGCCTTCCAACGCGATCTTTGGTCAGAGCAATACTGGAGTCTCCTTCTTTCAGCCGGCAGTCCCGTCCTTTGGTCAAACAAGAGCCCCCCCGGCTTTTGGTCAGACCTCGGGATCCAGCGTCGCCACGAGACAAGTCTGTTGGCTCTGGGCTTAATGGACGTTTAGGAGGAGATGGCATGAACGCGGGTCAGAGTGCATTCTTCGGCCAGCCCTCAAGCCAGGCAAGGCTCGGTGGTTCATTGTTTAATGCACCACCGAGTCAAGGCTTTAGTCCTTTAAGGATGAGCTCTAATAGTCTGTTAGGTGCAAATAAGCTCTCGACAAGCTGGAATCGGTAATGCTAGTAGCTCAACATTTTCCAGCCCGTCCCGAAATACATTTTTTCAGTCCTCGGTTGACACTGCTTCACAACTTCCATCCACCAGAGTTGGTCAGTCCGGAGGTGTGAGCTATCAACAAACGGGCAAATTAAATTTCGGCCAGCCTTTTGATGAGAGTAAAAAAACGATCCCCAACATCACCTTGCAACGTTTCGTGGTGAACAACGAACAGCCGTCTCCGAACAAAGGATCTGACCATCCGCCCACCGGTTCTGGATTCGCGAGGTCAACTAACATGGCCAAACCTTTTGACATTGCCCCAGAGGGTTTTGGCTCGTCTGCACGCTTCGGTATTGAAGTGTCCGTGAACCAGGAAACCGGTTCCAGGCAGCCTCTGGTTGCCTCCAGAGGATTAGGAGCAATGCCTTTCAGTTTTAGCAAACCAGATGAACACAAATCGCACCACGTATCAGAAGCTTCTGAGAGGAAAATTGCAGATGCGGCGCCTGACACCGCTACGTTTAGATTTACAAATCCAAATACATCAAACGCCAGCAGTGGTGGAGCTACAGGTTTCACATTTAACCATCCTGATTCCAACAGCTTATTATTTGGTGCAAGGAAGGAGGAGGAGAAAGGTACCGGACTCCCGTCAAACAAAGAACGTTTCGCGGAACAGAATTTGTCCAAAACCGAACAGTACAGCGCTGAACCATTCCCGAAGAGTGACCGCGAGAGCGGATCTGCGTCCGGAACGTTGTTTGGCGCGTCTAAAGACAGGAGGTTCGAGGAGAGGAAGCGATCTCCCCAGGGTAAGGAGAAGAGCGACAAACCTCCGCTGAAGAGGACGGGGCGCATGGCTCAGAGGGGGGGGAACCTCTTTAGCCGTGCTTTGCAGGACGCTTGCCAGGGCAACAAGAGAGAAAGGCCGTCGAAGAGACCGCTTGATTATGACGACAGAGACAAGAGTCGTGCAGATAAAGCTGAACCCTCCACCTCGCGGGAGCACGCTGAGGTACCCGGGACAAAGAGGGGTGCAAGAAAGCATCAGGGTTACGAGAAATTGAGGGTGGACGAAGACAAACCGTTGGCGCATCGCCACGCAGAGCGGGAGTTGACGAGGATGAGAAGCAGGGAACCAAAACCAGGGAAAAAAGGCAACACAAAGGACTCAAGCCTCGCGGTCGTATTGACAAAGCAACAAGTGGGGAGCGCTGCGAAGGACGTTGAAGACTCTGCGGCTAATGTAAGCGGAGCAAGAAAATTCCAGGCAGAGAAAATAAAAAAGGACTCCGTTTCGCCTCGTCATGACGTCGCAGAGGAGTCAAAAAAGACGAGGATGGAGGCTTCACATCGGAGAACGCGAAGAGGTGAGATGAGAGCAGCGGTCTCCCCCACATTGCCTCGTCTCTCCTGTGTTGCTCGCCTGTCTCTTATATCCGTATCTCTTGCCCCCTTTTCCCATGTCGTCTCATCTCCCCGTGTCTCTCCCTCACATCCTTACATCTCTTGTACAACTCTCATCTTCCTGCTCTCTTCTGCCCTGTATCTTCCCCACCTTGTCTAAATCTCTGCATCCCTGTGTAGTGACATCGCGGGCTGTCACTGTGTAGTGCCGGCCCGAGAGAGGCTAGGTCAGTGCTGATTGATAGCGCTGGATGGCATTGGCGTGTAGTGCCAGCCCTACAGGATAGGGTGTCGGAGTGCTGGCCGTAAGAATGGGGTTACTAAAGGTCATGGCACTCTGGTTGACCCCTGAGGACACCTGACCGGTTAAGTCTACAAAGGGGCCCCAAGTGGGGGCTCGGGGTGGTCACGTGGTCGGGGTCCAGATCCTGCTCGAGGATTCTGGAAGGTGGTCGTGGCCAAGGGTGGAGCCAGCCACGCCGCAGAGGATATAAGCCGGGTCCCCAGAGGGACCGGCGCTGTTGTTCATCCTGAAGAAACTTTCGTACTACGTACTACGTTCTACAAGTCTCCAACACGTTGTAATTAGTGTAGTTAGCCTGGTGGTAATAATAATAATTCAATTTATAACGCGCGCAAATTTGCGGACGTAACGGCCGCAACTCAGAGGCACGGAGCCAAGCTCAGAGTCGCTCGAAAGCGTGGCTATAGAGGTGAGTTTTTAAGTCTCTCTTGAAGGAGGCGATTGAGGTGATGCTGCGAATGTGCAGAGGGATTGCATTCCAGACTGTTGGTGCTGACACCGAGAAGCGGCACATAGATATGACCATCCTGGATCTTTGTATCAAAAGGAGGTCGTGAGTCGCGCTGCACAGGCATCTGCCGTGTGCTGAGCTGCAAGTTGTCAATAATGAAGGAAGGTACGGCGGGCAGGCAGATATATAACAACCATAGGTTGTTATTTTGTTAAGGGGCAGTTGCCCCGTGTGTTGGTGTTAAATAAATGTGATTGCATCCAAGAGTACGTCTGAAACTCGGTTGAACTCACTACACCTGTAACTTAAGATTTAATAACCAATCGTGTTGTCTGATTGGATTACTCTGTAATTATTATAATTCGCTTTCATCATAGTTCTACATTTTATTGAATTTCGAGAGAAGTCATTGATATCCATAATATACGTTTTTTTGGGATAGATCGCGTACATATAAATGTGTCGTTAAACCCGCCACCACCCGACACAACCAATTAGTAAGGTTTGTCACGTAAACAGAACATGCCGATTCGTTACTAGTACAGCACACACGAGTATTTTTGGAGAGTAAATCCACAACATTTCAAATTTGAGTACAAATCTGAGCCATTATTATTCCCTGTATCCTGGCAAGCTCTATCAGAGATGCTTGCATGTAGCAAGCGGCCCCTGCCTTATTAATTCGCCCTGCTTTTGAGTTTGAGTTCCTGCTTAACCGTGGTCTCCCTCTGGCTGTTTGCTGGTTTGAGGATGAACCCAATGTTCAAAGTGAGTTTCTGCTCACATAAGCACTGAGGTGGTGCTTGTCCCCTGTGTGCAGCCTGGGCCGGTGGTGGAAATTCCTCATTGCTATGACAGGACGAGTATTTCCATAGGGCAATCACCGTTGATCAAGTCGAACTACATTTTCCGACGTCAGGTGATATCATGGGATGAGAAAAGAAGTTGACAATGTCACATTGTATTTCTCAAGTCTGGTCATTTGCAAAAGAGGGTTTATGAGTCATTGATTGATTGGTTGGTGATGTGTTTTTGCTGCTATTTATAATTTCAACACCTCGTAATAACAACCCTGTTCCATTCAAGCGTGCTGCCTGTTGTGCCATCGCGTCTGGCTCGGTGCACTGTTTCTGAGCTGGAGTGGAATGGTTGGTGCAGCAGTGAATTGACTCAATAATGCAAACGCTTAAAATGTGGAGAGTTCCGAGTTTTGGTGAATAGTTCATATTAACGGGTTTCGTGGAACATTTTTTAAATCATAATTATGGATTACGTTGCATATCTGTGCTTTGTAATTTAAAGTGGTAAAAGTGTCAATTTGTTTTTCTTTTCGTGTTTGGCAGGGTCTGTGAAAAATCTGCTTATCAAGAAAGTTAGTTCTGAGAGTCCTCCATTGAACTGTGGCCTCGCCATCACCATCGTCCTCGCAACTGTGCTCCATTGTGTGCAAGCACGTTCCCCCCGAGCGGAACACGCGAGACGCCGTGCGGGCGTGGTTCGGCAAAGTGCGTCGCATCACCTGCCACCCGCAGAAGCAACAGGCCATCGTGCACTTTGAAGATCACGTGAGCGCCACTGTTCTCACAACTACTGCTGCCTACCATTGTTATTACTCGGCTCGCTTACTGCAGGAGCCTCATGGAGGCTCAAGATTCTCTCTCTTTTTTCAGGGAGGGTCCGGCTTATGACTTCACAGTTGAGTATTATCGAGTTGGGTCATTTACAAGTAATTAGGAAAATTTGGTTCCTGACTCCAGGCACGCAATGCCCTACTCTTTGATATCCACTGTGGAGCAGACGGTTCATGTTAATGTATAGCTCATACACCGTCATACACTGATTGTGGTGATGTTGCCTGAGATAATTGTGATCAAAATATGTTCGCTCCGTTGTTTAACCAAGTGCCATTTGATGTGACGTGGATTGTTCTGGCTGTGCTACACAGGCCATGGCCAGCGCTGCTCTCCGGAAAGGTTGGAAAGTTGGAGGAAAGGAAGTGTCTCTCTATTGGTATCGCCGACGATCAGGTACACCCACCTTTGACGATGCATCGAGGTTATTGACTTTCTCACCGCTTAAGTATTCTGAATAACTATCTCAAAGACAAATAGCAGTGAACTATTTGTCTTTGTCAACGTGACACATTTTTACTGATTGGCCGTGTCGGGTGGTGGAGGGTTACGACACATTTATAAATAAACGCGATCTAAACCCAAAAATCGTTGATTATGAACTATCTCATTGTTCGGTTATATTCGCGGAGGAGCGGTGGTTCAGTGGTGACCGTATTATACGATGAACCTGGCCACCAGAGTTCGATTCCTGGCCACGGCTAACAACGGTAGCGAGCAATATCAGAACTGGTCCCGCACTGATTGGCATGGTGAAGATGTATTTGGGTAAAATTCCACAATGTCCGGAGTGTCGGGGGAACTTCATTCGGTAGTGGAATAAGGTGGGAAATTTCGTAAACTGAACGTTCGGAATTCGATTGATACCTGTGTATAGGATCACAGAGCTTGGGCAATTGTTGGCACCGGCTCGCAGTATGCCTGCCTTTACGCTCATCTGAAGTTCTTCGCTCCTCCGAGTTCCTTTGAAAGCGAGAAAATACCGTGGAGCGCATCACAATTTAGAAATTGTAAATTAATATTAGTACTATAAGTTGATCAGTCGTTCAGTGTAGTTAATTATTTAACAATTTAGGAACAGTCCACTGCTGGATGGATGCTGGATGGTGGCCACGTGTCTTGTGCTGCCGCATTGGCACCCCCCCCCGCCATGTGCCGTGGCTTTGTCTCTCCTCTGTCTTCACCACCACCGGTCCTTTTACTTTGGCCATATACTATCTTGTCCTTGTCAATCACAGTTTTTATTCTACACACACACACTCATCGTGCATTGTGGGTAAAAGCAAGTGAAATTTCATTCTGTGTCATCACGTAAGTGATTGTTTAGTCCATGGGTCTATTCGTTTTGCGGACATGTTATCAAGCAGAATTTGTTTAAGCAATTAAACTTCTGAACGATTTTGACTTTGTGAGTCTCATCAGCAGTCCGACCTTATAAACGAACGCTGAATTGCCAGGTGTCATAGGCAAGAGCACTTCGTAAAAAATATGACCACCCCGTTCAACGCACATAATGCAACAACACCAACTCATCACACGTTCCTATGGAGCACTATGGGTAAGACTAAGCGAAAGCAGCAAGTACGCATGTTGTTGACTCAATGCCAAACGTCGTTTGCGCTCTCCAGGCTCTATCTCCAAGTCGCCCGTGGAGCCAACTGAAGACATCGAAGCAGGCTTCAGGCAAGTATCCGCAACAGTTTTCCAAGCAGAGGAGGCCTCCTGCAGAGCGGAAGAGGCGAGCGGCGTTGCGCCATCCACACACCTCGCCACGCGGGAATCCGCCAAGACCAGGTGTGGAACAAAGTGTGTGGCCGTCGCACGTTCCAGACGCGTGCGCGGGGCTTACGCTAAGCACAAAACCTTTGTCGTGGTCCGTTCTTTACACTTGCGTCTGACCAGCGTAACGAATGCACCGATTTATCGGTCGATATTCGTTCTTTACCAAGGCAACATCAGAATTAACATTACATCTGTGACATTGGTACGTTTGGCATTTGAGTGGGTGAATGAGAGATACAAGCGCCCTATTCGGTTTCATCAGAATATGTGTTGTAGCGCAATTCACGATTCCGAGGCAGGTTGCTGTTAGGGGCTCATGCCACGTTTATTAAGGGCTTACGCCGAACCAAAAGCCCCCTAGCCGATAACTCCCCAGGGGACAGGGAACTGGGATCCCTACACCTCGATTAACTCGGCTCTCCTCCCTGTCCCGGCCTGGGACTAGCCCTAACCTCGGCCGGTCGGGCGGAGTAGCCTCCCCTAGCCTCGTGTGAGGATCAACTACCCGAGTCCCCACTCCTAATCCCGACGAACCCCGGTTACATCCCGGGTCCCCCTTTAAATACCCCCCTTGGGGCATGACGTCACCGTCCCCCACGGCCCCCGCCTGACGTCACGTTCCGCGACGCCACTCTCCCCGAGGGCGAGCGTGACGTGATGTCACCCATTACACCTCTACATATGTATTTAAGCTGGAGGAATCCAATGAGCTATAAAACTATTTTTCACAGGTGTCCAGTAGGTCACAGATGTCCAGTAGTGGCGCTGGTGAACCATCTTGGAAACGGAGAAGCCCTAGTGGTGAATTTAGAAATGACAGTGACTTGGTTCCCACAGAGAATCTCTAGAGTAAAAAAAAATGTTGCCAGGTAAGGCCCACTGAGCTATAAAGCTATTTTTCAGAAGAGACCTGGCCACAATGATAGTTCAACGAAGCGGCTTATCGCGTGGAAATGTATAACACATGTTTCTAAATGAGGAGGGAAAAACCGGAGGACCCGGAGAAAAATCCACGCGACCGCAGGGAGAACATGCACACTCAAAAAAGTACAGGCGTCAAGGTCGGGATCGAACCCACGACCTCCTATATACCAGGCAAGATAGTTAACATCTTGCTACCCATGGCACGCCCCGAGAGACAGCTGTGTCCTCAACAAACTCAACACAGGAAGGGAAAACAGACTGGCACACACAGCCTAAGAGAGGACAAAGCTATTACAGCCTTTCACAGTAACTAATTTTAGATGAACTCAACAGCAACAGTTTCCAATACTTAGCAGAGAAAATGTGTGCGAGTGTTATCACCACTTTATATAATGACTTAATAACTAGCATAGTGTAATGGAAAGTGCATTGAAAGTGGGGGAAAGGATAAAAAAATTAACCCGTAAAAACAAAGTTTTTCACTATAAATCCTTTATATGCGTGGCGGCTAGAGTCCTCTCGTCCTCTGGCTTGAGATGGCTGCCACCTATGGGTCAGATGATTGCCTGCCACCATTAAGCAATTGGTAATTAAATATAATTTTTTTTTTCCTAAAAAGTGTAAAGTTATGGAAAAAAATTTTCACGAAAATAAATTGTCACGCACAACGAGTCTGTGTGCAAAATGTCAGCTCGATTGGATCACGGGAAGTGGGTTAAAAAACGACCAAAAGATTTGCACGGTCGTAAGCGCGCAAGCAAGCAAGTGAACTTAATATAAAGGATTTAACAATAGAGTAAATTAATTTTAACCACCCGAAGGCTTGCTGATGGAGAGGAGAGAGACATCGACAGAGATGTGGAACACGGGGTCAATATTTATCTCACTAGGATGATGGCGTATAAATGTAACTTGAGTTTGAAGTTGTGTTACTAATTACGTAAAACAATGTCTACCTTGCCATGATCTTGTGTGGGTTTTCTGAGAATACTTCTGACACTTTAACAGTTTGGTTGGTAATAGCCCATGCCGATGCCATGCCAAAAGCACCGGTGTTCGTGTGATGATATGATTTTAAAGCAGGTGTTGTCCACCAGGTCTCCGTCAAAACGATTGGAGCCGCTACGAGACGCCGCCACTGAGAGTGTGGAGCTCCCGGTGAAGATGTCACGGGGAGGGGGAGCAACCAAGGAGGAGTTCACCAGCGTGCCGCTTGCCCATCTCAAGGGCTCCGCTGCCGGCAATTCCGAGGAGAGGTACCAGTTGCTGGAGTTGAGAGACAAGCAAATGCGACAAGGTACGGACTTGGAATCTAAAGAGTGAGAATTTGTGCGTGACGGTAGAGTGCTCATCTCTCACAATGATCTGCTGAGTTGGCTGTCCCACTTTCTTCTCCTTATTTTGCTCCACGAGGCTTGGATGCTGCCACTCAAACACAATAATGCGTTACTGATGCCACGTACCAGAAGTGGTGGCGAGATGTTAAATAACCTTGCCTGGTATACAGGAAGTCGTGGGTTCGATCCCAACCCAGACGCCTGCTGTATATTTGGAGTTTGCGTGTGTCTCTCCCCGTCGTTGCGGGGATCTTTGTTCGCGTCCTCCGGTTTTTCCCTCCACATTTAGAATCGACGTACGTTCATGAGTATTTGGCTGCGATACATTTCCACGTGATAAGCCACTGCGTTGAACTTTCATTTGTCATAGCCAGCTCGCTTCTGAGAAAGAGCTACATAGCTCAGTGCGCCTTACCTGGTAAAATAGTTTTTTTGTTCAGTTTTAGTTTAAGGGTTTTTTGTCCGCCGGACTCTTTGAGACCACTTCGATGCCCATCCCGGCGATCGGCCCCGCCCAGCGCAGCCATTCTTGCCGTATCCTTTCTACATCACTCGCCTGCCACTGGTCTATTCTGGACTTTAGCATTCGGATTAAAAACTTATATGTAACTTAAACTGAAAAAGCGAAATGACTGCAAGACCAGTTTTCAAAACACGAATAAAACCGCAACAAGGTAACAAAGTCAACCTGTTTCAAGTGACATGAGTTACTTTTGAAATTGATTGTGACTTGAGTTTCTTCTTTTTTGCTAAGCCCGGACACGACGCACTGAACTGGAGAAGGCCAAGGCGATCGTGGGGACATGTTCGGACATGTGTCCTGAGAAGGAGCGGTACTTGAGGGAGATAAGGAAACAGCTCAGCATTTATGAAGTGATCCCTGGCACTGACAAGGTAAGCCTCCAGTTTTTCTGCGGTCTCTGCTGCCGCTGCTGCTGCCGCTGCGGTTGTGGTGGTGGCCGATGACAGCATTGTGCCAGTTGCCCTCGGTTTTGCATTGGATTAGCACGGTTGGCTACGTACGGTACGAAAGAAGTTCAACACACATACATGTACATTGCAGGACCTGAGAGACAGAAATGGCTTGTGGAGGCCTACGTCCAGCGGTGGATTCACCGTGGCTGATCACAATGATTGCACGAGTGTACATTAATCAAGGGAATTTGGCAAAAGCCCACTTACCCTTCTTGGGTTGTACCCACCACAAACGTCTATAACCTTTGGTTGCAGTAGCTCTCTCGCTACATTTCCTCCTCAGCAGTCCGCCTGCTGTATTGTTTTTCACCTGAAGACGATGGCTTGTGTTGCTATCGAAACGTCGTGATTTATTAGTTATTTTTTCTATCTACGTGACTTTACCGAAAGAACCAAAGCGTATGAAAATAGTTTGTAACAAAAAATTGTATCAACAATTTATTTAATTACCGGCAAAACTTTACTGTACTCGAATTGTAAATGTTGTGGGTTTACTCTCCAACACACAGGTGTGCTGAACTAGTAACTTAGTTCGATGTTTTGTTTACGTGAGAAACCTTACTAATTGGCTGTGTTGAGTGGTGGCGGGTTTAACGACACATTTATATTTACGCGATCTGATGCAAATTAAACCTCTTATGGATAATATTGGTCGCGAAAGCCGACGTGTTTAATTGAGATCTGCTCTGAGCTCCTGGATTAATGGGTAAGAGAAGAAACGCAATTTGGAGACATCATATTGACTGCTGATTAAGGGTGATGTGGCCACAACACATTGATAGAAGGTGGGGTGATGGCCAGTGGTCAGTACTAATAGTGGAGTGGTAGCCAAGGGAGGGACTATGTCTGAGATTCTTCCAGTATGGAGATGGAGGAATTTGGAGTGGCTCATACGCAGGGACTGGATAGTTTGTGGCATTTCGGGAGCTTGAGGGATGATGACAGCTTGGAGGAGAGGACTTCATCCAGCAGCGGATAGGGAACGGCTGATGATGGCGATCGGTTACGATTAATCTTAAGTAAAATGTCAAACGGTGACGCTAAGCCGTCGTGGGAAACGCCACGTTCCTATGGCAGGGATCAGCCTTCCCGTGCGATGACCTCTCTTGATGGCCCCACCAAGGGAAGCTCGCATTCCCTGTGGGGGTGATGGGCCAAGTTGATTCCTCATGCGGGAGTTGAACCTGCGGCGCGGGGGCTCTACGAAAGTGACGCCACCGCGCTCTTTTCACCGCGGCCCCACGTGCCGGCGGTGAAACCTCACGTCCGATACGTGCGGCGCACGTCCCCCCCCCGCCCCCCCTCGCGGTCCGCCGCCGTAGGTGAACCACGCGGCGGTGATCAAGGAGTACAGTCGCTCGTCGGCGGACCAGGAGGAGCCTCTGCCGCACGAGTTGCGGCCGCCGCACGTGCTCGACATGACGATGCAGTACCTCGTGAGCAGCGTGATGCACGTTGGGGAGGATAACTGGGCCGAGTGGTACGACTTTGTGTGGAATCGCACGCGAGGAATCCGCAAGGTACGCGCAGCGGAGCTTGCGGCAGACTCGATCAGAGATGTCCACATTCATATATACACTTGCCACCACTCACCTCCACTCACCACCCTTACCTCCACTCTCCACCCTTACCTCCACTCTCCACCACTCACCTCCACTCACCTCCACACAGCACCACTCACCTCCACACAGCACCACTCACCTGCACACAGCACCACTCAACTCCAGACAAAGATCCCCCATTTCGCCTTAACAGACTTTTATGGGCAAATGCTGTTAGTGAGCGCCTCTGAAGGCTGGTATAGCGCACGAGGAGGGGTTGTTGAGTGGCCGGCACCACGCCCGGCCACCTTTGTCTTCCCACTGCTGAAGTTACAGCCCGCAGCAGCAGGCACTCGTCATTACCGACCTTGAGTTTTCCTGTGTTGAACTAATGCTGCTGGAAAAAATATATATATATGCAACCCCAGAAGGCTGTGTGGCTCATGGAATGTGTAAAAATAATTACGCATCCCATGAGCAGACTCGCATTTGGGTATGTGGTGTATTTATACTGGTAGGAACGAAGTGGACCAGACCACCAATAGATTAATGTGTCCGTCCGTCCGTCCGTCCGCCCGTCCGTGGGAGGGGTGGTGTTGAGGGTGGTGTTGGAAATGAAAGACTACGAGTCTTTAAATCTCACAGCGTTTCTTGTCAAAACAAACACTTTTAATTAACGTTACACTAGAATACAGTAATTTTTTCTTTAACTCCTCTATACCCGGTCGATATCTCTGTACCGGTACTAAGTATTATTCCTACCAGCCCACCCCGCAGGGTCCTGTTTGTCCGTTTATTTATCTGTTGTCTGTGAGGGCCATACTCTTAAAGGGTACAGATTGTGTACAACTGTCAGCGTGCTTTTTCGTAACTATAAACAACAAAGCATTAGCAGTGTAGGAAGGTTATTGAAGCCACATTCCCCGGGTGTGCTTATGTGTGTGTGGGGAGCAGTAGTGTAACAGTTAGCGTCATGCGCTACGAACCCGGTGACCCGAGATCTATTTCCGCTCACGGCCAACACCAGTGACGATTGTCTGAATCGGTTACGGGCCTCCCCTAGGTCAACTCGGCCTCAGTTGAGTACCTGGTGACGTGTAAACATCACCACTGGGGAGACAAAGGCGGCCGGGCGTGTTGTTGGCCACCCACCCCCTCGTGGGCCATGCCGGCCTTCATAGGTGCTCGCTAACAGCATTTGCCCCAACAGTCTGTTAGGCTATACGGGGGATCTTTGTCGTTTTGTAGCGGTAATGCAACGGTTAGCGGACTGTGCTATTAACCCAGCCACCAGATTTACCCCGCTCACGGCAAACACCAGTGACGATTATCTGAATCGGTCCTGGGTCTCCCCTAGGTTGACTCAGCCTCAATTGAAAACCTGGTGCGATGTGTAAAAATATCGCCACTGGGGAGGCCAAGGGTGGTCGGGCGTGGTGCTGGCCACCCGCCTCCTCGTGTGCTGCTCCAGCCTTCATAGGTGCTCGCCTGATAGCACTTGCCCTAACAGTGTGTGAAGGCTATAATGGGGATCTTTGTGTTGTGCGTGTGTGTGTGTAGGATATCACGCAGCAGCACCTGTGTGAACCCATCTCGGTGTCCCTGATCGAGAAGTGCACCCGGTTCCACGTGCTCTGCGCACACCACCTCTGCCAGCAGCCCATGGCCACGTTTGAGCCCAAGATAAACAACGAGAACCTGACCAAATGTCTGCAGAGTCTGAAGGAGATGTACCAGGACCTGGCCAATAAGGGGATTTACTGTCCCGGAGAGCCAGAGTTCCGAGGGTACAGTGTGCTGCTCAACCTCAACCATGGAGACATCCTCAGGTGCTCTCTCCGGCCAGACAAATCTTCGGCTGTCGATTGACACACACACAGCAAGCGTGTCGTATAACATACACAAAGAGATAGATCCCATTTGTAGCCTTTAACAGGCTGTAAGTGCCTTTAGCGAGCAACTATGAAGGCTGGAACGGCTCACGAGGTGGTGGGTGACCAAGACCTCTCTCCGCCACCTTGGTTTCCCCAGTGGTGATATTTACACATGCCATACCAGGTGCTCACTTAAGGCTGAGTTAACATAAGGGAGGACCAGGAACGGATCACACATTTGTCACTTATTGGTCATGAGTGGGATAATCGACCTCGGGTTGCTGGGTTCGTGACGCAGCGCACTGCCCACTGCGTCACCGCTCTCCACTAAATATACACTCGCACACACATAGAAAACACACTAGGTATACACGCATACAAACATTCACAATCTGTGACTCTCACAGTGTGCGTTCATACAGTGAATATCAGACCCAGCCAAACGCGTGAATAGGTGCATATTAAAAGCACATGCAGAGGCCATGCATTACCAATCATGTGACCTTCATCCTTTCCAGGAGACGCTACAAGGAACTTAATTTGCTCGAAGACCAAGCTTCCTCCCTTTTAACATTGTCACGCCATACAAAGCCCACATATGGAGTATATTTTCATTTGTACATGAATTATTACTTACCTTGTTTTTTCAATGAATTCAGCAGATTAATTATTTATCTCCCAAATGTTTTTTTTTTTTTAATCTCACCAACTACAGTCACGTTAAATGTAGGGTTTTAATTACCGTGCAGGTGTGTACGGTAGTTGTTTGTCCAGTTCCTGTGGTACCTTCCGTGCTGTCATCCTTTAAGTGACAATTTGCACGAAGCTGTGCACGTGAGTATCGAGCGGCACGCCGGAATGCAGCGGCTGTCCCGCTGCTGCGGTGATGGCAGCTCACGATGGGGTGGTAGTTCACGATGGTGGTAGTTCACGATGGTGGTAGTTCACGATGGTGGTAGCTCACGATGATGGTAGTTCACGATGGTGGTAGTTCACGATGGTGGTAGTTCACGATGGTGGTAGCTCACGATGATGGTAGTTCACGATGGTGGTAGTTCACGATGGTGGTAGTTCACAATGGTGGCAGTTCACGATGGTGGTAGTTCACGATGGTGGTAGTTCACGATGGTGGTAGCTCACGATGATGGTAGTTCACGATGGTGGTAGTTCACGATGGTGGTAGTTCACGATGGTGGCAGCTCACGGTGGCAGCGGCTGTCTTGCTGCTACCATCGTCGAAGCGGCATTTTATTGACGCGGTTGGCGCTGCGTCAGAATGTGTCTATCATACCAAAATATCTAGTCATTGTCTTCTACACTTCTCTACGTCTTTTTTCTTTCCTCGTACCTCAACAAATGTTTGTGTGTACTGTGTTTCTGGCAGAGAGGTGCAACAGTTTCGAGAGGAAATAAGAAATTCTCCACCGGTGAAGTTTGCCGTGCAAGTGTTTGCAGCGCTCAACAGTAACAACTTCGTTCGGTTCTTCAAGTTGGTGAAGTCTGCCTCCTACCTGAACGCTTGCCTACTGCACAGATACTTCACCCAGGTGCGAATGAGTGCGTGTGAGGGACGATACCCCCCGCCGTGCACACACAAGTCCTGGTGTATCGAGAGAAGCCTTGACACGCGCTCCTCCTGTGCTGGTTACGAGTAACAGAAACACTCCTGCTACCTTTCTGGCTTCTCTGTGCTGTGAAGAAGGCCCATTACCCAAAACGTCTCCGATTATTTTATTTTTAAGGCCACAGCGCAGCTCAGTCTGTTCTCTTATAACGCCGCTTGTTTTCAAAACGCGGATTTGATTTAACACAATTAATGTACGAGGGAACATTTTATAACGCAGATATAATTTAGATACAATGGGATGGAGCGACCTGAACTACGTCACGGGAGTAGGAATAAGCACTTGTGAGGCTGCCTCGGTGTAGCATCACGCGAGGGTGGGATGCTGCTGGATGCTTCGAGACGCGCCTCAGTCTTTGTTCAGCCTGCGTATGCATCTCAGGAGTTATCGCGGACCGTGCTTTACCCGATATACATTATTTTAACGCGATTTTCCCATCGTGCGGTGTTCTCCAGGAACGCCACTTCCACGTTATAGGCGAACCGGCTGCATCGCCAAATAATTTGTTTAGTCGTCGAATTGCGAGTGAATGTGGAATGTGTTGTGTGATTGGGTCGTGCAGGTCCGTCGCGACGCACTGAAGGCCCTCAACGTGGCGTTCACGGTGCCACAGCGGAGCGCCAGCTTCCCGCTCCAGCAGATGATGCGCATGCTGCTCTTCACGAGCGAGAAGGAAGCTGCCGAGTTCTTCTCACACTATGGCCTCAATGTGAACGATGAGTAAGAACCACCCCCCCACCCCCCCCCCCCCCGGGCACGTGTCCCCACTAAAACATTGGTGGATGAACGATGGCGGTGGTTGCTGAGAGCTGCTTGCTACGATGAGCCCCTCGGCGCTGCAGTTCCCGCCTCGGTGTGTTTGCGAGTGAAACAAACGGAGTGGATAATTGCGACCGTCCAGTTTTTTTGGTGAGAACTGACTCGTGCCGCCCCCCCCCCCCCCCCCCATCTGTGACGATGACGAGAGACAGAGAGAGAGAGACCTGGCAAAAGAGCAGCATTGGGACAAGGGAAATGAAGCACACAATGTAAACACGTCACAGAGTAGGAGTAGAGTAAATATGAACAAGAATTGCATCGTATGTCTAAATTTGAACTGCACAGTGCTCTAATTATGCACTCCCAGAAGGCCGTGTGGCTGATGGAATGCGTAAAAAACACTTGTTTCTTGTAAGTGGTGGGACTGATATGGGAAGGAGGCATCCTGCAGGTTTATTTTTTTTTATTTTCCCCACAATGACTGATTACATTGTATCATGTCGACATTGCCTTCCAACAACCCCTAGAAATGCTGATTTATCTCGTGTGCGTGTCTGTGTGGAGGACTGTGGAGTTGAATCGCTCGTCGTTCATCGAGCCCGAGTGCACCCTGTCGATGAGGAAGTCGTCCTCCATCGAGGGCAAGCTCACGACGTTGCTGGGAGAGGTGGTGAACGGGGCGCCGCTCGGCGCAGCTCCACGGCACGTGCCCAGCAGCAGCTTCGACCTCCAGGGACAGTATGCGGGCGACCTCTCCGCTGAAGGTGCGCGTGTGTCTGCGTACGTTTGTCTTGTTTTGCAACGTGCATCGCCAGCCGACCGTGCTAAAAGCATGGATTTTCATATTCTTGGTTCTTTCGGTAAAGTCACGTAGAAGGGAAATAATGAAATAATAAATATTCAACAATCAAATTCTCACGGCGTTTCGATTGCAACACAAGCAATCATCATCAGGTGTGAAAACCACGGCAAGAAAATGTTTTAGCTGTGGTTTTCACACCTGAACCAAGAATATGAATCCCGGCAGTCACGAAAGCTTTAAATCATTAATATTCAATTCAGATTTAAAAGTGCATAGCTCCAGTGACTTCCTAATGTCAGGAGGAGGAGACCCATAGAGACCAACAAAGATCCACAGAGACCCATACTTATATGTATGTATGTTGAACTTCTTTCGCACCTTACGTAGCCACCCGTGCTAATCGTAGGTGTGGGGGAAGGACAACAAACTAGACACAGAAAGCACGAGTTTTCAATTTTGATTATAAAATGCATTGTTCCAGTAACTCCCTAATATCGGAAGGAAGAGACCCATAGAGACCCACAGAGATCCAATGACTCGTATAGAGCCATAGAGACCCACAGAGTACCCATACTCGTATGTATGTACGTGTGTTGAACTTCTTTCGCACCGTACGTAGCCAGCCAACTGTGCTTATTCGAGGATGCGGGGAAGGTAAACTAAATAAACACAAACAGCAGTTGGAAAGAAAGGAGTTTTCAATCTAGGTTTAAGGAGCGTGCCATGGACGCCGTCGCTGCAGGTCCTGCCGAATTTGTGCAGTCTGGCGGTGATGTTGCTGCTTTGTGTAATCCCAATGCAGTAATTTGCAGGTAATTTGTCATCATTGTGACATTTGGCCAATATCCATTCCATTGTATGGGTTTGTTTTTGTATTTACCATCATACACGTTAGCACTACCAGTCTTCATATATGTTTTTTGTCCTGAGAGTGGTGTGTTTTAAATGTTGTTTTCAGATCCCAAGGATACCCCTGTGTTCGGAAAGCCTACAGAGAGAGGAGCTCTGCTCGTAGAGGATATGGAGTTCACCTACACCCCCGCGGCCTGTAGCCCAAAACGTACTCCTGCCACCGTTCAGTCGGCACCAGCGGAGAGGGCGACGGTGAGCCTGGGCACCGCTGCGGCCTCCTCGCACAAGGCCGTTTCTCCCGTGGAGATTGCGCCGGCGGTCTTGACACAAGCGTGCGCTCCCACGTCCTCGGAGCCTCCTGAGCGCGCGTCTTCTCACGCGCCACCTGTCGAGCAAGATGCGCCCGACGCCGCCACTTCACTCCCGGCGTTCTCTCCGGAGGTGAGCTCGTGGAGTGGCACCGTGTCTCAGCGGCTGGTGTTATCGGTGGTCCGTACATAGCTAACCGTGATCATTGGAGGTGCGGGAAATCTCAGGTTCACATTGAAATTTAACCGCCACTACGGGGTGGGATTCCACAAAACTCTAAGATCTTTCAACAAACTCCGGGATAAGAAGGCTCAGCTAATCGAATCTCTCACCTTTCTGAAGAGATGCCGCGACTCTAAGGCGCCCTTCCCCCCTCCATCCCAGCTTAAATAGTCGCTCCAAGCCTGGAGTGTGTCATTCAGACTCTTGTCTTCTCGACAGACCTGTTCTCCACCTGAGTACGGCTGCTTGCGTTGTGGCCGAAACGTCGTGAGAATTATTGTATTATGTTTTTATTTTTTTATTTCCATTCTACGTGACTTTACCAAAAGAACCAAGAAGATTGGCGTGAACTTTGCTGTTGACTTCCTCACCCACTTTACCATCACCTCCTGAGCCACCGTGACCTCTGCTTCCTGTCTCAGCTGCAGACGACTACGATTGTTTTAACTCTGACCGAGCATCGGCGTGGATCGCTGACCATGTGCCCGGAGGTAGTGGCGGTGTGGCTGTCCGTTCCTTTTGGCACTGCTCTAACAATGCATCGTTTTCCCTCCCTCCCTCCCTCCTTCTCCCGCCCTCCCTTACGTGTCATGCGCGTGCGCAGCCTCAGCGTCCCCGTGAGTTAGCGGAGCCTCCTCCGTTGCCGGGTGGCGAGGGTGGCATGTTGGTCCAGAGCCGAGGCTCTTTGGCGGACGCCGTGGCCCTGATACCGGCGCTCGCTCCCCCCCAGCGGCCGTCGGTTGCCGCGGCCGGCCCGTCTAGGGTTGCCGCGGCCGTGCCGTTGCCGCCCGCTCTTCCGCCCGCTCCTCCGCCCGCTCTTCCGCCCGCCGCCGCTCCTCCGCCCATCGCCATTCCTCCACCCGCCGCTGCTCCTGCTGCCCCCGTCGCTGCCGCTGCTCGGCCTCCTGCGCTCATTGACGAGCAGGTGAAGCGCACGCGCCATGCAGCCGGGGTTAGGGTGGGTTTCACAGGATGGGTACCCCAGGGCGAAACGGGTGTTGGTGTCTTAGTCAAGTTGCCTACAAAAATGTGCGTGTTTTGGTGAAACGTGCTGCTAAACCCTTCACCAAGCTGACTTTCCAACACATTTTTATGATTGTTAATATTTTCGATGGCCCATGAAAAGCCTCGCCGAGGCTGAAGACTTTTTTCAGGAGGTTCCTGCTTAGTTTTCGCAACAAGGGGCAACGCTTGCTATGCGTTTCCTAATGAAGTAATTTGCAAGCCATTTTTTCTCTCTCAATTTTGGACCATGACGCTGGCACACATGGCCCTACTTTCTTTCCGAAAATGCGCTCCACCCGGCACGGTTAATACCATGGTTAATACCATGGTTAATACCATGGTTAATACCATGGTTAATACCATGGTTAATACCGTGGTTAATACCATGGTTAATACCATGGTTAATACCATGGTTAATACCATGGTTAATACCGTGGTTAATACCGTGGTTAATACCGTGCATCAACTAGAGCGCCCACAGGCTCGAACCACCAACCTCTGCTACCGCTGAGCCACGTCACGGCACTAACACACGGACGCATGGCTGCGCATTCAGAGGAGTGATATTGCGCACAGTGGCGAGAGGGGTGCCGTGGTGGTGGGATGTTAACTTCCTTGCCTGGTATGCAAGAGGTCGTGGGTTCGATCCCAACCCTGACACCTCTGTATTTGCAATTTGCATGTTCTCCCCGTAACCAAGTTAGGTTTTTGTCCAGGTTCTCCGGGTTTTTCCATCCACATTTAGAAACATGCGTTAAGAGTATTTGGTTGCTATACATTTCCACATGATCAGTAATTTCATTGAGCTGAAAAAGAGCTATATAGCTAAGTGGGCCTTACCTGGGGAAATATAAATAGTTGAGTTGACATCATTGCACTAAAGATGGCCACTTTGTGGTTGTAACATGGCCCAGCGGTAACGCTTGTTACGGAGGTTTACAATTCGAATCTGACAGGGCCGCCCCGGTTATTCCTTCCGGTGCGTTAATTTACTGTGCGGCGTCTGCTTCGCAGTGGTCGTTACAGATCGCCTGATGTCATTCGAAACAAGCAGGCCATTGTGTATCGGCGTCGGGGGTACTTATTCTCAAAATTTCTAAAAATATCCACAAATCACTCAATTGGCAATACTGGCAGAATAATGTCCAATGTTCCAAACAGTGACAGCAGTCGCTGGTGTTGCCCTTCGAATGTTCGGTATGAGATGTGATGTAAAGGGCTTTTGAGTTTTGTAGAGTCGTACAAAGGCAACCGCCATATAAAGGCAGTACCGATCATCTTTATTACATCTGTCTACGGTTGCTGCTGTTGTTGCCGCTGTCATTTGGCTCAACTTTCTATGTCGAGGTCCGTGTACGGGGACGCGCATCTGCCCCGTCACGTTGGCGCCGTGTCGTGGTTGTGCGTGGCGTGAGTGAGTGACGCGTGATCATGCGGTGGTGTGCCAGGTCGTGGAGTCCGTGTGGGGGGAGCTGCTGCTCTCCGTGGTGCCCCAGCTCAGCGGGGAGCTCGCCGTGGAGGTGATGCGCCACTTCAGCCTCGCATATGGGTATGCCTTCTGTTTTTTTGGGGTATTTTTATTTTACCAGGGTAAGGCCCCCCCACGGAGCTATTATATAGCTCTTTTTCAGAAGCGACCTGGCCACAAATGATAGCTCAACAATGTGGCTTATCGCGTGGAAATTTATAGCGGCCAAATAATGCTAAAAGTCGAACAATCTCTGTGGCTGTATAATTTGAAAAAAGCCGTAACTTCACTTGAGCACTGTTTTCAAATAACCTGAAGCTGTTAACTGACAAATTTATCTTCACCGATGGACGCTTGATAGCGAAGAGTGAAGAGAGTAGAGTGTTGATACTGTCTGAAGTGACTTAGCAAATAATAAAGGCCAAAGAGAAGCATAAGAGTTACCAATAAATTGATCAGAGTATAATTGTATCTTGTCTAAATGTAATGGCAGGGAATATTGAAAAAGAATGTCATCAAACACTTCACTGCATTTCACTCTAGCACGGTATTAATGGCAGTGAATGTTGCATAAAAGGAAGTCATAAAACACCTCACAGAATTTCACCGCAGCACTGCATTAATGGCAGTGGTTGTTGCACGCAACTAAGTCATCAAAGACCTGACGTAATGTCACAGTAGCACTGTATTTAACGGACGTTCAATTACTTGCAATTCACTACTCTGATACGTACTTATCTTCCGCTTTTGCCTCGCTGGGGTTGAAAACAATTGGAATTCAATACAGTGTCTGCAAAGTAGCAGAGAAATGTTTATTGTAGCATGATTTGGAAGCGTTAAGTAGACTTGCCTTTTGTTGGACATGCCGAAGAAACAAATAAAGGCACCAAATGCACAGTGATGCGGCGTAGAATTATGTATTGCCTTCACTTTCTATAAAGATACGTAAAATCGAAAGCTAATTTGCGCAATTTTTTTTATCATAACTGCTCGACCCTCTGCGTTAGTTAATTATGGGGCGGGGAGGGGGGGGCGGCGCACGTGGAGTGACGTCACGCGCAGGACACACACACACAGCCTTGTTTGGCTCGTTATATTAGTTGCTGCGTTGATTTATTTACGAGCTTTACAAAGAAAGGTCAAAATGAAAGAGAATTTGCGTAAACAAATTTTCGTTTCCACCCCATCTTCTTCATGCGGAGTGAGGTCACCCGTTCATGATTATTAATGACGGGGGAGCAGGGGGGGGGGGTCCATGTGGAGGACCCCACCTGTTCATGATTATTAACGAGGGGGGCTGGTCGACGTGGAGTGACGTCACGCGCGTTACACACAGACATTGTTGGCTCATTATAATAGTGATTTTACTTTTACGGCCATCATGAGCCGGACTGCCATTACGTGTCCAGTACTCACCCAGATTCAGCCTTAGTGTCTTAGGGTAACCTTGAGATGACGTGAAACCTTGTATCTGAAATATTTTAGATTCATCTCTTGTTCATAATTCATTTTTGGGTTCTCCCAAATTGATCATTTTACGATGAATCGTAATAATGGCTGTTTGCTTATGATGTAAAACCTGAGCTGCGAAGCTTGCTGTCCTGGACTCTGTAATAATAGTGACAATGTCTATCTCCGCCACGGTGCGTGCTGGGATCCTGGCTACGGTGCCGTAGGTGCGCAGAGGGCATTGCCAGCGCGCTCACTGAAGACGTCACGCTGGAAGCCGTGCGGGAGCTCGGCAGTGCATGCATCGCCGAGGAGAAACAGAAAATCTTACAAGAGCGGTGAATGAGCCGCACCACACTCGTGTCGTTGAACTCTTCGTTTTTGCTGTCGCGACAAAAAATGCTAATTATCTGATCGTAATGCACGCGGTTTCTACTTTGTTGATATTACATCCGACGGCGTGACACCTGTTGTTTGAGATGCGCTCTTGTGCCACGTTTTGTTCTGCATGAAGTCGCGGTTAAAAGGAAGGGCAGACATTCCCTGCAATCGTTTAAATTGGGATGCTCTCCTTGTGGGCCATTAAGGAAGCATTCTACTTTAATTAGGCGGGATTCTAGAGATGGAAGTGTTGCTGATGACGCTGTGGTGGCTGTCTTGCCGGTGACTCGATTGCGTGTTGCCGCATGTGTGCGTGCGTGTGTATGCGTGCGTGTGTGTGCGTGCGTGTTGGGGAGCGGTAGTGTAGCGGTTAGCGCGCTGCGCTATGAACCCGGCAATCTGGGTTCGATTCCCGCTCACGGTCAACACCGGTGACGATGATCTGAACCGGTCCTGGGCCTCCCCTAGGTCGACTCAGCCTCAAATGAGTACCTGGTGCGGTGTGTAAACATTGCTACTAGGGAGACAAAGGCGGTCGGGCGTGGTGCTGGCCACCCATCCTGTCGTGTACCGTTCCGGCCTTCATAGGTGCTTGCTAACAGCACTTGCCCCTACCGTATTTCAAGGCTATACGGGGGATCTTTGTGTGCGTGCGTGTGCGTGCGTATGTGTGCGTGTATGTGCGTGTGCATGCGTGTACAGGCTGCGTGCCGAGGTGCGGGAGCACGCTGCGCTGGCCATCTGCCACGAACTCGCCGAGGAGGTGGCGTCCGCTGTGCTCTCCGAGATCGCGGCCACGCAGCTCCGGTGAGCTCGTGCATTGCCGACGGGGAATTGGCCGCGTCCGCATACAACGCACACAACTAACTCAACTTGTTGTATTTTTCCATTTAAAGCTTTTGTGACTGCAGGGATTCATCTTCTTGGTTCTTTCGGTAAAGTCACGTAGAAGGGAAATAATCCATAACGTGGCCTTCTCCAGGAACGCAACTACCATGTTATAGAAGAACAGACTGTGTATGTTTTGGATCTTTGTACCTCTCAGTGCATGTCCAGCCTGGTCTTGAGCAAGATGCGGATGAACGCAGGTGGCTTCGTTGTCGCCCGTTGTCTATCGCCGGCGTCGATGCCCCACGCTGACGCTTGCTGGAATGGTTGTTGGGCGCGCAGTCTCGCCGAAGAGCAGATGCTGAGGGAGCGGATCTCGCGCTGCGGTGAAGAGGTCGGCGGCTTCTGCTGGAACAGGTCGTGGCTGAAGAGGTGTCAGAGCTCGTCACTCGGCTGCAGCGGGAGGCACGAGAACGGGCTCGCAGCCTCGCCCTGGCAGCGGCCGCCGTGTCGCTGTCTCGTACCTAGGCAGTACTTCCACAGGTATATCCCCCCCAACGTACTTCCATGAGATTCTTCGTGCAATTCTGTAGACACGTGTATGAGCAAAGTTCTTCACGTCAAACGATGATTTTGCACGTTAATGTGAGGATATAAATTCATCATTATCAGGACAGTGCCACGGTGGCTATGAGATGTTAACTACCTCGCCTGGTATACAGGAGGTTGTGGGTTTGATCCCAACTCTGACGGCTATGTATTAGTAGCTGGCATCTTCTACCCATCAGGCGTGTGGATTTTTATCAGGGTCCTCCAGTGTTTTCCCTCCACATTTAGAAACACGCGTTTGGAGTATTTGGCTGCTATAATATTAGCACGTGATGAGCCACTTTGTTGAGCTATCAATTCTGGCCAGGTCGCTTCTGAAAAAGAGCTAAATAGGTCAGTGGGCATTACCTGGTAAAATAAAAACGTTAAGTTTAATTCCTGTTGACTTTTCCGACCAGTGGTACTAATTTTATCGACCCGGAGAAAAATCCACAGGGATAACATGTAAACTCCATTTTTTTCAGGCGTCAGGGTCGGGATCGAACCCACGACCATCCGCACACCAGGCGAGGGAGTTAACATCTCGAACAGCGGTTGTCCTACGGATAGACACGGCCCCCGACATAGGAATGAGGGATTTCCACCGCCTGAGCGCTCGAGATATCACTCGGATGGTTTGTTGTTTGCAGGTGGAGCACGAGGCTGGCCGCCAGGAAGCGCCTGCGGAGGTCCATGCTGACCTTCCCGGCGGCGCCGGCCTACTGCGCAGTCGGCCTTCCACCACAGCCACTTCCCGCTGGCGGAGCGCGAGGGCGGCACGGAGCCGCGCGATCACATCGACACGGGCAGGTGCAGAGCGCGAGCGCGGCAGGCGATTAAAGGCTGCACGCGGAGACTGCGGCTTGATGCTCAGATGAGCATTGAAGGCTCTCACCTACTCTTTAAAGCTTGAAGCCTTCCCACCGAGTGCTGCTTATCGTCGCGGCTCTGGGAGGAGGGACGACTTGGCCGAGTCAACCCCCCCAACCGACATTTCAGCGCCACAACATTCCGATTGTTTAATATAGCCAGAAGTGATAAATGTTAGTTTTGCTTCATGAAATTGAATGACGTTGCATTCGTTAGGATGCCGGCTATTTAAAGCGCAGTGTTTACGGTTATTCTTTTGGTACTAATAGCGATTTAGATGCCTCGCTCAAACTTTGACGCGTCTCTCCCTGGCCTCGCGGCCACCGGTAGAGATAAGCACCACTCACCAGTCTCACAACAATCCAGTTCACAACCACAGGTAAGCATTATGGCATAGACCTGTACCTGTACCTGGTGTAGACAACAACAACCGCCATTCGCCACTAAGTGGTGGTGACATCACCTACGACGCTTGTGCCAGGCTATGTGCATGTTGAGGCCACGTGAAGTGTCGAACGCCTGCTGGCAGGAGGTCACGGGACAGACCTAGGTGCCACGGGTCGACTGACTGAGATGACTGGCTGATGCACCACCTGTGCCCCCTACTGTGCCAACTTGCTGTGCTTTAGACACCCGGCGCTCCGCTCGTTGTTGTGAGCGTCGCTCCTCTGCCCTCCGTTGTTGTTGGAGGGCGACTGCCTCCAACTGGCCAGTCGCGTCCTTCACGAGCCTCCTCCACAGAGGCAGATCTTGACACTGCTGGTACCAGTCAGCGTGTTGGTAATTACAAGCGAGCCTCAGGCAGGTACAGAGCCTCGGAGGCATTATTGCCCAATTTAATTGAACAATTAACCGTGATTGTGAAAAATACTCCGTGTGCTTAATTGCGTAACTCAATAGGGTTAGACGCAAACCTGTGGAGGACATCGTACGTGAAACGAATTCCCACTGCTGTCTACCGTGCGGTGCCGCTGGCAGAAGCCGTTGCGTTACGTTTCTACAAAGCCCCCAGGATGTGAACCAGAGGTCGCAACCGGGTACCCGATACCCGGCTACCCGTACCCGGCCAGGTACGGGTACGGGTACCCGTTTGCGACCCTGGTGCGGCCGGGTACGGGTACGGGTAGGCCGTGAGTCACTGGTGAGTAACCGTTTGTCACTCATTTCGGGTAGGGTACGGGTAGGGTACGGGTAGGGAACGGGTACCCGTACCTGGCCGGGTACGGGTACCCATTTGCGACCCTGGTGCGGCCGGGTACGGGTAAGGAATCAAAACCCATTTGCGACCTCTGATGTAAACTCGTGTTGTTGTCACGTTACGTGGTTTGTCCGAACACGCCCTGTCCCCCACCACCACCGGTGGCGAGTCATCTGAGATGATGAGTGGGGACCATGACAGCGAGTCGTCTCCTGGAGGTGTTGTAACTGCAACGCAGGGATATGTAATTTCCCATTTCCCTCATGTCTCAGTTGGGCGTGATGTGTTGTGTGTTGACAGCTTATTCGCGCTCAGGAAGCACGTCACTCATCAAATCAACGTGCAAAGCATCTACCGGAAACTACTCGGGTATGACCGTTGTGCTGTGCTCTGACCAACGGATTTACGTTACATTTACCTGACACTTGTTTACCCAAGAAAGACCCGATTTCATGAGTGTCCTGCTCAAAGATTTCACAGTGGGGGGCATCAAGGAATTTGCCGAGTAATTTTTTTTTAATTCTAAAGAAATTTGACAATGATGCCGGTACGCAGTAGGCCTACTCTGTGAAACAGATGACGTGTGTTTAATGGTTAATACACTCGCAGTATTAACCTACTCTTGAAGCAGATGGCATTTTTTTATGACCGAGCCGTGATTTAGAATTTAATGGCGGTGGACGTGTATGATGGCGACAGCATGAAGAGGCTGTGGCTCCGATTATCTGAAGAAGTCCTCTGTGGTGATGCATTTGTTGCAGCTCAGACGTGGAGACCTGTGGAGGGGGGCACTGTGGGGCGCCACAGTGGAGAGATGTTAACTCGCTGACCTCATATGCAGGAGGTCGTGGGTTCGATCTCGACCCTGACGCCTGCTGTATATTTGGAGTTTGCATGTCTCTCTCCCTGTGGTCGTGTGGATTTTTTTGTGTGTGTCCATGTAAGCGTGCGTGTGTGTAAGCGTATGTGCGTGCGTGTTCCTGACAGGGAGGCTGTGTGGGCCCCGCTGGACCTCGCCCAGCTGCTGGTGAGCAGCGTGCCCAGCCCACAGCCGGCTCTCTACTGGAAGATGCTGCTCGTGCTGCCTCCAAGCGGAGCAAGGTCAAAACAGGACAGGTCAGTTCTGAAGGCACCAAATGTAGTGTTTTCAGCATTTTCACTCCCAAGATGTTGTAAAGAGCGCATCAAGACTGCCACTGTCTGCCTAGAATCCCCAGAACAGCGACAAATGGAGCATAAATGCATCAACGCTCTTAGTGTGCTACCCAGATACATTTACAGGAATTAGCTGTCAAAGCAAAGAGAAAGAGACGGTGCAGATAAACTCCAACACCTTCAGAGAAGAAAATTTGCAAGGTGGCCGTCTCCTCTCGCAGGCACCGTGGGTGCTGTACAGAGACTCACCGTGGCCGTACAGTCACTCTGGCTTACACACACACACACACGGCTCGCCAGGGACTGCCGTGCTGCCGATGGCTTCACGAGTTAATTGCTCGCGCGACTCGGGCTCTGCATAGAGGGGGAAATAAATGCTGCGGTGGGTTGAAGGCTGCAGTGAATGAAAACTGCGGCGAATGCCACGATTCGGAGCCATGATTCAACTCGAGGAGCAATTCTCATCTTGCTGTTTCCGTCTCATTTCTTTCATTTATTGGTTTGTCCGTCGCGTGCAATGTTCTCTCCGCTCTACATTTTCTCGCCACTCTACACGGGTGCGTCTTTTACATATACCTTACCTATTTTCATAAACGGTTGCTTCTTACGGGCGCAATCGGTACGTGTGTCACGTGATAATTGATGCGAAGGGATGAAGCAATTCATCGTCACATCCTTGGCAGAGACCGCTCGATTCACAGGCGTCAGTCGAGATCATACCGGCTGCTCCTTCTGCTGTCGCTGGTTTTTTTTCGCAGGCTGTTGTGCCGATGGCTGAAGATCAAGTTTCAGCGTGGCAATGTGGACACAAATCACCGGGTCGCGGGGACTGAGGAGGAGTTTGAGGAGGAGGAATGTCTGAAGACTCTGTCGCTCTATACCGTGCGCTGCCCACCGGGGAGCACATCGGCAAGCAGCTTTGATGCCGCGAATGGAGAAGACTCAATGAGTGAGTGTGACGATCGGGTGGTTCCGTCATTAATTGCCTCCAGAACATACAATGATTTGGAATGCAGTGATGCTTATGGCAGTGGTAATTCGAGATGAGTGTTGAGTGTAATGGAAAGGCAGATTCGAGGCAGGAGAGTGCGGTGTTAATGCCTGGCTCAGACAGCCGGCCTTTAAGCAGCTCAAAGAAACGTTTCTGGCAAAACCAGCGCAGGCACCTGAGACGGATGCTGGGAATTTAGTGGCAAGAGAGGATTAGCGTTGCAGACGTCCGGATGGGAAGGTGGGACAGGTCAACGTAGTTACCATGAACCAAGGGAAATGGCTGCCCCGGCTGGGACACTCGTGCGGGCCTAGGGAGGGCCGATTGTCGGCATTGTAGCCGGCCACCAAGGCGAAGAGAAGCCCTGAAGGCGGATGTTGAGAGACTGTCAGGGCAGACTGCGGAGGTCGCCGCGTGTCGACTGCAGTAGCTGCGGGATCGGCTATAACGTTTGTGCTGCGATACCGTCATTCTAGACTTGGAACAGGAAGACCGGGCATCCAGTCTCCGAAACGCGGTGCCAGCGCACGTGTGCGTACGGCTGATGGAGAGAACGCTGAGCGCGACGGAAGCAAAGCGAGCGGAGGAGAGCCGGGCCCTCTTGGGAACGAGCGCAGTGCTGCTGCTGCTCCCGGAGCCCGAGGCTGCAAGAGGGCTCCACCGCGGCGTCGGTGCGCCCGGCATGTCCGCGCCCGCGTGGCCCCGCGCCACCCCGGGTGAAGAGTACTGGGAAAGCGGGCGGCTGCAGCTGGCGCAGGCTGCTGGAGGGCGGCGCGCGGTGGCCGCCCACGCCCGTGGCCGTGCTCGTGCCGCACACGGCGCGGACGCTGGACACCCGGCAGGTTGAGCACGGTAAGACTTTGCGAGTCTCTAATGCTATCTTCTTGGTTCTTTCGGTAAAGTCACGTAGAAGGGAAATAATAAAATAATAAAAATAAAACAACATAATTCTCACGACGTTTCGGCCACAACGCAAGCAGCCGTCCTCAGGCGAAGAACAGGTCTGTCGTAAAGACAGCGTCTGAATCAGAAGAACAGGTCTGTCTTTCCGACAGACCTGTTCTTCACCTGAGGACAGGCTGCTTGCGTTGTGGCCGAAACGTCGTGAGAATTATTTTATTATGTTTTATTTTTATTACTTTATTATTTCCCTTCTACGTGACTTTACCGAAAGAACCAAGAACATGAATCCCTGTAGTCACGAAAGCTTTAAATCGAAATCTCTAATGCTAATTAGGACTCGGTGTCGAAGTTGACTTTAATCGTGAATTGTAACAAATACGGTTGTGTTGGTGGTGCACGTATGTCTCCATTGGACATGGGCACTGACGGTGATTCTTTGCGGTGTTGAAGCTGTTTGTTCCGTCCCTGTGCAGGTTTGTAGGAGTTTAACTGATTGATAGTGTAATCGCCCAGCACACTGCACTATGAGCGCAGCTTATTCAGCGAAGCTGTGAAAATCATTCGTTTTGCGGAGGTCAAATGGATCGCGGGTCACGCCAATCCAGGTTTCAGCCACGGTCTGTTGTTACACCGAGTTCTCAAGTTCAGCGAGTTGGTGGTGTCAGCCCAATCATCGTGGTCTACACAATAAACACCACATTAAATCTGTTTTTTCACATAATTTTGCCACATTTTCATTTTTAGGAATGTTACATTGTTGTCAGTTCTCGTGTCATACAACAAAAAGTGCACCCCTTCGTGTGTCAACGACGGTGTCACTGTAAGGAACTTGAGAAGCTTCTCTATGAAATATTCTCTTATGCACAGAAACTCCACGGACAGAAGTTCCCAAACTCGACGCTCCTGGGTTTAGAGGAGGGGGGGGGGAGACATTGGGCTCGCTGCCCCACCTAGGTGGCGAGATGTTAACTACCTCGCCTGGTATGCAGGAGGTCGACCCTGACGCCTGTATATTTGGAGTTTGCATGTTCCCCCTGTGGTCACGTGGATTTTTCTCCGGGTCCTCCTGTTTTTTCCCTCCACATTTAGAAATCAATGTGCATTTAGAGTATTTGGCTACAATCAATTTCCACATGACAAGCCACTTCGTTGAGCTATCATTTGTTATAGCCAGGTTGCTTCTGAAAAAGAGCTGTATAGCTCAGTGGGCCTTACCGTTTAAAATATAAATAGTTTAGTTTTTTAGTTTAGGTGGGGACCGCGAGCGGGAGCATGTACTTTTATACGGGGAGGGGACGGCAAGTGAGGAAGAACTAAAGTGAAGTCGAGGAGGCGGGGAGAAGGAGGGGAAGGAAAAAAGGAGGGGTGGGAAGAAGGGGGGGGGGGGGATGTTTTCCAGGAATTTAATGGGAGGGCGATATTTTCTAGCGAGTGCACTAAGGAGCCCCCCCCCCCTCCCCGTTCCATCAAACCGAGATCACAGCCTGGCGCCGTTCCCTTCCAGCCCGATCAGCGGGTGGTGCGGTGTGGAGTTGGCGGGTGTCCGCTGGTGGCACTTCCCAGTGCAGCTCATCTCTCTCTCTTGGTCATTGTGACTGCAGCCTGTAGCTCTTGGCTCAATTCCCATCCGGCTTTCGTAGATGTGGTTATATTTGCTCAGTCAGTGGGTTTCAGATGGATCTGATAGAGCAAATTACAATATGGTGTTGGGTATGATTTCGTTTTGCGCCAAACTCGGACCCTTATCCAATAGACAGGTTCTCTACCTATACATCTCTGGAAGTTCATCAGCGTTGGTGTATGCGAGCCTGACTCTGCTGATCAGAAACCAATACAGAGTTTGCTTCTAATGAAGCAACCCAAGAAGGTCTTGTGGCTGATGAGATGTGTAAAGAAATCTTAAGTGATTTATGTGCAGTGACAGATATGGAAAGGAGACACTATAATCTCCATTTCAATAAAATATCCTTCAATATAAGTGTTAAAACCCCATTGTGTGTTTACCACGTAGGCGTTCGCGACCAATATTTTCCATAATGTTTACAAAATTGGGCTTAGATCGGATAAGTATTGTAATCACCAGCGAAACGTCACAGTACTAGAATTGTAAATGTTGCAGATTTACTACCCAACACTCCAGTGTGCTGTAGTCATAACGTGACAAACCTTACTAATTGGCTGCCGTCGGGCGGTGGCGGGTTCAACGCCACATTCATATTTACGCGATCTAACTCAGCAAAACCTTTACTGTGGAGCCCATCGTGTGTTTTGTATGCAGGATTGAGTTTGAAGGAGCTGGTTGCCAATCGGAGGATCAGCGACTACAGTATCGTGCACATGACTGAAGACGCTACCTTCCTTAAAACCAACCAATCGGTAACTGGATCTGCAAACCGTAAACCGCTCCTGCATTTACACGCGACGCCTTGCTGCTCCAAACTCACGGGGGGATGTCGCTACGGGCAATTCCAATTGAGACATTTGTGAGTAACAAGTAACTAACCCATGCAGAATCTACAAACTCCACGCAGAGCTGGGAATGGAACCCATGATCTTTTTTCGATTTGAGGCACGAGTGGTTACAGCCCGATTTAAAGCTTTCGCTAAAGTCATGTAGAAGGGAAATAATAAAAATAAAACATAATAAAATTCAGACGCTGTCTTTCTGACAGACCTGTTCTTCACCTGAGGACGGCTGCTTGCGTTGTGGCCAAAACGTTGTGAGAATTGTATTTTTTATGTTTTATTTTATTATTTTATTATTTCCCTTCTACGTGACTTTACCGAAAGAACCAAGAAGATGGTTACAGCCCGTTCCCCCGAAAATTTTGCGTGTTGTTTTCTTAACTTGAATTGGATGTAACGTGATAAATGTATCGGACCACATATTTTTATTACGCGGATGCAAATTTGATATCGAGGGAACGGAACTACGTCGCGCGAGTAGAAATAAGCGGTTGTACGGCTGCCTCGGCGTAGCATCAGATGAGGCGGGATGCTGCTGGATTCTTCTAGATGCTACCCACGCGCCTCAGTCTTTATTCAGCTTGTTTAACACGGAGGCTTTCGTGACCAATATGATTTTTTGGGTAAGATCCCATAAATATAAATGTGTCGTTAAACCCGCCACCACCAGACGCAGCACCTAATTGGCTCACAAGTGACGACGTCACATTCACCTCTCTATTTAAGACCGAACCAGGAGGAGGATTTAGCCACTGCTCTGGCTGTCGCCTGATGAGGCTGGTTGCAATTACCGGCGAAACGTCACTGTACTCGAATTGTAGATATTGTGGGTTTACTCTCCAACACATCGGTGTGCTGAACGAGTACCGAATTGGCAAGTTTTGTTCACGTGACAAACCTTACCGATTGGCTACGTTGGGCGGTGGCGGGTTTAATGACACATTTATATTCATGCGAGCTAACCCAAAAAAACCTCTTATTCTGGATTTGTTCAGCCTGCGTACGCATCTCTCGTGTTACTGTGGACCGTGCTTTACCCTACATTATTTATTACAGTAGAACCTCTGGTCACGACCATAATTCGTTCCATAACTTTGGTCGCAACCCGATTTGGTCGTGACTCGAACCTAATCTCCCCATTGGATTGTATGTGAATACGATTAATCCGTTCCAGACTCCTACGAACTGTATATAAATATTGTTATTTAAAGATTTCTAAGCACAAAAATAGTTAATTATGCCATAGAATTCACAGTGTAATAGTACGAGTGCAATAGTACATTATGCTTCCAAAAACAATACTGTACCCAAATATTACTGATAACTTACTTTCAATAGAAACATGAATTGCTCATACGAATATTCTCTCTCAGAATCAACCGACTGATGTAGCAGACAAAACAATCATCTTGTTGAACGATTCTAAACCTTGACGCGGCAATGTTAGTTTTCTCTGTTGTTCATGGTTTTCTCAGTGTTCTTCAGGAACGCAACCACTTACCCCACCGTGTTATCAAACAGGCTGCACCACCACTGCGCTGTCGCCACCGCCCCCCGAGAGTGAACATGCCGTGTGTCTCCGTGCAGCTCAAAGAGGCCGTGCGCTGGCTCGCGTCCCGCTGCCCCGCGCCGCCGCCTCTCTGCTGCGACTCGGTGCGCGGCTTCCTGGAGGAGGGTGTCTGCCGAGAGTTTGGGAGCCGTTTCTACCCGGACCAGGCCGCCCGCCGCCGGGCCCAAGTGGGGCCACAGGTCCGACTTGCCTTGCCTCGTCCACTGTTACTGGGCGTAGAATCTCCGCGTATAACTCGGCAGTCCGCCCGAGCATTTTACTGTGGGTACATTATTATTAAATTGTTTTGTTCTGCCCGTCATCGGTCATCGTCGGCAGTTGTTTATCCACTCTCAGATGAAAGGCTCTGCACACCCGCCACCACCCCTTGGGGGGGGGTGTCTGCTCTGCTGCAGTCCTTCTCACTCCTACGTCAGTTCGTTCATTCGTTTCTCAGTCCTGTTGTCCTGGTGAGGGTCGCGGCGGCAGCAGCGTGCTGAGTAGTGCGGTCCAGACCTCCCATTCCCTGGCGAGAGACTCTAGCTCTTCCTGGGAAATTCCCAAGCATTCCCAGGGCAGCCGAGCAAATATAGTCCCGCCAGCGTGTCCTGGGCCGGCCCCGGGTTCCCCGCCTTACCTCAGTTTCTCGGTGTAATTTCAAGCGTGCGCTCTCTTGGATTTCACACCTGATGACGATTGCTTGTGTTGCAGTCGAAACGTCGTGAGAATTTTATACTTTTATATTTTTATTATTTTATTATTTCCCTTCTACGTGACTTTACCGAAAGAAGCGAGAATACGGGTGGAGGAGTTCGCCAGCAACACGAGGTTTATCTTGTCACTCCTGTGGAACTCATCTTCTTGGTTCTTTCGGTAAAGTCACGTAGAATGGAAATAATAAAATAATAAAAATAAAACGTTAATATAATAATTCTCACTGATGTTTCGGCCACAACGCAAGCAGCCGTCCTCAGGTGAAGAACAGGTCTGTCGAGAAGACAGAGTCTAAATGACACACTCCAGGCTTGGAGCGACTATTTAAGCTGGGATGGAGGGGGGAAGAGCGCCTTGACTAAAGAATTTGCATATCAAGAGGAATTTAGCACATTTATGGGAAATGCAGATATGCGATTAGTGGAACTGTTTATTACTCCCGAGCTTTGTTGCGAGTCATCACTGGCGTGTTGTGATTTTCGCCGTGCGCGTGTCTCCGCTGCAGTCTCCCCGGGTCATCGTGGAACTGTACAACGGCATCATCCGCCACCTGGCGGCCGTGGCCTGCTCCGCGAGCCTGGCCGCGCTGTCCTGGCCGCCAGCGGAGTTCTCCCGGGGATCGCGCGCCTGAGGCCCTGCCGCCCCACCTGGGCTGGAACTCGCCGCGGCACCTGCAGGTGGCTCGAGACCGTCCTCCTGGGGTTCCAGCTGCCGCCGCCCCCGCAAGAAGGTGGGGGGAGGGGGGGAATGCCCACGCCGGAAACGCCGAGGCGTTTTTATTTGAACGAAACATTCATTAGTTTATCACAGAACAGTTGGCGAAGGAGCATTGCGGCAAACGTGTGACCTCTTGCGACAGCGTTCGCATCAACCGCTCTTGGCTGCCGTACACCAGCGTCTCGACCGATGTGTTTCGTCCACGCATCGTGGGGGGCGACCACGGGGGTGGCGCCAATCCTTTGAGGGGGGGGGGGGGGCAGGTCGCGGTCCGCTTCGAACGTCGACGGCCAACCAAAGTGCGCAATTTGCTGCTGGAGTTTGCGCATGAAGACGGAATTCCTCACCTGTTTATGAATTTGCCCACGCGTGTAGAGGAATGTCGAGCGACGAAGGAAACGTTTTCCCCATTTTTGACTGATGAACGAAGGGAGCTCCCGCAGCGGTGTGAGGGTTAGCGGCTTGCGCGCAACGGACTTGTGATGCAGAGGGGCGCCGGGTGCAATTCCATCTCTCGGTGCGGCAGTTGAAACAATTGGAGCAAGTTTCTCCAATCCCTCCCACCGTGCCCACTGTCCATGCAGCTACATTGATGGCTGCACCGCAGTCGATGGGCAGGTTACGTATGGTGGGGTCAAATGTGGGTACTCCGGCCTCTTCCAAGGCCCTCGGTCGGCTTGAAAGAGGAGATCGAAATACCCTCTAGAGTTAGCTTTAGTGGAGGCCCTTCTGCCGCCGCTGCATGAGCTATCAATTGCAGGGCTGCACCTTGACATTTCACGTTGAGGCAAGTTGACATTGAAACTAATGAGACGTTTTCTGTGAAGTCACGTAGAATGGAAATAATAAAGTAATAAAAATAAAACATTAAATAATTCTCACGACGTTTCGGCCACAACGCAAGCAGCCGTCCTCAGGTGGAGAACAGGTCTGTCGAGTAGACAGAGTCTGAATGACAGACCTGCTCTCCACCTGAGGACGGCTGCTTGCGTTGTGGCCGAAACGTCGTGAGAATTATTTTTATTATGTTTTATTTTTATTATTTCCATTCTACGTGACTTTACCGAAAGAACCAAGAAGATGAATCCCTGCAGTCACGAAAGCTTTAAATCGAAATTTAATGAGACGTTTGTGTGCACAGCGTCAATACAGCGCAATCGCGCGTTACCCGTAACGGTCTCGGCCAATCACCCGCGCGGCGCTGTCCTGTGTTCTCCTGGCTACGCAGCCGATTGGTCGACTGTCGACGACGCCCTAGAGAAATACGTGCCACGCGTGGCTTCCGTCGAGTCCCGGCCAGTGCTGTTGTCAAACCTGGCGCGGATTCTGAAGAGAGCCGCCGGCGCGGAGAGGGACGCGAACCGCGGTGCGTGTGGGGGAGAGGAGGAGGACGAGGAGGACGAGGAGGAGGACGAGGAGGAGGAGCGGCGCCTCGGAGCGCGCTGTGCCGTGCCGTGGGACGAGCTGCTCGAATGCTGCGTCGGACACAAGTTGTCCGAGTGCTTCATCGAGATGGAACACGTCTCTCCAGGTGCACGCACCCGACACGCCCCATGCTCGCAGTTGAGGCCGAGGGCGCGGGCCCGGCGGTGGCGCGGTCGCCGCTTGTAGAAGTTCCCCGAATTGGTTTCGACCGGCCGCCCTGGTTAATACCGTGGTGTCTGTGTATCAGCCGTCAAAAAAATAACGACACGCCGATTGCTTCGTGGTGGATGTCAATGTCCCATGACGTCATTCGAAGAGGGGTGGTCGGTCATCGTGTGCCGGTGTCATCATCCTAATTTAGCCGAATTTTTACAATTACGGGAATCCCTTGATAACGGAACACATGTGTTCCTTAAAAGCTGTCCGTGAAGAGAAATTCCGTATATCGAACCATGTTTTCCCATTGACGTATATTATGGAAAAATGTTGGTCCCAATATGTAATAAAATGCATAAAAAAAAGTTCTTAAGCACATTTAATTGAACATCGATAATTTTAAAATAAAATATTTTTATAAACAGTACTTAAAATAACTTTCGAATTATGTTTTTTTATAGTACTTAATATCCAAGGTCTCGTTTTTGCACTTCTGCTATCACTTGCAGAAGAGCAGTGGAGGCTTTCCTGGGCAATAAAGTGGACTCATAATAATGATGATTATCGAGTTCCGACTGAGATGACGTTTTACGCTTCTGCTCTTTACACGTAACGATTCCGAAGATAAAATAAATCGAGCGGATTTAATCTGTTGGGCCAAGTCTGCGTCTCGTCAGCGACGGAGCGCACGCGCGGAGTGTGTAGTGCAAGGCGCGCGGGGCGCAGCGCGAGGTCGCAACCGGGTACCCGATACCCGTACCCTACCCGATACCCGGCTACCCGTACCCGGCCGGGTACGGGTACCCGTTTGCGACCCTGGTGCGGCCGGGTACGGGTAGGCCGTGAGTCACTGGTGAGTAACTGTTTGTCACTCATTTCCCAACGTCTTGTCTCTTCTCACAATTCAAGTTCCTAGAATAAACCCACCCGCGCCTGCAACATGGCTTCATCCCAGAGGTCGCAATCAGGTACCCGATACCCGTACCCTACCCGTACCCGGCCGGGTAAGGGTAGGGTACGGGTACGGCCGGGTACGGGTAAGGAATCAAAACCCGTTTGCGGCACAGCGTTTTGCGTGCCGCTGCCTCACGGCTGCCGCTTCGTGTCGCCGCTCCGCCTGCAGACGCGCTGTGCGAAGGCGGCGACGTGCTGGTCTACTACCTCGAGCGCGACCTCCACAGCTACCGGCCCCCGGCCTCGTGGGAGGAAGCGCAGGCAGCCACGCTGAGGGCCGCTCGGTACGTGCACAAGCGCTAACACAGACGCCGCCGCCGCCGCTCATGTACACGTACATACAGCAGAGAATAATACAACTGGACACAACTATGAACTATTTTTATTTTACCAGGTCAGGCCCCACTGAGCTCTGTATAGCTCTTCTTCAAAAGCGATCTGGCTGTCACAAATGATAGCTCAACAAGAAGTGGCTTGTCACGTACATACACCAGAGAATTAAAAAAAAAACTATACGTAGCTAACCGTGCTATGTGTGCGTGTATGTTGAACTACTTTCACACCGTACGTAGCCAACCGTTCTATTTGTGTATGTTGAACTTATTTTGCACCATACGGAGTCAACCGTGCTATGTCTGCGTGTATGTTGAACTACTTTCGCACCGTACGTAGCCAACCATGCTAATCGGCTGTGCGAGGCAAAGACAACAAACTAAACGCAAAAGGCACTTTGTGCTGATGGGGCTCGTAAAGTCGGCGACTGCCTTGCAGATCACAGCAGGGTGCGGACGTCGGGCAGCAGCAGCGGTGGCGGCGGCCCGTCCACTTTGCCGTGGTGGACTGGTGCCGCGGCGCTGCTGCCGGAGTCGCTCACTGAGGAGCTGCAGGAGGCGCTGCAGCGCGAGCGCGAGGACAACGCCAGGTGAGGCTGTGACGTCACGACAGCAGTGCGGTCTCCCACAATGCACCGCACGCCCCCCCCCCCCCACGCTCGTCATTACGTTGCCTTAGGGCAGGGGGTGGGGAACGTCCGGCCCGTGAAATCATTTGGCAGTTCCAGCCATCACATTAGGGGTGAGTTAATGAAATGTTTGAACAAATATAACAGGATTATCTTTAAGTTGATCATTTTGTACGGCCCGCGATTGATGTTATAAATGTGCAAAGTGGCCCTTGGCAGAAAAAAGTTTCCCCACCCCTGGCTTAAGGGGGTACCGCAGTGACGAGATGTTCATTACCTCGCCTGGTATACAGGCGGTCGTGGGTTTGATCCCAACCCTAAGGCCTTCATATTTGGAATTTGCATGTCTCTCTCTCTCCGCCACGTGGTCGTGTGGATTTTTCTCCAGGTCCTCCGTTTTTTTCCTACAAATTCAGAGTGAACATCACCCGTTCAGGGTATTTGGCTGCTCTTGAAAATCTACCTGCAAATTCCTGAAGTGAGATTGCACAGAGCAGCATTCTCTTGTATTGACACGAGATTCGATGGAAAGCACTTTTAAATTGCTGAGGCTTTTAAGAAAGTGCCATGTCAATTGAAATAAGATTATCATTATTACGTATGATACTGTTTTCTGTTGAACTAGGAGCCCCGCCATGTCTTATAGAGAGAATCCTTGACTACAAAGATCTGGCAGTGCATTGGTTTGAGCAAGCCTGACCGCTGATGAGACATTGAATGTTAAAACCGGTACAGAGTTCGCATTATGCAACTAACGTTGCTGAAATTATACGACCTCAGAAGGCTGTGTGGATGATGGGTTGTGAACAATTTTTTGAAATGTGGCAAAGAGGCTGTTGAAGTTTTATCTGCAGTGTTACGACTCTCACTGTACGTTTCCCTATCCACAAGAACCGATCAGGTGGCGGTGTTTGGGACCCAAATTTGTTTGGGCTAATTCACTGGTGGAAAACTGGGTGCGGAGTGCCAAGTTTACATGCCATGTTGCTTCAATTGGCAAGTGTAATTATTTGACAGAACGTTTTCCAATTTCTAATGACTTTTCTCTCGATAAGTTTCTACAGCCGCATGTAATCGGTGCGGTGCTCTGAGTTGGGCAGCGCTTTTGGGGGGCGGATGGGGTGGGGGGGATGGGAGGCTGCAGGGGGGGAGGGGGTCGTCTTTGGAACTCCTGAAGGTGCCCTCAAGCAGCGCGTGGATCGAGATTCTAAGAAATGCTCGACGCGCCGCCCAGCCCGGAAAGCCGCACGCACAGTGGACGCGTTAAGATTTGTTTTATTTCATTCGAACCCGGTACTCGGTTGCATCCGTTAGCGTGACCGCGTGGAGGAACTGGGCTCCCTGCGTTTGTCGTGAAGTCGTCATTGTCGTCGTTGTCGTCGTTGCAGCTTTGAGCGGCAGCTCTCAGCGTGGCTCTGCGGTCCCCCCGAGATGTCGGCAAGCTCGCTCACCTGCACCCCCGCTAAAGCAAAGGTGAGTTGCACGCCGCTGTGATAGAAACAGCACTACGACCGCCCGTTGGGAACACGGTAATGCCTCGCTGATATCGTCAAGGAGCATAAACCATCATCACGCAAACTCCGGTCATCCTCGCAGCAGCGGATTTTGGTTGGGCATCGAACAAAGATGGTCACCGCATCGCACACTTTCTCGTATACGCTTCTGCGGCCATCTGGAACGCTCTTCCAATATTAGGAAGCCTCTGGAGCTATGCACTTTTAAATATAAATTGAAAAGTAGTTTCTTTTGAACTTATTTTGTGTTCAGTTTGTTATCCTTCCCCTGCACCTTACATTAGCACGGTTGGCTACGTACGGTGCGAAAGAAATTCACCATGCAAAAAAAAGATCCCCCGTATAGCCTTAACAGGCTGTAGGGGCAAGTGCTGTTAGTAAGCACCTATGAAGGCCGGAACGGTACACGAGGGGATGGGTGGCCAGCACCACGCCCGACCGCCTTTGTCTCTCTAGTGGCGATGTTTACACACCGCACCAGGTACTCATTTGAGGCTGAGTCGACCTAGGAGAGGCCCAGGACCGGTTCAGATAATCGTCACCGGTGTTGGCCATGAGCGGGAATCGAACCCGGGTCGCCGGGTTCGTAGCGCAGCACGTTAACCGCTGCACCACCGCTCACCATACACACACACACACGTGTCGGTGGACTTACCGTCGGGCACTGGTAGCTGTGCTGCACCACCTCCGGACTGTTGTTATCATCCACCATGGTGGAGGAAGCAAGGGTTGGTGGAGCACACAAATGTTGTACAACTCCGTCCTACCTCTTCTTGGTTCTTTCGGTAAAGTCACGTAGAAGGGAAGTAATAAAATAATAAAAATAAAACATAATAAAATAATTCTCACGACGTTTCGGCCACAACGCAAGCAGCCGTCCTCAGGTGAAGACCAGGTCTTAGAGTCGCGGCATCAATATGCTAAGACCTGGTTTTCACCTGAGGACGGCTGCTTGCGTTGTGGCCGAAACGTCGTGAGAATTGTTTTATTATGTTTTATTTTTATTATTTTATTTATTTCCCTTCTACGTGACTTTACCGAAAGAACCAGGAAGATGAATCCCTGCAGTCACGAAAGCTTTAAATCGAAAAATTAATAAAAGCGTGTTTAAAAAAAAAAGTAAAAAAAAAATAATACTTATTAAATGGAAGCCACGGACTGCACCACGGAGCTTTTAGCGGTAAACAAGGTACCGTATTTACCGGGTAATACTTCGCGCTACCTTTACCCTACCCTTTACCTTACCCCTTGGCATGTCGACACCTTTACCTTTACCCGGTAAAAAGGGTAAATTACCTTGCCTTGCCGAGGCCTATGCGTGCGAGTGGGGAACACTCAGTTCCCGTATAGATGGAGATTGGTCCACAGTTGCTGGACTGCCTTCATACGCTGGCCATAAGCCAGGAGATGGTAACATCGATACTCCCAGGTAGTAAGGATTTCGATTTAAAGCTTTCGTGACTGCAGGGATTCATCTTCTTGGTTTTTTCGGTAAAGTCACGTAGAAGGGAAGTAATAAAATAATAAAAATAAAACATAATAAAATAATTCTCACGACGTTTCGGCCACAACGCAAGCAGCCGTCCTCAGGTGAAAACCAGGTCCGTCGAGGCGACAGAGTCTGAATGAAACAACACCATACACACGACGGACCTGGTTTTCACCTGAGGACGGCTGCTTGCGTTGTGGCCGAAACGTCGTGAGAATTGTTTTATTATGTTTTATTTTTATTATTTTATTACTTCCCTTCTACGTGACTTTACAGAAAGAACCAAGAAGACGCTTTTATTAAATTTACGAGTAATGGCAGAACTCCACGACTCCAAGAAGTGGCCCCGAAGCTTGCCACAACGTAAGGGACCGTGGCCAATTACAGCCAACGTCATTTGAGCGTGGACAATTAGACGCAAGCCGAAACATAACATGTAAAATAATGTTTAAAAACAGATATTTTTTATGATAGAATGTAGTATTGTCATCAGTATGACATAAGTATACCAAGTTTGCAGTCGATACCATATTGGGAAGTGGGTTAAAATTGAGTTACAAGACAGACAGTGAGTTCAAAGAAAGAGTGTAAAATTGGAATCATCGAGAGTATTCTATATGAATAAAGCGCTCTATCCAGCATTTACCGTTATAAACCTTTTTCATGTGTAGTAGTACCCCAGTAATTACCCTGTAGTCGGGTAATTTGTATGAGGTAAGGGTAAAAGGTAGGGTAAAGGTAGGCTCGTTGCTTTTTACCTTTTAAAATCCTTTATATTAAGTTCGCTTGCGTGCTTGCGTGCTTGCGTGCTTGCTTACGACCGTGCAAATCTTTCGATCGTTAACCCACTTCCCGTGATCCAATCGAGCTGACATTTTGCACACAGACTCGTTGTGCGAGACAATTAATGTTCGTGAAAAAATGTTTCAAAAATTTTACACTGTTTAGGGAAAACAAATTAAATATTTAATTACCAATTGCTTAATACTGTCAGACAATCATCTGACCCATAGGTGGCAGCCATCTCAAGCCAGAGGATGAGAAGACTCTAGCCGCCACGCATATAAAGGGTTTATAGTGAAAAACTTTGTTTTTACGGGTTATACTTTTACCTTACCTGCTAAAGGGTAAAAGGTAGGGTAGAGTGATTGTATTGTGGTAAGGTAAAGGTAGGCTTGTTTTTTTTACATTTTAACTTTTACCTTACCTTGCCGAGGCCTATGCACGCATGAGTTTTCCACAAGTATAAACACTCGTTCATGGAGTTGGCCAAACATCCGGGTAGAGGACCCACAGACCTTGAGCAAATGTTGACACAACTTCTGGCTGCCTTACTGCTTGTAGTTTCCAGCGCGTCTGTGTGAAAGCTGCACGTTACAAATTCTCCAGTATTTGAGATGCAATGTCATTAATTACACTGCTATGTAAGATCAAATAAATTATAAATACAGTGCCAGTGTGAGACGATGAGGTAGTTGACAAGGTTGTGAGGGTGCGTTTACAGATGGCAGCTGTTGAGTCTTCTCATGTGACTGGTACCATCTGTGCCCTGTGCTTGTGATACAGCACTGTGCATCGCTACATTAAATCGCTTTTGAAGCAGGATTCATGCCTTGGGTGCTCTGGATAAATTTCGGATTTTCAAGGAACGTATCTTTAAAGAGCGTTCCACACGTTTTCATCATTTCCATTATTTAATAATGGCTGCACATCGCTCCATGCCAACACCAAGTGGCCTCCACCCCATGCCCCAAGGTCGTGAGTTGAAATCCAAGTTGGGAGTTCACTAAGCCCCATCATCATCATCATCCCTTTGGGGTTGATACATTTAGTACCAATTTTTTTAGACCGATTAAAAACATTGTTTTTTTCCTATTTAGAAATGTGGAAATCTCCACCACGGGCTGTGTGGCAGGGCTTGCAAACAGGAGGATGAGCATACTCTTAGTTCTTTCGGTAAAGTCACGTAGGTAAAAAATGAAATAAAAATTAATAATAAAAAAATAATTATTTTTTAAATTATTATTTTTATTAATTTTAATTTCATTTTTTACCTACGTCACTTTACCGAAAGAACTAAGAGTATGAATCCTTGCAGTCACGAAAACTTCAAATCTAGAATTAATACCCTCTAGGAGGATGAGCACCAATGCCTCATCGCCGCGGCTCGTTTGAGAGCTGCAGGAGAACAACGCGCCGACTAATTCTGTTTTCACAGCTGCTGCCGCAAGAGAACTGGGAGGTGGATTTGGAGGAGCCCCAGGAGGAGGAGGTGGTGGGGGTGGAGGCGTGGGTGAGGGACCCATCTGAGTCGCTCTCCCGGGGCATCTCTCGTCTCAGGCGGAAGATCCGCGCCGGGAAAGCGGCCGATCGCTGCTACGAGCGTTACTTGCGCAGCCTCTTGGAAGCGGACGCGTAGACTCGTTTAGCCGTCACAGCGCGGGGAGACCGATTCCACTTCCTCCACGGTGGCCGAGTTTTAACAAGTGACGTTTTTATATGTTTATTTTCGTTGTTGTTACAGAATACTTCGTTAGTTGCGAGTGGGGGGGAGTGGGGGGGGAAAACCTCTGATCATGATGCGAATGTTGTCACGGCTTGACGACCGCAAGATCACGGTTCGCGAGGAAGCTCGCTTCAGCTTTTGGTTTGTCTCGCGAGTAAGTTACGGGGCGGTCGCTTTCAAATCAAGAAACGTCGCCCATCCGTCCACGCCCAACCGTGTTTTAGCATTTCATAAGTGTGCCGTTACAGATGTAAAACGTTCTCACGTTGCTTTAACCTTTGCCATTGCAGAATGTTTTCGTAATTCAATAAAGCGCATTTATCAAACTGCCGGTGGTGGTGCATTGCGTGTGCGCGGCTTCTTTTCTGTGCCGGTGTCGGCTCCCCGCATCGTCCCCCTGACCGCCGTTCCCTTGCGTCTGGCACCCGGAAACCGCGTGCAGAGATCGGAGCCTGGGAGTCGAACCAAAAACCAGAGCCCTTGTAACCTCAATTAACTATGTGAACACCAAACTAGATAGATGTTAAATTTCGATGTAAAGCTTTCGTGACTGCAGGGATTCATCTTCTTGGTTCTTTCGGTAAAGTTGCGTAGGAGGGAAATAATAAAATAATAAAAATAAAACATTTAATAATTCTCACGACGTTTCGGCCACACCTGAGGACGGCTACTTGCGTTGTGGCCGAAACGTCGTGAGAATTATTTTATTATGTTTTATTTTTATTATTTTATTATTTCTCTTCTACGTGACTTTACCGAAAGAACCAAGAAGGTGAATCCCTGCAGTCACGAAAGCTTTAAATCGAAGGATCGAAGACTCGTTTCTCTGGAACTGCGTTTTTGTGTTTAGTGTTAGAACCGATTTTTGTGTTGTCCCGTACACACAACACGTGCATTGTTTGTGCATTTCACCTCGGGGTTTTATCTGCGCGCACATAAAGATAATTCGTATGGCCGGCACGTGCTGTGGGTGCAAGTGGTGTGAGCGTGAGTAGCCAGAACCACGCCCGGCCGCCTTTGTGTCCCCAGTAAGTGATGCTTACACACCAGGTACTTATTTAAGGCTCAGTCGACCTAGGTGAGACCCCAGGACCGGTTCAGATCATTAGCGAGTTAACCACTTGCGGCACCGCTCACCGTCGATGCCACCAGCTCGGTGTGCGTGCCATGCTAGGTGCACTTGCGAGCCCACGTCAACATCGCAGCCAGCTCGGTGTGCGTGCCAGGCTAGGTGCACTTGCGAGGCTGCGTCAACATCGCAGCTGGCTCGGTGTGCGTGCCAGGCTAGGTGCACTGTGAGGCCGCGTCAACATCGCAGTGAGTGAGTTGGTGAGTTGGTGAGTGAGTTGGTGGGTGAGTTGGTGAGTAAATGATGTAGGTTGGTGAGTTCCGAGAATTATGTGAGTTAGTGATTGGGGCATCATGTTCGTGATTTAGGTGAGTGAGTTGGTGAGTGGTGAGTGGGTGAGTTGGTGAGTATTTGGTGAGTGAGTCAGTGAGTGGGTGAGTTGGTGAGTGGTGAGTGGGTGAGTTGGTGAGTGGTGAGTTGGTGAGTAGTGGGTGGGTGAGTTGGTGAGTAGTGGGTGGGTGAGTTGGTGAGTAGTGGGTGGGTGAGTTGGTGAGTAGTGAGTTGTGAGTGGGTGAGTTGGTGAGTAGTGGGTGGGTGAGTTGGTGAGTAGTGGGTGGGTGAGTTGGTGAGTATTTGGTGAGTGAGTGGGTGAGTTGGTGAGTGGTGAATGGGTGAGTTGGTGAGTAGTGGGTGGGTGAGTTGGTGAGTAGTGGGTGGGTGAGTTGGTGAGTATTTGGTGAGTGAGTGGGTGAGTTGGTGAGTGAGTAGTGAGTGGGTGAGTTGGTGAGTAGTGAGTTTGTGAGTAGTGGGTGGGTGAGTTGGTGAGTATTTGGTGAGTGAGTAGTGAGTGGGTGAGTTGGTGAGTAGTGAGTGGGTGAGTGGTGAGTGGGTAAGTTGGTGAGTAGTGGGTGGGTGAGTTGGTGAGTATTTGGTGAGTGAGTAGGGAGTTTGTGAGTAGGGAGTGGGTGACTTGGTGAGTGAGTAGTGAGTTTGAGAGTGAGTGAGTAGTGAGTGAGGGAGTGAGCAGTAGAGTGAGTAGTGAGTGTGAGAGAGTGAGTGAGGGAGTGAGTGAGTAGGTGAGTGTGGGTGAGTGAATGAGCAGAGCGCCGGGTGGCTAAAGCACAGCAAGTTGGCACAGGTGGTGCATCAGCCAGTCATCTCGATCATCTCAGTCGATCCGTGGCACCTGCTGGGTTTGTCCCGTGACCTCCTGCCAGCGGGTGTTCGACACTTCACGTGGCCTAAAGGTGCACATGACCTGGCACAAGCGTCGTGGTGACGTCACTGCCACTTAGTGGCGAATGGCGGTTGTTGTGAGTAGGTGAGTGAGTGATTGTGTGTGAGAGTGAGTGAGTAGGTGAGTGAGTAGGTGAGTGAGTGTGTGAGTAGTAGGTAAGTAGGTGAGTGAGTAGGTGAGTGTGTGAGTAGGTGAGTGAGTGAGGGTGAGTGTGAGTAGGTGAGTGAGTGAGTAGTAGGTGAGTGTGAGTGAGTGTATGAGTGAGTGTGTGAGTGTATGAGTGAGTGTGTGAATGAGTGAGTGTGTGAATGAGTGAGTGAGTAGGTGAGTGAGTGTGTGAGTGAGTAGGTGAGTGTGTGTGAGTAGGTGAGTGTGTGAGTGAGTGTGTGTGAGTAGTGTGAGTGTGTTTGAGTGAGTAGGTGAGTGTGTGTGAGTGAGTAGTAGGTGAGTGATTGTGTGAGTGAGTGTGTGAGTGAGTGAGTAGTAGGTGAGTGGTTGTGTGAGTGTGTGAGTGAGTAGTAGGTGAGTGAGTGTGAGTGAGTGAGTAGTAGGTGAGTGTGTGAGTAGTGAGTGAGTAGTAGGTGTGTGTGAGTGAGTGTGATTGTGTGAGTAGTGTGTGAGTGAGTGTGTGAGTAGTGAGTGTGTGAGTAGGTGTGTGAGTAGTAGGTGAGTGATTGTGTGTGTGTGAGTAGTGTGATGTGTTTGAGTGAGTAGGTGAGTGTGTGTGAGTGAGTAGTATTGTGTGAGTGAGTAGTGATTGTGTGAGTGAGTAGTAGTGTGAGTGAGTGTGTGAGTAGGTGAGTGAGTGTGTGAGTAGGTGAGTGTGTGTGAGTAGTGTGAGTGAGTAGTGAGTGAGTAGGTAAGTATGTGAGTGAGTAGGTGAGTGAGTAGTGATTGTGTGTGTGAGTGAGTAGTGTGAGTGAGTGTGTATGTATGTGTGAGTGTGTGTGAGTGAGTAGTGAGTGAGTGAGTGTGTCAGTAGTAGGTGAGTGTGTGTGTGAGTGAGTAGTGTGTGAGTGAGTAGTAGTGTGAGTGTGTGTGAGTAGTGTGAGTGTGTTTGAGTGAGTAGGTGAGTGTGTGTGAGTGAGTAGTATTGTGTGAGTGAGTAGTGATTGTGTGAGTGAGTAGTAGTGTGAGTGAGTGTGTGAGTAGGTGAGTGAGTGTGTGAGTAGGTGAGTGTGTGTGAGTAGTGTGAGTGAGTAGTGAGTGAGTAGGTAAGTATGTGAGTGAGTAGGTGAGTGAGTAGTGATTGTGTGTGTGAGTGAGTAGTGTGAGTGTGTGTGTATGTATGTGTGAGTGTGTGTGAGTGAGTAGTGAGTGAGTGAGTGTGTCAGTAGTAGGTGAGTGTGTGTGTGAGTGAGTAGTGTGTGAGTGAGTAGTAGTGTGAGTGTGTGTGAGTAGTGTGAGTGTGTTTGAGTGAGTAGGTGAGTGTGTGTGAGTGAGTAGTATTGTGTGAGTGAGTAGTGATTGTGTGAGTGAGTAGTAGTGTGAGTGAGCGTGTGAGTAGGTGAGTGAGTGTGTGAGTAGGTGAGTGTGTGTGAGTAGTGTGAGTGAGTAGTGAGTGAGTAGGTAAGTATGTGAGTGAGTAGGTGAGTGAGTAGTGATTGTGTGTGTGAGTGAGTAGTGTGAGTGAGTGTGTATGTATGTGTGAGTGTGTGTGAGTGAGTAGTGAGTGAGTGAGTGTGTCAGTAGTAGGTGAGTGTGTGTGTGAGTAGTGTGTGAGTGAGTAGTAGTGTGAGTGTGTGTGTGAGTGATCCGCCTTGACTCGCATCTCGTCGCAGGTGACGTCACTATGCATGGTCCTGGGCCTGCGCGGGCACGTGGGCGACACGAAACAGCAGCAGCCACAACAACAACAACAACCACCACCACGAGACATCCACAACCTCCACCACGAGACCTCCACAACAACCACCACGAGACCTCCACAACCTCCACAACAACCACCACGAGACCTTCACAACAACCACCACGAGACCTCCACAACAACCACCACGAGACCACAACCTCCACACAACCACGAGACCACCACGTGAGACAACAACAATAAGCACCACAAAGCAACAACAACAATAAGCGCGAGACGGCGACGCAACAACAACAACAACAGCAGCAGCAGCGACTTCGGGCACCAGGAGGAGAGAGGCGCGGAGTGGTGGTAGTGGTGAGCTCCGTGTGTGGGTGGGGAGACACGGCTCGGCCGTGAGTTGACTCACCTATGAGTTGACTCACTCGGCCATGAGTTGACTCACGCACGAGTTGACTCACTCGGCCACGAGTTGACTCACGCATGAGTTGACTCACTCGGCCACGAGTTGACTCACGCATGAGTTGACTCACGCACGAGTTGACTCACTCGGCCATGAGTTGACTCACGCATGAGTTGACTCACGCATGAGTTGACTCACTCGGCCATGAGTTGACTCACGCACGAGTTGACTCACGCATGAGTTGACTCACTCGGCCATGAGTTGACTCACGCACGAGTTGACTCACGCATGAGTTGACTCACTCGGCCATGAGTTGACTCACGCACGAGTTGACTCACGCATGAGTTGACTCACTCGGCCATGAGTTGACTCACGCATGAGTTGACTCACGCATGAGTTGACTCACTCGGCCATGAGTTGACTCACGCACGAGTTGACTCACGCACGAGTTGACTCACTCGGCCATGAGTTGACTCACGCACGAGTTGACTCACTCGGCCACGAGTTGACTCACGCATGAGTTGACTCACTCGGCCACGAGTTGACTCACGCATGAGTTGACTCACTCGGCCATGAGTTGACTCACGCATGAGTTGACTCACGCATGAGTTGACTCACTCGGCCATGAGTTGACTCACGCACGAGTTGACTCACGCACGAGTTGACTCACCCATGCGTTGACTCACTCGGCCATGAGTTGACTCACCCGTGAGTTGACTCACGCATGAGTTGACTCACCCATGAGTTGACTCACTCGGCCATGAGTTGACTCGGCCAGGAGTTGACTCGCGCACGAGTTGACTCATCCATGACTCATCCATGACTCGACTCACCCATGAGTCAATCATGAGTTGACTCACGCATGAGTTGACTCACTCGGCCAGGAGTTGACTCACCTATGAGTTGACTCACCAATGAGTCAATCATGAGTCGACTCACTCACGAGTTGACTCACCCATGAGTTGACTCACCTATGAGTCGACTCACTCGGCCATGAGTTGACTCGGCCAGGAGTTGACTCATCCATGACTCATCCATGACTCGACTCACCCATGAGTCAATCATAAGTTGACTCACCCACGAGTTGACTCACCCACGAGTTGACTCACCCACGAGTTGACTCACCCATGAGTTCACTCTAGGCCTGCGGTGTTTAACTCCGTCGCGATGCGTTCCACGCGTTAGTCCAACATCCACAGGAAGCGTTGTAAAATCGCGTGCTTTTTAATGTAAAGATTAAGCTTGTTCTTCTTGGTTCTTTCGGTGAATTCTAGATTTGAAGCTTTCGTGACTGCAAGGATTCATACTCTTAGGTTTTTTCGGTCAAGTCGCGTAGATAATGAAAATAACTAAATTAATTTAGTTATTTTCATTTATTATTCTATTTATAGAATAAATAACAAAATAAATTTAGTTATTTTCATTTATTATTCTATTTATTGAATAAATAACAAAACTAATTTAGTTATTTTCATGTATTATTCTATTTTATCTTTCGATAAAGTCACATAGAAGGGAAATAATAAAATGATTAAAATAAAACAATTAAATTCTCACGACAGCTCTGCCTGACAGACAGCTCTGTTTCTTCACCTGAGGACGGCTGCTTGTGTTGTGGCCGAAACGTCGTGAGAATTTTATTGTTTTATTTTCATTATTTTATTATTTCCCTTCTACCTGACTTTACCGAAAGAAACAGAAGATGAATCCCTGCAGTCACAAAAGCTTTAAATCGAAAATTAAGCTTGTTGCCAGAGATGTTAACACAGGCCTCGCTCCTGCCAGCTGCTGCTGATTTGGTCTGAGATATTGTTATTATGGGGGGTGCGGGGGGGGCTAGAGTCTGGTGCTCGCCCCCCCTCTTCCTGCCAAGTGGGGGGCACTACCCTACCCCTACCTTCCTTGTGCCGCTTGTTCTGCATAGCTCCCACCCACAGCTCTAGCTGCTGCTCGGTCTCTACCCCCGGGGTCCCTGCCCCGAGCTCCTGCCCTGGGTCCCAGTCAGCCCTGCCGCTCTGCTTCCCGTGGGCAGCCACTCCGACATCACCCGAGCCCACGGTCTCCACCCGTCCCGGGTCTGAACCCGGACAGGCCGGGGGATTGGCGTGACCCGTGCCGGGAATTGATTTGTGCCGAGACCCGGTGCCGGCATCGCGCCGAGCCCCGTCGCTGTGCCCCGCGTTCATAGCTGCAGGCTGACCGAGAGACGCCGCGTGCGTGCCTCTCGTCTGCAGAGAAGGTGGCCTGCGGCCTCGCGCGCACCAGGGCCGGAGGAGCCGCGGACGCCGGTTCGGGATCTCCTCCGCTCCCTCTCCGCCGAGGGATGTCGGCTCCCCTCGGGGCTCGGGAAGCCAGGCCGCCCGGCGGCGCGGGTCCTACGGGCGGCGGAGCCGGGGCCCCCGGTGGCGCGCAAGCGAGGCCCGGCGCGGCGGCGGCGGCGGTGGCGGCGACGCGGGCCCCCGAGGAGGGTCCGGCTCGCGGCGCGGAGAACGCGACGTGCGGGGGCGGAGGCAGTCAGCCGCCGGGCAGCAGCAGCTCGGGCACGGAGGGCAGCAGCAGCTCGGGGGGCACCCAGAGCACGCAGGACACGCTGCCCAGCCAGGACCTGCCCTCTCTGGGCGAGGGGGAGGGCGACGCCGCCGGGCCCAAGCCCTGGGGCCGCCTCTACTCGACGCACCGCGCGTTCCCCACGCTGGGTGCGGGTCCCCGTGCCGCGCTCGCGGTCCCGCTGCGCACACTTAAAGTCGCACGGCTACGATCACGGGACTGCAATCATAGGATTGCAATCACACGATTACATTCACGGGATTACAATCACACGATTACAATCACAGGATTGCAATCACAGGATTGCAATCACAGGATTACAATCACAGGCTTACAATCACGATTACAATCACAGGATTACAATCACACGATTACAATCACAAGATTACAATCACAGGATTACAATCACATGATTACAATCACAGGATTGCAATCACAGGCTTACAATCACACGATTACAATCACAGGATTACAATCACACGATTACAATCACAAGATTACAATCACAGGATTACAATCACAGGATTACAATCACAGGATTACAATCACAGGATTACAATCACACGATTAAAATCACAGGATTACAATCACACGATTACAATCACAAGATTACAATCACAGGATTGCAATCACAGGATTACAATCACACGATTACAATCACAGGATTACAATCACAGGATTGCAATCACAGGATTGCAATCACAGGATTGCAATCACAGGATTACAATCACAGGATTACAATCACAGGATTACAATAACAGGATTGCAATCACACGATTACAATAACAGGATTACAATTACAATCACAGGATTACAATAACAGGATTACAATCACAGGATTACAATCACAGGATTACAATCACAGGATTACAATCAAAGGATTACAATCACACGCTTACAGTCACACAATTGCAATCACATGACCATCACGTTGGTAAATCAGAATCTGAATATTTAGATTGCAGGAGGAGGAGGAATCCGATGAGCTATGTTGTGTGTTATGTGCATTGCTTGTGTTGTGTGTTATGTGTGTTATGTGTGTTATGTGTGTTATGTGCATTGCTTGTGTTATGTGTGTTATGTGTGTTATGTGCATTGCGTGTGTTGTGTGTTATGTGTGTTATGTGCATTGCTTGTGTTGTGTGTTATGTGTGTTATGTGCATTGCGTGTGTTTGTGTTATGTGTGTTATGTGTGTTATGTGCATTGCGTGTGTTGTGTGTTATGTGTGTTATGTGCATTGCGTGTGTTGTGTGTTATGTGTGTTATGTGCATTGCGTGTGTTGTGTGTTATGTGTGTTATGTGCATTGCTTGTGTTGTGTTATGTGTGTTATGTGCATTGCTTGTGTTGTGTGTTATGTGTGTTGTGTGCATTGCGTGTGTTGTGTGTTATGTGCATTGCTTGTGTTGTGTGTTATGTGTGTTGTGTGCATTGCGTGTGTTGTGTGTTATGTGCATTGTGTGTGTTGTGTGGTATGTGCATTGTGTGTGTTGTGTGTTATGTGCATTGCGTGTGTGTGTTGTGTGTTATGTGCATTGTGTGTGTTGTGTGTTATGTGCATTGCGTGTGTGTTGTGACGTGCATTGCGTGTGTGTGTTGTGTGTGTTATGTGCATTGTGTGTGTTGTGTGTTATGTGCATTGTGTGTGTGTGTTGTGTGTTATATGCATTGTGTGTGTTGTGTGTTACGTGCATTGTGTGTGTTGTGTGTTACGTGCATTGCGTGTATGTGTTGTGTGTTATGTGCATTGCGTGTGTGTGTGTTGTGTGTTATATGCATTGTGTGTGTTATGTGCATTGTGTGTGTTGTGTGTTACATGCATTGCGTGTATGTGTTGTGTGTTATGTGCATTGCGTGTGTGTGTGTTGTGTGTTACGTGCATTGCGTGTGTGTGTGTTGTGTGTTACGTGCATTGCGTGTGTGTGTGTGCTATGTGCATTGCGCGTGTGTGTGTTGTGTGTTATGTGCATTGCGTGTGTGTGTGTTGTGTGTTATGTGTGTTGTGTGTTACGTGCATTGCGTGTGTGTGTGTTACCTGCATTGCATGTGTGTTGTGTGCTATGTGCATTGCGTATGTGTGTTGTGTGTTATGTGCATTGCGTGTGTGTGTTGTGTGTTATGTGCATTGCGTGTGTGTGTGTTGTGTGTTATGTGTGTTGTGTGTTATGTGCATTGCGTGTGTGTGTTATGTGCATTGCGTGTGTGTGTTATGTGCATTGCGTGTGTGTGTGTTATGTGCATTGCGTGTGTGTGTGTTACGTGCATTGTGTGTGTGTGTGTTGTGTGCTATGTGCATTGTGCGTGTGTTGCGTGTTATGTGCATTGCGTGTGTGTGTGTTGTGTGCTATGTGCACTGCGTGTGTGTGTGTTGTGTGTGTTATGTGCATTGCATGTGTTGTGTGTTATGTGCATTGCGTGTGTGTGTGTTGTGTGTTATGTGCATTGCGTGTCTGTTGTGTGCTATGTGCATTGTGCGTGTGTTGTGTGCTATGTGCACTGCGCGTGTGTGTGTTGGTGTGTGTTCCGTGATGTGAACGAGCTGCGTGTTTGTCGCCTAGACCTGGTGTGCGAGGAATACCTGTTTGGACGGGCCCCCTCGTGCTCTGTCTGCTTTAACGACCCGCACATCCGCGCCTGCCTCGGAGACCTCTACTCTGCCTACAGCTCCAAGCACTTCCGCATATACAGGGTGCTCACACGCTCACGCACGCACTTACAGGGTGCACACACGCTCACACACACACATACAGAGTGCACACACACTCACACACATACAGAGTGCACACACGCTCACGCACGCACTTACAGGGTGCACACACGCTCACACACACACATACAGAGTGCACACACACTCACACACATACAGGGTGCACACACGCTCACGCACGCACTTATAGGGTGCACACACGCTCACACACACACATACAGAGTGCACACACACTCACACACATACAGGGTGCACACACACTCACGCACACACACACAGGTGCACACACGCTCACGCACGCACTTACAGGGTGCACACACACACATACAGGGTGCACACACGCTCACGCACGCACTTACAGGGTGCACACACGCTCACGCACGCATTTACAGGTGCACACTCACGCATGCACATACAGGGTGCACACACGCTCACACACACACAGGGTGCACACGCGCTCACGCACGCACTTACAGGGTGCACACACGCTCACACACACACATACAGAGTGCACACACGCTCATGTACGCACATACAGAGTGCACACACACACATACAGAGTGCACACACACTCACACACACACACATACAGGGTACACACACGCGCATGTACGCACATACAGAGTGCACACTCACACACACACATACAGGTGCACACACGCTCACACACACACATACAGAGTGCACACACACTCATGTACGCACATACAGGGTACACACACGCTCACGCACGCACTTACAGGGTGCACACACGCTCACGCACACACATACAGGGTGCACACACGCTCACGCACGCACTTACAGGGTGCACACACGCTCACGCACACACATACAGGGTGCACACACGCTCACGCACGCACTTACAGTTTGCACACACACTCACGCACGCACTGACAGGGTGCACACACGCTCACGCACGCTTAGGTTGCAGGGGGAGTGGTCAGTACGTGATCGGTGTGTTGAGGGACGGCAGTTTCTAACTTCAGATTCGATCCATCACGTGGGTAGGGATATTGAGCAGCGGCTAGATCATGGCCGGGGATATTATAAGACGAGGAATTATCTCGTAGCCATGAAATTCGGCCGGTTCTGGTTACCGGGGGGGGGGGGGGGGGGATGATTCCTCGCCAGCTCCATTCAGCAGCTTTTGTCGCTCGGATTTTTTTTCTTCCAATTCTTTTTGCCAGATGGGAAGTTCTCGCAGATTCCGGTGATGTGGCGTCAGTGACGCTCAGACAGCCCCGTTCCGCTCTCGCCCGGGGGGGGGGCACGCTGTGCGCAGGGCGTTTCATGTCGGCCTGCACATAGAAAAGCGCCGTTGTCTGGCGACCTGCGCTTCGGGGAGCCACGGCCAATATTTGTTGATTTGCATTTCCAGGTGCGTTGGGTTCATTCGGGGGTGAATTGTCAATGTTGCCTCTGCCAGGGCCAAGAGGTTTTCCTGGAGGACTACAGTTCCAACGGCACGTACATCAACGGCGAGAAGGTCGGAAAGAACAAGCGGCACGTACTCACGAACAACGCGGAGATCTCCATCGCCTTGGCCACGCACAGAGGTAATGCTCCACGAAGTGAGCACATATCCCCAGCGAGGCCGTTCACCCGCACGTCACCGCGCGACGGAGGTCACAATCGGGTACCCGATATCCGTACCCTACCCGATACCCGGCTACCCGTTTGCGACCCTGGTGCGGCCGGGTATGGGTAGGCCGTGAGTCACTGGTGAGTAACCGTTTGTCACTCATTTCCCAACGTCTTGTCTCTTCTCACAATTCAAGTTCCTAGATTCAACTCACCCACGCCTGCAACATGGCTTCATCCCAGAGGTCGCAATCGGGTACCCGTATCCTACCCGATACCCAGCCGGGTACGGGTAGCCGGGTATCGGGTAGGGTACGGGTACGGGTACCCAATTGCGACCCTGGTGCGGCCGGGTACGGGTAAGGAATCAAAACCCGTTTGCGACCTCTGCCGCGTGACAGAGTTGATTGACTCGCGTCGTCATTAACAGTGGCACTCCAGTGCCATGAAATCCAAGCAGACGCTGCCTTCTTCTTCCCATGCCTGTCACTGCCCGGATAAAAAAATTTAATATTTTTTACGCATCAGTTCACGCGGCCTTTCCGGGAGTGCGTCATCTCAGCAGCGCTGATGAGAGACTGAATGTTAAAACCGGTCCAGCCATTCACCTGTGATCCTGCTGAAATGACGCCCTCCCAGAAGGCTGTGTGGCTGATTGGATGTGTAAAAAAAAATTAATGAGTCAATGATGACGTCACCCTGCTGCTGCTCTATATAAGAACGGGAGACACAGCAGAGCCTCACCATTCTGGCGAATTGCCCGATGATGCTGGATGCAATTACCAGCGAAACGTCGTACTCAAATTGTGAATGTTGTGGTTTCACGCTTCAACACACCGGTGGGCTAAAGCAGTGAACCATTTGTCTTATGTCAACGTGACACTTTTTTACTGATTGGCCGTGTCGGGTGGTGGAGGGTTACGACACATTTATAAATAACGCGATCTAAACCCAAAAACGTTGATTATGAAAAATATATATATTTTTATATGGGAAGGGGGCAGATTGTCTGCTCATTTATCTCGTCACTTGATCTCCACGCCGCGATATTCTCCCTCTGCCTCCTGCCTCCTTCACCCACCGCCCACACCACCCCCTTTCTCACCGTCGCAGCGTTCGTCTTCAGCAACCTGGAAAGATACGAAGAGTCCCATTGGCCGGAGGAAATAAAGAAGAAATACATCATCACGCATACCCTCGGGAGGTACGTACGCACGCACGCACGCACGCACGGTCAACCCGGGCGTGGCGGGTTCAGCGTCGGGGGTCCCGGTGGCCCGCATGGCCGTCGTGGCGACGCCGCTCCTGTTCACGCTCGCAGAGGGTGAGGAATCCGTACACGATGCTGATACGTTTTGCTCTGCATGGAGCGCCCACGGTGGTTAACTCCGTCGCCCGGTGTGCAGGAGGTCGTGGGTTTGATCCCGACCCTGACGCTTGTTGTATACAGGGTGTTAACACTTACATGGGACTATCGTTTTTAATTGAAAAAAGAACGGGCAATACACTGTAACATGATAACAAATTTCGATTTAAAGCTTTCGTGACTGCAGGGATTCATCTTCTTGGTTCTTTCGGTAAAGTCACGTAGAAGGGAAATAATAAAATAATAAAAATAAAACATAATAAAATAATTCTCACGACATTTCGGCCACAACGCAAGCAGCCGTCCTCAGGTGGAGAACAGGTCTGTCGAGAAGACAGAGTCTGTCTTCTCGACAGACCTGTTCTCCTGAGGACGGCTGCTTGCGTTGTTCTCAACCAAGAAGATGATAACAAATGTTTGTTAATCGCTTCAATAAGTCATAGAGTCTCCACTTGTCCGCCATCATTGTCAACAGATGCGTGGAATCTTCTCCAGGTGGTCTCCAGAGCCCGGAGGCACATTCATCGTGGTGTTGTTGCAAGAAGTGTTAACATTTCTTTGAAGCACCCTGTATATTGGAGGATGTTTGTCTCCCTCATCGTGGTCGCGTGGATTCTTCTCCGGGTCCTCCGGTTTTCCCGACACATTTAGAATCAACGTGCGCTTCGAGCATTTAGCTTCTAAATTTCGATTTAAAGCTTTCGTGACTGCAGGGATTCATCTTCTTGGTTCTTTCGGTAAAGACAGACCTGGTCTTCACCTGAGGACGGCTGCTTGCGTTGTGGCCGAAACGTCGTGAGAATTATTTTATGATGTTTTATTTTATTATTTTATTATTTCCATTCTACGTGACTTTACCGAAAGAACCAAGAAGACATTTAGCTTCTGCTATCGTTTGTGGCCAGGCCACTTCTGACAAGGAGCTGCATAGCTCAGTGGGCCTTTCCTGGTAATATAAAAACTAGTTTAGTTTGAGTACGCCTTCTGGTGTCATCTGGTCCAACACCAATGGAGACTAGGCTCTAAGGAAAGCTGTCTCGGGTGTGGACCAATAAACTTCAAGGACAGTGCATATTATTATCATCATCAGAGTTGTTCTTTTTGTTTGCATTTTGACTACTTGTGTTGTGGTTATTGCAAACATGATGCCTTGTATAAAGGTGTCAGTTTTGTACCAGTTCAAAGGGTAAAAACCTACTACTACAGTTTAGTTTGAGTTGACTAATGTTACTGAGCAAGCAAATTCTGTGGGGCTTTCCCCGTGCGAAAACGCACGAGGCTCAGGTGGTGCAGCACCGTCACCGCGGTCCCCTTGTTGCTGACTCGGTTTCTCCGTGACAGCGGCGTGTTCGGAGAAGTGAAGCTGGCTTTCCACAAGGGCAGCGAAAAGAAGGTGGCCATCAAAGTCGTTCCAAAGAGAGGCCTGCCCATCCCACAAGTAAGGGGGGGAGGCACGGTCTTCGTGACGCGACCCCAGCCTGTGCCACGCGCTCTGCGTGTGCCTGCGCTGTTCTCTCGCTGTCAGTGCAGCGCTCGGTTTTCTCGGCGTGTCGCACGCTCACGGCCACTCTCCCACGTGCCCCCCCTCTCGCCGGGAGTGCCGCTTGCAAGGAGCACCTGCGGCCGTCCTGTCACCCGCGGCGGCGGTGCTGTGCCGGGCGAAAGCCTTTCCCGCTCGGTCGCGATGTCTCTCGCAGCCTCGCGATGCCGCGCGCTCGGTGATCTTATCACTCCGTCTCCGAGGCGGCGGTCCTCTCCCGTTCCCTCCTGTGGCCGCCATTGTCCCTTTGTCTTGACCGTCGGCCATCTTGTTGCCCTTGCCCCGCTCGGCGAGGTTGCGGCGAGAAATAAGTTTACCATACGGACATCGTCTCTTCCGGCAACACGCCCAGCCCAGCGCCTCTCGCTCCGTCGGTATCGCGTCTTGCACCGCATCTCTCAGTGCGACTTAAGTGATTGCGCTAGATATAAAGACAAAGATCCCCCGTGTAGCCTCGACAGACTGTCGGGGCAAGTGCTGTTAGCGAGCACCTATGAAGGCCGGAACGGTACACGAGGGGGTGGGTGGCCAGCACCACGCCCGGCCGCCTTTGTCTCCCCACTGCACCAGGTACTCATTTTTGAGGCTGAGTCGACCTAGAGGAGGCGCAGAATCGGTTCAGGTAATTATCCCTGGTTTGTTCGTTGAGTGGGAATCGAACTCGGGTCGCCAGATTTGTAGCTCGGCGCGCTAACCGCTTCACTTCCACTCCCCCCCTAGACACAAAGATCCCCCGTATAGCCTTAACAGACTGTAGAGGCAAGTGCTGTTAGCGAGCACCTATGAAAGCCGGAACGGTACACGAGGGGGTGGGTGGCCAGCACCACGCTCGACCGCCTTTGTTTGCCCAGTGGCAATGTTTACACACCGCACCAGGTACTCATTTCAGGCTGAGTCGACCTAGGGGAGGCCCAGGACCGGTTCAGATAATCGTCACTGGTGTTGGCTGTGAGCGGGAATCGAACTCGGGTCGCCAGGTTCATAGCGCAGCGCGCTAACCGCTACACCACCGCTCCCCCCCTAGACACACACACAGACAGACACACAGACACACACACAGACACACACACAGACACAACAACAACCGCCATTCGCCACTAAGTGGCGGTGACGTCACCACGACGCTTGTGCCAGGCCAAGTGCACATTGAGGCCACGTGAAGTGTCGAACGCCCACTGGCAGGAGGTCACGGGGCAGACCCAGCAGGTGCCACGGGTCGACTGACCGAGATGACCGAGATGACTGGCTGATGCACCACCTGTGCCCCCTACTGTACCAACTTGCTGTGCTTTAGCCACCCGGCGCTCCGCTCGTTGTTGTGAGCGTCGCTCCTCCGCCCTCCGTTGTTGTTGGACAACACAGACACACATACACAGACAAACACACACAGACACACACACACAGACACACACACAGACACACACACACACACAGACACACACACACAGACACACAGACACATACACAGACACACACAGACACACACACACAGACACACACACACAGACACACACACACACAGACACACACACAGACACACACACAGACACACACACACAGACACACACACAGACACACACACACATACACAGACACACAGACACACACACACAGACACACACACACAGACACACACACAGACACACACACACAGACACACACACACAGACACACACACAGACACAACAACAGCAAAGCCCCCCACTAAGTCACTCTGCTTCGTAGTCTTCCTGCAGGGATGTGAAGACAGAAGCGGACATTCTCAAGAAACTCAAGCACGTGAGTACGGCGGCGCCGCGTGGGGTAGCTTTCAACTGAAACTAGTTTATTCCCCCTTGAATCTTTGCACCTGATGAGTTAATGAGTTAATGATGACGTCACCCTGCTGCTGCTCTATATAAGAACGGGAGACACAGCAGAGCCTCACCATTCTGGCGAATTGCCCGATGATGCTGGATGCAATTAACAGCGAAACGTCGTACTCAAATTGTAAATGTTGTGGCTTCAACACACCGGTGGGCTAAAGCAGTGAATTATTTGTCTTTTGTCAACGTGACACTTCTTTACTGATTGGCCGTGTCGGGTGGTGGAAGGTTACGACACATTTATAAATAACGCGATCTAAACCCAAAAACGTTGATTATGAATAGTTTATTCTACCAGGAAAGGCCACCACTGAGCTACCACGTAGCTCTTTTTTAAATCCTTTATATTAAGTTCACTTGCTTGCGCGCTTACGACCGTGCAAATCTTTCGGTCGTTTTTTAACCCACTTCCCGTGATCCAATCGAGCTGACATTTTGCACACAGACTCGTTGTGCGTGACAATTTATTTTCGTGAAATTTTTTTTCCAAAATTTTGCACTTTTTAGGAAATTTTTTTTATTATATGTAATTACCAATTGCTTAATGGTGGCAGGCAATCATCTGACCCATAGGTGGCAGCTATCTCAAGCCAGAGGACGAGAGGACTCTAGCCGCCACGCATATAAAGGATTTATACTGAAAAACTTTGTTTTTACGGGTAAATTTTTTAGAAGCGACGTAACTGTCACAAATGATAGCTCAAGGGAAGTGGCTTATCACGTGAACATTTATAGCGGCCAAATCCTCTAAACGCGTGTACATTCTAGCTGTGGAGGGGACAAACTGGAGGGCCCGGATAATAATTCACACAATCACGTGGAGAACATGCAAACTCCAAAATATACAGGCATCAGGGTCGGGATTGAACCCACGACCTATATACCAGGCGAGGTCGTTAGCACCTCGCCACCGTGGCGAGATGTCTCTTGGGTTCCCGTATCTTAAAGTGCAAAAAAAAAAATATTTTCGGCGCATTTTGACGCTGGCTGACTCACGCGTGTGCCGCAGCCGTGCATCATCACGCTCGAAGATGCGATCGATTCTGCAGACGCGCTCTACCTGGTGCTGGAGCTGTAAGTATTTCGTTTGTTGCGTGGCCCTCTGTTTTCCATGGTGCAGGTTGCTACATTGGTGTAGTCTTCCCGATAAGGTTTTGCCCATTCATGTCTGCGTGGAATTCCACAAAATGTTTTAGATTTGCTTTTTAAACACCATTATTATTACTATGGCTCCGCTTGTTTACCCAGGAAAGCCTTCATTGAGTCTCGTAACGCTTTGTCAGGAGGGGCCTGCCAGGTTTTCACAGCTGTAGGGCGCGATGTTTGTCGTGTGTTTCCAAGTTGAATCATTGGCAAACATTTAAAAAATTTTGAACCGTCATGCCAGCACACAATGGCCTAACCCTTCTTGAACTGGAGTGACGGGATCTTTAGCTTGCACTGCGAAGCCGACGGGCTTGTGGAGGCCTTCGACCGGTAGTGGATCGATTGTGGCTGATGACGATGATGTTGATCATCGCGTGGTTTTATTTCACTGGTCGTTGCCTTCTGTCGGGAGTGGATGCCCGTGTTAAACGAACACGTCCCTAGCCGGAACACGCGCGGTCGATGTTTCCGTCTTCGTTTCAGAATGGAGGGAGGTGAACTTTACAACAGGGTGAAGAAGGGTGCTCTTCCTGAACACAATGCAAAGTTGATCTTCTATCAGCTGGTCTTGGCTGTGCAAGTAAGTGCTCCCTTGCAGTGGTGGGGCCTGCTGCACTGGGGCGCTGCGGCGTTTATAGAAATGTGGACAAAATGGTGGTTTGGCAGTTGCACAAAAAACAAAGGTCCACTTTGGGATGTAAATATAAATGAACCCGTCTGCTGGCGTCAACTTAGTGCCACTTAGCCTTTTGATTCTTCAGCTTTATTTTTTTTTTTATAACTTTGCATTGCATATGTTTGTGCCACTCGTGTGAAAATAAAAAAAAACACCGTGGAATGAAGCTGCCATCAAGAGTTGGAGAAAAGTGCCGTTTTGCGAGAAAATGTACGGGCGAGGTGAATTCCTCTGAAATGGTCAGAAAATCTTCTTGGTTCTTTCGGTAAAGTCACGTAGAAGGAAAATAATAAAATAATAAAAAATACAACATATGTTTTATTTTTATTATTATTTTATTATTTTCCTTCTATGTGACTTTACCGAAAGAACCAAGAAGATGAATCCCTGCAGTCACGAAAGCTTTAAATCGAAAAATGGTCAGAAAATATCAGTCGGGTCTCATTCGGAGCGCGCGTGCTTCCTCGTGTAGCGTAGCAGTCCGTGCGTGGGTTCCCCGGTCAGCACGACGGGCGCCCAGGGGTGGCGACGCGGCGCTGAAGCCTCGCCCTCTTGCAACGCGCGGCAAGCGCGGCAGATTCGCAGAGCTCGCAGGCCCACGATTGGCTGGAACGTCGCTCGCGTGCTTCGGTGTGACGGTCGCTCGCCCGCGCTAATTTGTGTGCCGGGCTCGTTGTAGTACCTCCACGGCCAGGGGGTGACGCACCGCGACCTCAAGCCAGAGAACGTGCTGCTGTCTTCCAACAGCGCGGAGTGCCTCGTCAAGGTAAGGACTTGTCGCCTGCGGGCGATCGGCAATCGGCGTGTGCGAGGTGCAGCTATCCGAGCCGTGCCGCGCACTGCTTGGGCGCGTCGGCCGCGGTTAACGAACCTCCGAGGACTCTCCTCTCGTAAGACAAAATGTCCGGATGAGGATCGTTGTATAATACCCCCACTACCATCATTTGACGTTGTGCGTATGAACACAAAGTGTGTTTAACACGTAGGCTTTGGCGACCAATAAAAATGTTGTCGGTTTACTTTCCAACACACCGGTGTGCTGTACTAGTAACGAATTGGCATGTTTTGTCTACTTGACAAACCTCACTCATTGGCTGTCAGGTGGTGGCGGGTTTAACGACACATTTATATTGACGCGATCTCACCCAAAAACCTCGATTATGAACACAAAGTCCGTTTACGGGTTCTAAAATATGCGCACACGTGTTTTACGGTATTCCCTCGTTATCCGCGCAAGGGATACATTCGTGGATAATGTCCCGCGATATTTTTAATTAATTACCTGAAATAAAAACATAAATAATCTATTAAGTACGTGAAAATGATCATAACACAAAAATGTTTCTAAAGCTTGTAGAAGTTCTTATCTCTCTTTCTCTCTCATCTCTTTATCTCATCACTTTTTCTCCCATCACGTTCCCATCACTTTACGTCATTACTTTATCACGTTCTCTCTCGTCACATCTCATGATTTTCTCTCGCAATGCTGTCATGTCGGCTTCCAGATGCGATTCGCGGCGAGCCAAATTCGCAGATAGCAAGTTCGCGAATAGCGGAGGGAATACTGTACAGTACATACAGTAGGTGTCACTTGCCAGCTGACCGTCCTTGCGAAGGCGATGTTTTATCTCAAGGGACTTTCCAGTTGAAATGTTTTGATGAATAAAGAATGAAGTGAAAGCCCAACAGAAATTCCACTTCTAACTCAATATGACTTCATCAGAGGTCCAAGAATGTAAACTATGAACTTAAACTATTTTTGAATATTCATTTAAAGCTTTCGTGACTGCAGGGATTCATATTCTTGGTTCTTTCGGTAAAGTCACGTAGAAAGGGAAATAATAAAATCATCATCAGGTGTGAAATCCACACCTGATGAGGATTGCTTGTGTTGCAGTCGAAACGTCGTGAGAATTTTATTTATATTTTTATTATTTTATTATTTCCCTTCTACGTGACTTTACCGAAAGAAGCAAGACTATTTTTAAATCCTTTATATTAAATTCGCTTGCTTGCTTACGACCGTGCAAATCTTTCGGTCGTTTTTTAACCCACTTCCCGTGATCCAATCGAGCTGACATTTTCCACACAGACTCGTTGTGCGTGACAATTAATGTTCGTGAAATTTTTTTTCCAAAATTTTACACTTTTTAGGACAAAAAAATTATATTTAATTACCAATTGCTTAATGATGGCAATGCAATCATCTGACCCATAGGTGGCAGCCATCTCAAGCCAGAGGACGAGAGGACTCTAGCCACCACGCATATAAAGGATTTATAGTGAAAAACTTTGTTTTTACGGGTTATACTTGTTACAATGTCTAATTTTTACAAATCAACTCTCCGGAGCTACAGAGCGATGCCCTTCTGCCGCTTAGCGGTCAGCACGTTCCCGTGCGAGCGTCCCTCGTGCCGTGCGTCTCTTCCCCGCCAGGTGTCGGACTTTGGGCTGTCGCGCTTCGTGGGGGAGCAGTACCTCATGCGCTCGCTGTGCGGCACCCCCGCGTACCAGGCCCCGGAGGTGTTGGCCTCCTGCGGCCTGGGCGGCTACACCCGCGCCGTGGACTACTGGAGCCTGGGTGTCCTCCTCTTCATATGGTGACCGCACGAGTCCCTCCCTCCTTTCCCCTTTCCTTCCTCCTTCCCTCCCTCCCTCCCCTCCCCCAACTAGCTCAGTTCAATCCTTTGTGTAACTCCGCATCGCCCTCGCGAAAGGGGTGACGGCGCTGCTTCGTGCGTCTCCGCGGATTCGTTTCGTCTCTTGGTTGGCTCGCCGGCACTCACCGCCTCACCAAGCGTCGCGACTGCCGGCTTAGTTGGCGAGGCTCCTGCTGGCTTAGTGAGCGAGGCTCCTGCCGGCTTAGTTGGCAAGGCTCCTGCCGGCTTAGTGAGCGAGGCTCCTGCCGGCTTGGCGAGCGAGGCTCCTGCTGGTGGTAGCGCCGCCCTGCTGCCAGTGTCCTGCACTTGACTTCGCCCCCTGTGAGACGATGTTTCTGCGACGTGTTTAATTGGTCAGTCCAATTTTTGTGCATGAAGAAACAGACAAAAATCCCGCGTGTAGCCTAGGTAGTCTGTTGGGGCAAAGTGCCGTTAGCGAGTGCCTATGAAGGCCGGCATGGCACACGAGGGGGTGGACGGCCAGCACCATGCCCGGCCGCCTTTATCTCTCTAGTGCCAAACTCGTGTTGGGTGTGAGCGGGAATCGAACCCGGGCCGCCGGGTTCATAGCACAATGCATTAGCCGCTGCGCTACCATGAAACACACAGTATGATGCAATACGCCACGGCTGTAGGGTGGCGCAGAAGGACCTGGGTTCTGTGTGGAGTTTGTATTCTCTCCCCCTGTTCTGTGTTGGGTTTCCTCCCATTAATTCTAGATTGGAAGCTTTCGTGACTGCAAGGATTCATATTCTTAGGTTTTTTTCGGTAAAGTCACGTAGGTAGAATATTTTCCTCCCGTTGTTAAAATGAACATACGATGGCCAAACATTCCAATGCCTCTATTTTTTTTAGTCGAGGCGCGTGTTGTGGTTGTGGAGCGAGGGTGAGCGCCGTTCTCCCGCGCCGTGCCGCCAGACGTATCGACGTGTGGTCCGTGTCCCAACAGCCTGAGTGGTTACCCCCCGTTCAGCGAGGAGTTTGGGGAGATGAGTGTACACGACCAGATCTGCACTGGGACGTTTGACTTCCCTGAGGATCTATGGAAAAATGTCTCGGAAGAAGGTAAGATGCATACGTACATGTACTACAGTATCCAGTGGAGCAGTCGATAATCATGCAGATCCTACACAATAACAGAATCCTTAAAATATTTCACCGGGAAAATCGCTTGAGATGGAGCACCTCATGTGCAAGGGTGTCCAGGTGTGGGTTGACACACATAACACACGCGTGCACACGTACACACTCACGTACACATAAAACACACACGTACACGCGTAACAGACGCGTACACACGTACACACTCATGTAGAGAGCATGCCCGTTGGCGGTTCTTACTCTCTCAGAGATGCGACCAGTTAATTGCATCTGAAGGCACTTTTTTTTTGGTCAACGCGTCCGTCCTCTTGCTAAAGTTCCAACTCGTGTAATGTTCGTCTCAGCCGAAGACCTCGTGAGGAAGTTGATGGTGGTTGAAGTGAAGCGGCGGTACACGACCGAGCAGGCGCTGGGCCACGGCTGGTTACAGGTGAGAGGAGTTTGGCGTTACGGCACCCGCGCGGCCATAGCTGGGCCGTCCTGGTGAACGGGGCGCGGGACTCATGTGGGTTCACGCCGGATTGCGTCCGGATGAGGGATTGACTCGCCGAAAATCCGCGCCTGTTTCCTCAAAGGATCAAGAAATGATCCACAAAGCGCAGTCGCTGATGGCAGCCGGGAGTGGAGCGATGCCGCCACCCCTGGTGGCCAACTTCTTGGTGAGTCGCAGGAAACGGAGGAGACGCTGGTGCGGCAGCCATTGCAAAACCACCTAAAACTAAACTGTTTGTTATTTTACCAGGTAAGGCCCACTGAGCTATGTAGCTCCTTTTCAGAAGCGACCTGGTTATGCAAATTATTTTGTCAAGGCGCTCTTCCCCCTCCAACACAGCTTAAATATGCGCTCCAAGCCTGGTGGTGTTTCATTCAGACGCTGTCTTTCCGACAGACCTGTTCTTCACCTGAGGACGGCTGCTTGCGTTGTGGCCGAAACGTCGTGAGAATTATTTTATTATGTTTTATTTTTATTATTTTATTATTTCCCTTCTACGTGACTTTACCGAAAGAACCAAGAAGATGAATCCCTGCAGTCACGAAAGCTTTAAATCGAAATATAAATGGTAGCTCAACGAAGTGGCTTGTCGTGGGAATTTATATTAGCCAAATACTCCAAACGCGTGACGTTGATTCTAAATGTGGAGGGAAAAACCGGAGGACCCGGAGAAAAATCCACGCGACCACGGGGAGAGAGACGCGCAAAAGAGGCGTATGCGCGCGTGTGCGTGCGCAAACGGAAACATCTGCTAAGTGTAGTGGTCAGCGCTACGAACCTGGCGACCCGGGTTCGATTCCCGCTCACGGCCAACACCGGTGACGATTATCTGAACCGGTCCTGGGCCTTCCCTAGGTCGACTCAGCCTCAAATGGGTACCTGGTGCGGTGTGTGAGCATCGCCACTATGGAGACAAAGGCGGCCGGGCGTGGTGTTGGCCACCCACCCCCTCGTGTGCCGTGCCGGCCTTCATAGGTGCTCGCTAACAGCACTTGCCCCAACAGTCTGTTAAGGCTACACGGGGGATCCTTGCCTTTGCAAACGGTAACATCGGCTAACTTGGTGTCACTTTAACTCCATCTAGCCGGGCGCAGGCCGAAAGAGACCGGCAGAAGAGGGAGCAGGCGGCGGTGGCAAGCTGTGCCTCGAGATGCCGCCCATGAAGAGATGAGCCGTGGGCGGTGACGCCCCAGTGCTCCGATGTCGTGCCACCTGGGGGAGATCGGGACGTGTGCCGCTGTTTAACCACCCCCAGAGGAAAGCCACGGCCGGCGAAACGTGGCGGCTGGGTTCACACAGAAATCACCCTGGGGATGTTCCCTTGAAGAGATGACGGTGCTCGGACGCTGTATTCCAGTGTAAACGTGCGGGGCGATGGATGATGCGTGGAGGCGTCAAAGCTTTTGAATGTCAATTTACTGTACTTGAATTTTAAACGATTGTCGGTGTGATTTCTTGTCACAGCTTGATGCAGAAAGTGAGCCGGCCTAATAACGCTTGCACACATGTACACTAACCCACAATAACAACCAACAGTGCCAAACATGCATATTAAACACGTGCACGCTGCTTGCAGATGTTATGATTTTTGATATAATTCCGCACAGAGGAACTTTACCACTTGACGACTGTGGCAGCGACACCACTTTGCAATCGGAGACCAGGCATGAGGGGGGGGTGGGGGACGCTGTCGTAGAGGGGATGGAGTTGGAGGCCGTCTGTGAAACGTTTTTTTTGTTGGGCCGGGCGAGGTACAAGAGAAGCGAATCATGTCCAGATTCATTTTTCTTTGTGAAGATAAGGCTCACCGTAATTGTTAATTTTCCAATATTTTATTACTTTCACCTCATTTTCATAGCCTTTTATTATTATTCGTAGACCAAGCCTCTGCCTCGGTGCCCTGCTGCTGCTGCTGCTGCTTCTTCTTCGCACGTGCGTGCAGTGCTTTCATTTGTATCGGGCTGATTTGATGCCCGGGAGCGTGGGTGATGTTGGCATTAGGCTGTGCTGGTGCGTGTAACGGGTGGAAAGTCTCCGGTTTGAGGCTTCCTGGACTAGGAGGCCTTGGCAAGAGCGGAGGGCAGGACCTCCCCGGATGTATTTACATCAAAACGTAGGCTGTGATCGATTACAATCGGCCCATTTACCAGGGTAGCCACCTTGTCCTGCTTTGACCCACAAATCACAGCGAATTGCTGTGAATTGTGTTCGATCGCCAAGGATGGATTGGCGCCGAGGTGTGCTGGCATCGTGCTGAGCGTTGTGATTGCAGGATGCCCCACGGCGTTGATAGACCCAAGGACGAGGATAAGGTTGGCGTTTTTTTTGTCTGTCTGACGAGCGTAGCGACCAAACTTGTGCGTCGCGAAACGAGAAACAGATGCAGTTTTATATTTTTTATTTTACACATGAGTTGTGCAGCATTTGAAGAATGTAAGGATGTTTCGGAAAGCAAGAAAGTTAAGTTTTAACTACCACTTGATACGGAATCGAATATTGCGCTCTTAACCCGAGGCGCTTGCCTACGGCGTCCCCTTCGTTAAGCGATGGCATGATAAACTTAAAAAAACCGTTGTACTGTACTATTGATAGAATTTTAAGAGTTCAATGTACGTGTTGGTAATAAACACTTTTTTAACAGTTTAAATATCTCGCAGTGGTTTCTTATGGAGGTGAGGGTAATGTCTGCTCATGTGGCTAAACAGCTACAAAACATTCCGGTTTCACCAAGTCAGTCCCCGTTTCCCCGACATGTATTTGGGCGTATTGGCAGTCTGCTGGTGCAACATAATACACCGGTCATAAAACAGTCTGAAATCAATTTTTGATTCGGTAAATCTATCAGTCTTTTATTCACTCCTATCGCCAAGTTTGACGAGATTCGAAGGTTTACTCAGTCTACTGACACTTGCAAAAAAAAAGGTTACTGTTGACCGTTGATTTGGGCCCCTACGAATCGAGGAACCGTCCGACCAAGTCTCGGGCACGAGAGTCACATCTGCCTTTGGAACACGGAGCAGCCAATCGTTATGAGGCTGGGTGCTGCTATCCGGCAACAGACTGTGAAGCTTCGTGTTCCGACTGCTTCGACATCACGAAGACTGATTTTGACGCACCACCACCCCACAAGATTTTCTGACCGGCAGTTGCGAATTGCTGGAAAAGAAATAATGATTGTGAAAAAAAAAATGTATACTGCGTCCCACCGGTGTACCGCCAATATGCTCATTTTATGAAAATGTCGATTTTTTCCCAAAAATTATCCTGGCTTATGTGTCCGTGACTCGTGATACGGACAAAGGGTGGGGTGGGTGGGGTGGGGCCCACCTGGGTAGTGGACAGGGCCAACATCGAGGAGAGGCCAATGGCTGTGTGGGCTAGCGGCTGAGTAGGTGTGGCTATGTACAAGTGGGAGGAGGCATGCTGCGGGGGGCCTGCCAAGCTCAACACGTGGCCTGCTTTCCACAAACGACCCACGAACACCTCGCTGATCTCGTCAAGGATCATAAAACCACCACGGGGCAAACTCCGCTCATCCTCGCAGCGGCGGATTTTGGCTGGCCATCGAACAAAGACGGTGACCGCATCGCGCGCTTTCGGATGTGCTTCTGCGACCGTCTGGAACGCTCTTCCTTCCGATGTTAGGAAGCCACTGGAGCTTTGCACTTTTAAATCTAAATTGAAAACTCATTTCTTTAGAACTGCGTTTTGTGTTCAGTTTGTTGTCCTTCCCCCGCACTTCTCCAATTAGCACGGTTGGCTCCGTATGCTGCGAAACAAGTTCAACATAAACACATTCCTGCGGAGGGAGCTGGTAGGAACGTTGGGTGGCCAGGGTCAACGGCGGCGTGGTGTATTCCGCAAATATGCCCGACTGTGAGGGTGGGCACAAGCCGGCGTGAGTCGGTTAAACGTTGCGTTTTATAAGGGCACCACGGGGTGACCAGCCCCTCCCCACCCAGCCCCACCCCTCCCACCCCCCACCCAGCCCCACCCTCCCCACCCAGCCCCTCCCCATCCAGCCCCACCCCTCCCACCCCCCACCCAGCCCCACCCTCCCCACCCAGCCCCTCCCCACCTTCCCCACCCAGCCCCACCCTCCCATTTTTGGATGCACGACGGACGGACACAATAATCCCCTGTGGGCTGGTGTAACCAGGAGGTTCCTACCATAAATACACGCGATAGGGCCTCCCAGATGCACCACATCTTTAACCGTGGCGCTGCCTGTGCTCGAGATTGTGAAAGTGTGGCGAGATATGTTTCGTTATGGCTCGTGACAGTTCCCTACCACCATGTCTGTGAACTGGCAGTGCAAGGTTTTATGTAAACATGCTACATCGGCGATAGCCATCGATATCCTTCTTCTAATTTCGTGTGTAAAAAACTAAAAAGGCATATGACATGAATTGCGAAAACAAAATGCCTCTTTTTTTCCTAACTTCTTCCATAAACTCACCGTGAATTATTGAGTAAGCATCCGCTGGTTGTCGGGATATTTATTCAAACGCAGTTGCCGATCAAAGGCACCAAATGACGAGCGACTGGCAACAAACGTCCACCCTACACTTATTAAATCCTTTATATTAAGTTCGCTTGCTTGCTTGCTTACGACCGTGCACATCTTTCGGTCGTTTTTTAACCCACTTCCCGTGATCCAATCGAGCTGACATTTTGCACAAAGACTCGTTGTGCGTGACAATTAATGTTCGTGTAAAATTTTTTCCAAAATTTACACTTTTTAGGACAAATTTTTTTTCCAAAATTTACACTTTTTAGGACAAAAATATATTTAAATACCAATTGCTTAATGGTGCCATGCAATCATCTGACCCATAGGTGGCAGCCATCTCAAGCCAGAGGACGAGAGGACTCTAGCCGCCACGCATATAAAGGATTTATAGTGAAAAACTTTGTTTTTACGGGTTATACTTGTTTTACTCAAAATAAATGGTGTGTGTGGGCCAAGAGCTCTGCTTCTTCTGTGCGAAGGCTTGCGGAAAGAGGCGACGATGATGGGAACGAATTTGTAAGTGGAGCAACGGCGTGAGAAGTGACAGCAGCAGCAGCAAGAGAAGTATTACTACGGTAACACTTCAAATCAAATTTCGATTTAAAGCTTTCGTGACTGCAGGGATTCATCTTCTTGGTTCTTTCGGTAAAGTCACGTAGAAGGGAAATAATAAAATAATAAAAATAAAACATTTAATAATTCTCACGACGTTTCGGCCACAACGCAAGCAGCCGTCCTCAGGTGAAGAACAGGTCTGTCGGAAAGACAGATCTGCATTTCCCATAAATATGCTAAATTCCTCTTGATATGCAAATTCCTTTGTCAAGGCGCTCTTCCCCCTCCAACCCAGCTTAAATATACGCTCCAAGCCTGGTGGTGTTCATTCAGACGCTGTCTTTCCGACAGACCTGTTCTTCACCTGAGGACGGCTGCTTGCGTTGTGGCCGAAACGTCGTGAGAATTGTATTTTATTATGTTTTATTTTTATTATTTTATTATTTCCCTTCTGCGTGACTTTACCGAAAGAACCAAGAGGACTTCAAATCAAGTTTGTTACTCCGGTGTTGATTGAGCGGGTGAGGAGCAGAGTGGACAAAGTGGATGCGTATTCTTGGTTCTTTCGGTAAAGTCACGTAGAAGGAAAGTAATCAAATAATAAAAATAAAACAATTATTTTATTTTATTACGTAGAAGGGAAGTAATAAAATAATAAAATAAAACATAATACAATTAAAATAAATATGTCCCATTTTTATTATTTTATTACTTCCCTTCTACGTAATAAAATAAAATAATTGTTTTATTTTTATTATTTTATTACTTCCCTTCTACGTGACTTTACCGAAAGAACCAAGAAAATGAACTTGACCTCCAGCTACGACCCCGCCTACGTCACGGGGTTCCCCCCCCCCCCTTTATACTCGAGCAGCTGTGTCGTCATGTGACCCCACGTCCCGTGACGCCATCGCACCGGACCGCGCACATGACGTCACTACCCTCTTCTTCTGCTCCACAAATGCATCGAAGATTTTGATTTAAAGCTTTCGTGACTGCAGGGATTCATCTTCTTGGTTCTTTCGGTAAAGTCACGTAGAAGAGAAGTAATAACATAAAAAATAAAACATAATAAAAATTGTATTATGTTTTATTTTAATAAAACATAATAAAATAAATAAAATTTTTATTATGTTTTATTTTTATTTTATTACTTCTCTTCTACGTGACTTTACCGAAAGAACCAAGAAGATGCATCGAAGATAATCGATTGCCGCTTTGCGCGCCCTGAGGCTATTTATGTGGTTTGGCCGTCTTCCTCCTCGCCTCTCGCCGTGTCTGGCGTGTGTGTGGTGGTGAATGGCTGCGCGCTGCTGCTGTTGCCTCTCCGTGCCTCCGAATCCATTCCCGTGTCTCTCTGGCCCTGTCCCTCTCTGTACTGTTCAGTGTACACTGCGCTCTCCTTGAGCTGGATGAGGAGGGGGGAGGGAAACGTCGGGGATTTTGGGTCATCTGCCCGTCAGTCCGCTCGGAAGGGGGTGAAATCCGTGTCGGTTTTAGGAAATCCGGTCCGGGATTTGGAGAACGCTCCGGAGTACGAGGGAGAGGATTCCGCTCCGGAGTTTGGAGCCGGAGGAGATAATCCTCTCCGGGATTTGGGGCTGTTGGCCGCTTTGAGGGAGAACGCTCCGGAGTTTGAGGGAGAGGATTCCGCTCCGGAGTTTGAGGGAAAGGATTCCGCTCCGGAGTTTGAGGGAGAGGATTCCGCTCCGGAGTTTGGAGCCGGAGGAGGTAATCCTCTCCGGGATTTGTGGTTGGTCGCTTTGAGGGAGAACACTCCGGGATTTGGAGCCGGAGGAGGTAATCCTCTCCTGGATTTGATACTTTTGGCCGCTTTGAGGGAGAACGCTCCGGAGTTTGAGGGAGAGAACTCCGCTCCGGAGTTTGGAGCTGGAGGAGGTATTCCTCTCCGGGATTTGGAGCCGGAGGAGGTAATCCTCTCCGGGATTTGGGGTTGTTGGCCGCTTTGAGGGAGATCGCTCCGGAGTTTGAGGAAGTGGAATCCTCTCCGGAGTTTGGAGCCGGAGGAGGTAATCCTCTCCGGGATTTGGGGGATTCCGCTCCGGATCTCAGCTCCGGGTTTCGCGCCGCCCCAGGCCTAGGCCCTTTTGCTGCTGTCGCCGCCGCTGCCGCCGCACGGAGACGGCGACGCGGAGAACATCGCGACGATCGAGGCCCCGACCCTCGGGCAGGACCGCGCCGAGGTAACCCGCGGAAGTTGAGGCGCGAGGGCGCCAGGGGACGCGAGGGGACGAGGGGGACCGCGAGGGGCGGAGCGATCGGCGCGGCCTGCAAGGCGCCGCCTCGCCTGGCTCGGGAGGGGGCCTGGAGCGGGGGGGGTCGCGGTCTGGGGGTGAGAGGTGAGGGGGGGGGGTGGCAGTCTGGGGGGGGGGCGAGGAGTGAGGGGGTGGCGGTTTGGGGGGGGGGGGCGAGGGGTGAGGAGGTCGTGGTCTGGGGGGTGGCGGTCTGGGGGGGTGAGCTGGGTGAGGGGGTCGTGGTCTGGGGGGGTGAGGGGGTCATGGTCTGGGGGGTGGCGGTCTGGGGGGGTGAGCTGGGTGAGGGGGTCGTGGTCT